TAGAGAGAAGTATTTTTTTAAAAGGTTTTATTTACAACAACGAATAAATTACCTTTTACGCAATAGATTGTCATATCTGACTAATTTGCATTATTCTGATGAATGATTATTAGACCTAGGTAGTGAATGGTTATAAACTTATAATTTGAACCCTTAACCCTCCCACCAAGTCAAGGGTTCAAGTTTCATAAAGTGAAGTTTAAATGTTTGTGCAAAAAACATATGGCGGTCTAATATTTAAGTATTTATAAATTAATATGTATGTTTTCTTTTTTATAAAAATTAATATGTATGTTAGTCGACAAAAAAAAAGAAGTTATATGTATGTCTAGTTAAATTTTATCTGAATAAACAATTTATTTTATTCAAGACCTATAAATTAATAAAATATTAAAGTTCTAACATTATTAATTTCTAGAATTTCTACAATATATATATATTATTTTGGTTTCAATAATTGTGTATTTGTGTATAGCCACATATTAAGTTAAGTATTTTATGTTACTAGGTTTTAATTCGCGCTACGCGCGAGTCTGTATTAGTAGTTTGATTTAATTTTTTTAGTTATTATTTTAAAATTATCAAAACTAGAATATATATATATATATAATTTCCTGTTTTATATAAGAGAATTTAAACTACAACATGTAGTTTTTCCCAATTTTTTGTTTATAAAAAATTAAATCTTACTAAATAAAATAATAACAATGACGCTTATCAAATTATCCAATTTTGACATGCACACACATTTGATTTAGAGAAAAGTTTATTTGCTAAGATCTTTGTGTTTTATTTTATTTTCATAGAAATTCTACATTTCTTTTTTCTGTATGGTTTATATATTAAAATTTAATTTTTTGATTGAATATCTCATTGATGTTGTGTACCTATGCATATATATATATATATATATATATATATATATATATAATTCATGATTCATGTTGATTCACATTTAGTTTTGTTAGAAACTGCAATGATCGTACAAAGCCGTTTCTTACTTCTCCATCATGTCTTCCATGAGTTTTATTTTCATATCTTTATTCATTCTATCATTGAAAATTTTCTTTTTTTTTGGCAGTCTAATATTTGATAATTATAGTTTTTAAACTTGTAGGATGGATAGTGTGCAGTTTTCATATTTGTTTTACTGTTTTTATCTTCTGTGTGCTTTCTGCATATTTTGATTTGAATATTTTATTTAGATATATCAATTTGAGTTTGATTCTTAACTCTATCATATTTTATTATTTAAATACAATTTTAGAAGGTGTTACTCATATGTTATTAATGTTGGCTCAGATATAAGTAGTAAATATATATAAAAATCAAATTTTACTGCTTGTTAAATTTCGAGTGTAAAGTTACTTATAAAGTGTTTTTGTTAGTTTTTAAGTCAGAAACACCTATTGTATTAACTTTTGTATATTTAAAGAACATGTTTGATTAAAAAAATTATGTAAACCTATTGCAACTTTATATAATTATTAATTGTAGATACCAATACTTTAAAAATCTTTTACTTTACATCTTAAATAGTAAATTTATATTTTATTTTAATTTATGCTACATAGTAAATAGTAAATTGAGTTAATATCAAATTGAGTTGATTATAAAAGAGTCTCATTAACAGAAAAAGAGAAAATTAACTGTAAAAATGTTAATATTTACAAAACAATTATGTTTTGTTGACAAAAAAAAAATTATGTTTCAAAATAAGAATCAATATAAAAAATTAAACTAACAAAGGAAAAAAATCATATAAAAAACTTCACTTGATATTTAGACTCAGTTTTTAAAAATTTACATAAAAAAATCAATAACAGAAAGTTAAATTAACAAATGATTTTTGTTAACGTATATACTTTAAATGAATATTTTTTCATAAATCAATATAAACAATAAAGCTTTAAACAAACGATTTAAGAAACTAATATAGAAATGAACAAAAACAAATAAAATATAAATTATGTTTTACAAAATGTTAATACAATTAAAATTGGTATCAATAGCAACAACAAATATTAAAACAATCATCTAAAAAAATTGACTTGATAAATATGGTAACTATTTAAAAATTTCAATATAAAAGAGTCTCATTAACAGAAAAAAAAAATTGTCTGTAAAAATGTCAACTTGATTTGCTAGTTAATTTTCTCTTTTTCTGTACATAATTTATAGTAACTATCTAACATATATTAAAAGGAAGCATTATATCCTTATGGTGTCATTATCTCTTTTTTTAATATATTTTATTAATTTATTTTTGTGTGCTATTCTTATTACCAAAAACTTTATTTTAAATCACTTAAATTAAATCGATTTAAATCAAACCAATCACAAATAATTCAACAATAATTGGTTCAGTAAACTAAATTAGTTACATGTTTTATTAATGAAAATAAAAATTATTTCTATATTTTAGATTTACGAACATTTATTGTTTTGTAACTTCTTTGATTCACATATTATACAAATGAAAAAATAATATTATTTTTGGAAACCTCAGATAAAAGTAAATGTAAATCTCACTTTGTATAAATTTAAATTAAATAAAAATAATAAATTCTTTCAAATCTCGACTAAATATTTTTAGATTTCCAAATATTTTGAAACTTAGAAAATTATAGAATATATCTGTTAAATATATCTACACACATTATCCCGCACAAATGTGCGGGTAATAAGCTAGTTTACTGTAAAAAGAGAATAATTTAGCATATATATTCTCTTTTTCTGTACAATTTATAGTAATTATTTACAAAACAATTTGCTATTAAATAGAAAAAGAGAATATATATGCTAAATCGTAAATAGTATATGTTGATGCGGACCAATAAAATTGAGTTTTTTCATCCTATGTGGACATCGTCAATGCTCTATGCCATCAATTTTTATATATTGTAGACTAGGTATATAACTCGCACTACGGACGAGTCTGTATTAATAGTTTGGTTTAATTTTTTTTTAGCTACTATTTTTAAAATTATTAAATAATAATATATTTATAGAAATTTTCATTTATATAGAATTTAATATATAATGTGTAACTTTCTCCTATTTTTATTTATAAAGTTTAAAAACTATTAGGTAAAATAATAACAATGACACCTATTGAATTATCCAACTTTGACATACATATACATTTGATTTAGAGACAGATTTTCTTGCTAAGATTTTAATATTATTTTCTGTTTTCCATATAATTTCTGTAGTTTTTTTTTTCTTGAAGGTTTATATGTTCAAATATTAAGTTTTTTTTTTATTGAAAGCCTTATTAATGTTGTGTACTATTGCATATATAATCCATGATTCATGTTGATTCGCTTTTATTTTTGTTAGGAAGCTGCAATGATCATGTAAAACTATGTTTTCCTTCTCCACCATGTCTTCCAAGAGTTTTATGTTATATTTTTATTTAGTTTTCATTGATATTTATTTTTTTACAAGTCTAATATTTGATAATTTTAGTTTTCTAACTTGTAGGATCGGTGGTGTGGATTATTTGCATTATTTTTTACTGTTTTTATCTTTTGTGTGCAATATGTATGTTTTGGTTTGAATATTTTATCTACATATAGCAATTTGAGTTTGATTCATAACTATATCATACTTTATTGTTTAAATAGAATTTTAGAATGTGTTATTGATGTTGATTCAGATATAAGTAGTGACTATGTATAGAAATCATATTTTAGTACTTGTTAAATGTCGAGTGTACATTTATTATAGTGATTTCTTTGTTAGTTTTGAAATCAGAAACATCAAGTGTATTAATCATTGTATATTTAAAAATATGTTTGGTTTAGAAACTTATGTAAACTTTTTGCAACTTTAGATAGTTTTGCATTGTTGATACTAATACTTTAGAAATCAAGAACTTTATGAAACAAATTTCAAATTAATTTTGTCTTGATTTTTTTTTTTGATAATTTACATCTTTCGATAGTAATTTTTTATTTATTTTAGTTTATATACTTTTTGTATGTTTGATATACTTAGGACTTATATTCTTTTTCTAATATTAAGCTCTTTTGTTGTTGATTTTTCAAATATGTATCATAGACATCACATTAATTTCTTTTATACAAATATTTTTCTTTAATTTAGAAGTTAAAATTTTCCTAATCTATATTATAAGTTATAACTTTTATGATATTGGTTTTTTTTGTTAGTTTAACTCTTTTTTTAAAACAATTTCTATTTTATTTTAAAGATACTATTTCTTGGTTGTTTAATATAATTTTCTTTTTTATTTGTTACTTAAACTTTTTATTTAATTTTTCTATGATTAAATTGAAATTAAAGTTTTAATCATACTTAATATTTTTTGTTTAATGGAAAATGCTGATGTGGACCAATCATATCGAATTTTTTAATCATATGTGGACGTCCTCAATACACTATACCATCAACTTTTATATATTATAGACATGTAAATAACTCGCGCTACGCACGAATCTGTATTAATATTATGGTTTATTTTTTTAGCTATTATCTTTAAAATTATTTAAAAAATTATATATATTTATAGAAATTTTTATTTATATAAGAGAATTTAATATATAATATGTAATTTATCCTATTTTTATTTATAAATTTTAAAAAACTATTAGGTAAAATAATAACAATGACACCTATCGAATTATCTAACTTTGACGTACATATACATTTGATTTAGAGAAATATAATCTTGCTAAAATTTTGGTATTATTTTCTGTTTTCCATAGAATTGAAAGTCTTATTGATGTTGTGTACCATTGTATATATAATCGATGATTCACATTTAATTTTGTTAAGAAGCTGTAATGTTCATGCAAAACCATTTTTTCATTTTCCATCATGTCTTCCAAGAGTTTTATATATTATATGATGAATTATGCGTTTAACTTTTATATATTATATAATGATTTAACTATTATAATATTTCATTATTCATATTAATATAGTAGCCATGATGACGAATGGAGGAGCAGATGAATAATTTGTCAATATAATTTATGATTTATACATCGTGTTGTAGCAACGAGAGCGAGTTCATTGATCAAATAGTCCAAGCGGTTTTGAGAGAGCTAAGCAAAATATCATCAGAAGAAAGCACAAAGAGATCCTTGGATCCTTCACAAAACACTGAAGTTCCCTTTGAAGAAGCAGCGACAAAAAAATTCGGGCTCGAACAACGCCTTCAAGAATTGAAAGACAAGGTTGGCTTTAAGGTAGATGAGACTCGTATTATCGGAGTTGTTGGGATCCACGGTATTGGCAAAACCACACTCGTGAAAGGATTCTACGAGAAGCATGAAGTCAAGTTCACTAGGTGTGCCTTACTCCAAGATATAAGCGATATTGTAAGGTTCAATGGCATAGATGCATTGCCCTGGAAGCTCAGGAAGAAGCTGCGAGAAAATCATAATTGTGACAAAGACGAAGACAGATACGAACTTGACAAAAAGGAACCACTTCCACAAAAAGTTTTTATTGTTCTTGATGGGGTCAATAGCAAGAAACAGATAGAAGTTCTTCTCGAGGGTCACCGTGACTGGACTATGAAAGGAAGCAAGATTGTAATTTCAACAAGCGACAAATCATTGCTACAGGATCATGTCCAGGATGCCGATATATACGTTGTCCCGCAGTTGAACCACAGAGACGGGTTAAAGCACTTTCATCATTATACCTCTGATCATTCCGGCCACGAGAATGATGACAAGGAAACATTCGAGAGGCTCTCGGAAGAGTTTGTGCACTATGTGAGAGGCCACCCACTAACTCTCGAGCTATTGGGTGAAGAGCTTCGTGGGAAAGACGTGGACTACTGGAATGAGAAACTGAAATCACTTGCGAAAAGTCCCAGCCCAAGTATTCGTGATCGTGTCTTGCAAGTAAGTTATGATGAACTGAGTAAAGAGCAGAAGGATGCATTTCTCGACATAGCTTGTTTCAGATCCCATGATATGGTTTATGTAAAGAGCTTACTGGAGTTATCTGGTTCCGAAGAGACGAATATAATCAAAGCTCTCACGGATAAGTTCTTGATCAATACCTCTGACGGCAGCCGAGTAGAGATGCATGATCTTCTTTATACTTTCGCTACAGAGATTGACTCGAAAGCTAACGGAATAGGGCGACATCAACGGGACACAACTAATGTGCTGCGGAAACTAGTGAGAGTTCCAGTTATTGATTCAAACTTCAAATTTCTTCTTTTCTTTGCTGACTTCGTGTTTGTTTGTTGGTTACAGGGACGCAATGGCAATGTCGAAGTCAAAGGTCTTTTTCTTGACTTGTCTAACATAGAAAAGGCAATGACCATAGGCAAGGAGCACTTCAAGAAGCTGTGTGGTCTTCGATACCTCAAGTTCTACAGTTCTCACTGTCCTCGAGAATGTAACCCTAAACGGAAGATACACATCCCAGATAAACTCGATTTCCCATTGGAAGAGGTTCGATGTTTTCATTGGCTAAAATATCCACTAGAGGAACTTCCACAAAATTTCAACCCTAAAAATCTAGTCGACCTTAAGCTGCCTTACAGCAAAATTGAACAGATTTGGAATGAGAAGAAGGTATGTCGCTAGATAAATAGCTTAAATGCTTCCTTGTTTTTGTCCCAGCACAGTCGGTTGATTAGGTGTCTTAAACTAACTTGGGTGGTTGGATCTATTGTCGTCACAGGATGCACCAAAACTGAAGTGGGTTGATCTCAATCACTCAAGTAAGTTGAAGACCTTGTCAGCGCTACCAAAAGCTCAAAATCTACAAAGACTGAACCTTGAAGGCTGCACGGCTCTGGAAACATTGGATCCGGATATGCCAAACTTGAAAAATCTTGTGTTCCTTAATCTGAAAGGGTGCACGGCCCTTGAGTCTTTTCCTGATATCGAATTGGTACCATTAAAGACACTCATCCTCAGCAACTGCTCAAAGCTTAAGAGCTTTCTTGTGAATTCGGAGACTTTAGAAGCTCTATACTTGGATGGCACCGCAATAACTGAACTCCCAACAACCATGGTAAAGCTTGTCATACTAAACCTGCAAGACTGCAAGATGCTTGCAAAGCTTCCCGAGGGATTTGACAAGCTGAAAGACCTACAAGAACTAGTATGCTCTGGTTGTTCAATCCTCAGTGATCTCCCAGATGCCATGGAGAACATGAAGTGCTTGCAGATTTTACTGCTTGATGGGACAGCAATTACAAAGATTCCTCAGATATCCTCACTTGAGCGTTTATGCTTAAGCAGAAACGATAACATCGACCTTTTGGATGACATGAGTCAACTTTCTCAGCTGAAATGGTTGGACTTGAAGTACTGTAAGAAACTTTTATCTATCCCCGATCTTCCACCAAACCTTCAGTGCTTAGATGCACATGGGTGCAGCAATTTGAAAACAGTTGCGAATCCACTGGCTAATCATTTACCAAAAGAGCAGATTCCTTCCTCATTCATTTTCAGCAACTGTGATAAATTGGACCGAACTGCAAAAGAGGAAATCACAACCTATGCTCAAAGGAAATGCCAATCGCTATCGGATGCAATAAAACACTGCAATGAGGTATCTTTCTCATTATCTCCTCATTTATTTCTCGCTTTCAAGGAGCTTTATGACTACAAGGCTTTTGTATTACTTTTGCAGGGTTTTGGTCCAGAAGCTTTGTTTAGCACTTGCTTTCCTGGGTGTGAAGTACCTCCATGGTTTTGCCACGAAGCACTTGGATCCATTTTAGACCTCAAACTTCCCCCACACTGGAACGAAAAAAGGTTTGTCGGGATAGCTTTATGCGCGGTTGTCTCCTTTCCAAACGGCCAAGAACAAATCAACTCCTTTTCGGTAACATGCAAGATTTCCTTAGTTGGGTTGGGGATCTCCTTCGATCGCCTCGTTGGACGTTGTGACAAACATGGCAACGGCAACAAACCAGACAAGATGGCATCAGACCATGTCTTTATGTGCTATACCAGATGCCCAAACAGCATAAAATGTCTGGAAGACATGCACCACTCAGGTACATGTACTCCAACTACAGCTTCTCTTAAATTTGCTGCCACATATGAGAAAGCCGAGGTCAAGGTGCTCAAGTGCGGCTTGCGATTGGTGTATGCATCTGATGATACCCAGAAGATAAACTCAGATGTAACTACAAAGAGGAACAACAATGCCGCATAGTCTTACAAATCTTCACCAAGAGGTGAAGAATTCGAGCTTCAAGGTTCAACCCAAATAAGGAATGTCAATTTCAGCAGTGACAGTTTATCTTCCAGTGAATCAAAGAAAATATTTTTATTTGTTTTTTTGTGTTTTTTGATTTTTTTTTTTTTTTTTTTTTTCAATCAAATGAAATCTTACTCAGTACTGGGAGATGACATTCAAAATTAATCAAGTGTGGTTGTGCATCTTTCGACACAACTAGTCGTGTTTCCACTCTTTTGTGTCTTCAAATATCTCTGCTTCATCCCCGAGCAATTATCCTCAAGCCAAAAAGGCTCTCTTTATCGAACCTTTTTTTTATCAAAAACTCTATATTCTAACTCTTTTAGGTATCTTGAGGGAATCAATGGCTGAAATGCCATTCTTTCTCCAATTTCAATGTCATATGCCATCGTTATAATAATTAATTTATTTTCAGTTTATTTTTAATATAAAAAATATGTAAATTCAATTCTGTCCTTCAAAAAACTTTAGAATTACAAACTCAACATGGTTTTGCCCACGCAAATCTAGATCCAATAAAAATACCCTAGTTTTCTAAATTTACAGAAACTGTAAATCGATTCATTCATCTTCTTTCTCTTCGATCCCCTGTCTCCGTGCCACACCGTGAGACTATAAACTGAGTTTGATTCGTCTTCTCTTTCCTCCTCCTTTTTTCATCTCGAATTTTATACTTCTCTTCCTATCTCTCTTTTCGTCCATTTCCGTCAACCCTCTTCATCTCTCTTTTTCTCTCTTCTTTTGATTTGATTTATCAGATATGGTTAAAGTGAAATTTGCTAACAGGGTATACGAAACCAGAAGAGGTCAACGAAATGAAAACTTGGCAAGAGAATCAGAACCTGCCGAAGTTGTTCCTCCATCAGAAGCAGGAACCGCTCCTCCACTTCCTCCTGAAACTGACACAGCAGCAACGGGAACGAATGCTCCAACACCAATAAAAGGAACCGAAGAAGTGGAGAAAGTTCCTGAAGTGGTGCCTCCTGCAATCAATTCCGAGAATCCCCCCACTCCAGCAAACACAGAAGCGCCAATGGAAGAAAGAACGGAAGAAGTGGATAAAGTTCCTGAAATGCTGCCTCCTGCAATTAATTCTGAGAATCCTCCGGCTCCAGCAACCACATAAGCGCTAATGGAAGAAGGAACATAAGAAGTGGAGAAAGTTCCCGAAGTGGTGCCTCCTGCAATCAATTTCGAGAATCCCCCGGAAGTAGTGTCTCCTTCAATCAATCAGATGAATCCTGAAATAAGTGAAGAGAGTCCCTCAACTCCAGAACCAGAAAAAACCCAAACTCCAGGTGAAGGGAGGGAATCCACAAAAAACGATGATGAAGAAAATGTGTCTGGTCAAGAAGAAGAGCAAGAGAATGTGGAGCAGAATGTGTCTGGCCAAGAAGAAGAGCAAGAGAATGTGGAGCAAAATGTGTCTGGCCAACAAGAAGAGGAAGATAATGTGTTAGACGAAGAACAAGAGGAAGAGAACGTGTCTCGCCACGAACAAGAGGAAGAGAATGTGTCTGGCTATGAACAACAAGAAGAGAATGTGTCTGGCCAGGTATCGTTTACAGATACATATACTTATGCATTTGCTTACTTTTAGACTGAATATTGAGAATGATTTTGTGTTGTGTGTACTTTATTGGACAAATGGTAAAAGTCAGTAGTATTTTGGTGTTCAACTATGTTTTCTAGGTTTAACTATATTAGTATCTTCAATGAATGTTAGGTTCAACTGCACTTGCTAGGTTCAACTAAGTATTGCTAGGTCCAACTATGTAGGCTTTGTTCAACTAGATGTTTAAAGTTCAACTACGCTTGATTGGTTAAGTTCAACTATGTTTTCTAGGTTCAACTACATTAGTGTCTTCAATGTATGTTAGGTTCAACTGCGCTTGCTAGGTTCAACTAGGTATTGCTAGGTTCAACTACGTATTTCTAGGTTCAACTATGTAGGCTTTGTTCAACTAGATGTTTGAAGTTCAACTACGCTTGATTGGTTAAGTTCAACTATGTTTTCTAGGTTCTACTACATTAATATCTCTAATGTATGTTAGGTTCAACTGCGCTTGCTTGGTTCAACTATGTTCAGCTTGCTTGGTTCAACTACGTATATTAGGTTCAACTAGGTTCGAGTAAGTATTTATTTATTTTAACGGTTTATTAAATCTGAGTTTGAATTCACAGGATAACGAGGATTATAGTACACCAGTGCAACCAGAGAAGTTTTACTTCGGTCCAGAGCAATATAGCAAGGCTTGTAAGATAGGATCGAGGTGTAGTGTGAAGGATACAGTGAACATGATAAAGCAGTTTCCAACTGAATTGAAGTGGTTCATAGCTCACCCTCAGTTTAAGCATATTTTTCACATGGAGGAGGAGCCAAACCGAAAGCCTATGGGCATGTGGATGTTGTTACTTCATCAAGCTTGTACGGATTTGATGAATGAGCTGTGGTTTGTGGTTAATAGAGTTCCTATTAGATATTCCATAAGAGAGCATGCTCTGTTATGTGGGTTGGACTGCCATGACTACCCGAGCAACTATGAAGAATTAAAGGATAAGAAAAATGGGGATTTTAAGTTTGTGGAGAAAATTTTTGGAAGGAAAGTGAACATAACAATCGCAGATGTGGGAGAGAAACTCGAGTCCTTGCGGAGCAGTGTGGAAAAGAAGAAGATGGTTGTCCTGTATTTCTTATCCACTGTTTTGAAAGCAAAGTCTAAGGTTGCAGGAAACATAGAGCCGTTCTTTCTTAAGATTGTTGATGATTTAGGATTGTGTAAAACATTCCCATGGGGGCGTTACACATTTGATGATTGTATGGTTGAGGTGAGGGAGAAGATGAAGAAGTTCAAGAATGGCATCGTGAGAGATAAATATTCATGGATCTTTTCTGGTTTCATTCTTCCTTTGGAGGTAACCAACTCTTACCAATGGTTTCAAATTATTAGTTTGTAGAAAATAAGGTTGTGATATTGTAACTTTATGTGTAGGCTTTTGCATTTGAGTGTATTCCTGCGTTGGGACGCAAATTTCGACTAGATGTTGTTCCACCTGAGAAGGACTGTCCACGATTGTGTAAGCACAAGTTTTGCCGAGGGTTCCATGAAATGTTTTCCTTTGGAAGACATTAACGAGACCATTGGAAGAACTAGGGTGAGAATTGTGGACGATTGTATTTGATATATGTTTGGTTTTAAAATTTACAATTGTCTTGATTTTCATTATCTCAAATTCATAGGATATCATTAGCATTTTGGAACCTGACTTGGACAAGGAAGCTCTTATGGATCACATCGTAGAGCCTGATTGTGATGATGGGATAGGCTTTATTGATTCAATCGTTGACTCCTGGAAAGACCATCTAATTGCAAAAGGAAGGAAGATATAGTGGAGAGATTTGTATGAAACAGACTTGGCAGGTAGAGGTGGAACTGCGAATGTCCCTAGAGAAGAATCAAGAGAAGAACCAAGAGAAGAACGCAGAGAAGAACCTGACACCGTTACACCATTACTTCAACAGATGATCCAATCGGTGGCGACGATGGGGAATTTGGTAAAAGAACTTCAGGAAGTGGTTTTTGGTTTTGATGAGAGACTGAAGAATGTTGAAAGTTTTGTGATGGAACAGCGAAACAAAGGAAACACCAGCGAAGGTAATACATTAGTTCTACTCTGATGGATCAATTGTTTTTTGCTGTTGTTAATAAAAAAATGTTTATATTAGGAGGAAAAGCTGGAGATAAAGAGGATGAGGAGCATGGAGCGGATGAAGAGGGAGATAAAGAGGGGGAGCATGGAGCGGATGAAGAGGGAGATAAAGAGGGGGAGCATGGAGCAGATGAAGAGGGAGAAGGTGGAGATAAAGAGGAGGGGCCGAAAAAGAAATAAAACACCAGTAAAAGAAAAACGAGAGCACCTTCTTGTCGGAAATCGAGCTAATTGGAAAGCTTTACCTGTTGAATGAAATTGGATCGTCCCCCTCTGTCTCTATCTCTCTCGACCTCTCTCTCTCCTCCTCTCTCTCAGTCGAAGTCGAAGAAGAAACAGAAAAAGAAAAAGTAACTAGGGTTTTCAGAAAAATAGTCGGACCCTGATTTTAATTAAAAAAATCTATTATTTTTAATTTTTTTCCGCTGGCGGAAAACTCAAAATTGAGTAAATTTACCAAAAAATTAGAACTTAGTTGTCTCCAAGGAAGCAGTTGAATCCAATTCTTAATAGTTGTACTTTTTATGATTTTATTGTATTTCTAGTTGAACCTTCCTCTAAACTATTATATTGTAGTTGTATAAATGACTTTGGACCATTAAACATCATTTATAACGTTTTCATACTGCAATATATGAAATATCAAATATTTTGAGTTTTTCAGTCCTGAAAGGCTTAACATTGTTGATGTCTTCCTTATATTGTAAGGGGTGGTTGATGTAAAAACATGATTTTGTATAGAAATAAAAAATTAATGTTTACCATATAAGTAATTGTTTCCTTATAGTTGAAAATGTGTTCATAGGTCTTCTTTGTTATATTCACATCACTTGAAGCTTTAATAATAGTTTACTGTACTTCAAAAGTTGATATTAGTTGTACCCAATTGCACCTAGTTGCACAAACAAGTCAACTTTAATAGTTGTACCCAGTTGAACTTGGTAGTTATACATGAACCCAGTTGAACTTGGTAGTTATACATGAACCCAGTTGAACTTGGTAGTGCGAATGGCAATACGTAAACGTTAATAGTTGTACCTAGTTGAACCCGGAAGTGCAAATTTGACAAAATAAACTTCAGAATTGTTTATACTTGTACCTAGTTAAACCTGGTCATACAAATTCACCAAACTCAAACACAGAAAGATTCATAGTTGTACATAGTCTAACATGGTTGTTCAAAACCGAAAATTACAAAACACACACAGAAATCAAACTGAGCTGCCACTTTGGCTGCTCTGAAAATAGAAAGCAAAACCTCTGCCAGACACAGACCTGTTACTTGTCTTCCTGCGACGTTTCCCAGTGGATGGAAAGCGGTTTTCTTGATTTCTTCCTGGCGATTTGGTGTAATCAGGTGGTAAAGCAAACTTATTTAGTATTTCCTCTGGAATACTCCAACAAGACTCATTCGGCACTGGATAAATCGTCTTGTAGTATGCCAATGCCCACGTATCAATCAAGTAATATCTAGAGCATAAGTCGTATAGACTAATATCCGATGTTCTCCCTCCCTTTTTCATCAGTGCTGCGGCTGCGGCGATTGCATGAACACAAGGATACTTGTCTATATCCAACCCTCTGCAAGAGCAAGTTTTGCTCGACAAATCCACCAAGTTACCCTTCCCATCGAGTCCAATGACGGTGTATACGAGCTGGAAGCTGTATAGCTCAGTCACAACTAAACGAGCAGCAATTGGACATAGTTCATGCAATTTGTTATCCACATAAGGCACCACTTTCTTTGACATCGGCATATCAGCAGCAGTCTTCCTATGCTTGTTAAACCAATATGTCATTTTCTCAACAATCGCATCAATCATTGGTAAGAGAGAGTACTTCCTTACTTCCTTAAACACACTGTTGAGAGATTCACAAAAATTGCTGGTGTCTAAATTGTACTTGTCTCCTTTAAAGTAGCACCTTGCCCACTTATCCAACGGTACAGTCTCATGCAAATACACAGCAGCTGCAGGAAACCTCTTCTTAAAATCAGCATACTCCCTTTCGAAGTCACTCACAATATAAATATGAGCGCATTGGATGAATTTTGCCGCCACTAGATCTTTGTTCACCTTATGCTGAACTTTACCTCTCACGTTTTGAGATAAATGCCATATACAATGTCCATGCTGGGAGTGGGGATACACCTTCGCTACTGCATTTATGATGCTTTTATGTCTGTCACTCATAAAAACCAATTCAGGATCATCAGGTATAACGATTTTCAGCTTCTCGAAAAACCACATCCAGCTGTCATGCTTCTCAGTATCAATTACACCAAAAGCAATGGGGTAATGGTGATGATTAGGATCCTGAGCTGTGGCAAAGACAAGCTGTCCACCATATACAGTCTTAAGAAATATTGCATCCACAACTATCATTTTTCTCATTGCTTGAAACCCTTCAATGCTAGCGCCCAAACGCCCAAAGCAATGAATAGGTACTTGAACTTTTTCTCTGCATCCAATTCCACACTTGTTACGGTTCCAAGATTTACCTTCTCTAGCATGTACAAATAAGAGTATAACATCCTATAACCTTCTTCAGAAGTGCCCCGCACATCACTAACAGCTAGTTTTTTTCCTCTTAAGGCGGTAGAGTAGGACAAACTAACACCAGCTCTACTATGAACCAGATTCACGATATTTTTAGAAACTGGGGTGTCAAATTGACCAGGATAGTCTTGCTGTAAAACAGATGCTACTAGTCGTGGGGTGCCTCTCCTTCTACTAGTGCTTGTACTCTCAACGGTCCGAGAGCATGTATGCATCTTTCTGTATACTCTAACACTGAAATAATCCGATTTCTTAAACCTTGCAGCTCGTAAATACCATTTACAGCCTTGATTCTTCTGACGGCATTCTAGAATAAGTCGCCTTGTATCTGACTTATAAGTATGGACCCCAAAACAGTTATTATGTGCAGCTCTGTCAACCAAATCTTGCACTGCCTCCTTAGAACAAAATTCTTGACCAATTTCAAGACTTGTACCATCTTCCCATTCTTCAACACACTGACTAACTTCTGCAAAACCTGGAAGCTCAATATATTGATGCATACCATCGAAACCGTTCTCCATATCCCCATCAGTAAATTCATTACCATCGTTCTCTGTCACCTCCTCAATAATCAGCTCCCTATGTTCTTCTCTTTCCGAGACTGCTCTATAAATAGTAACCGCATTACAAACATCATCATCAGCTCTACCATTTGCAACCGGCTCCTCATAATTCACACCAAATGAACTACCCACTTTGGAAGCTTGCTCACTCCTACCCGCTTTAGAAACTGAATTTGTTTCTAAACCTTTGACTACCTCCACATGCAAAACAGATCTTAGCCCCTCGTTATCCACCGTTGTTAGATAAGCATATACGTCATCATCAACAAAAAATTTTGTCTCGTTGATCGGTTTATTTACCAACGGAATGTAACTCAATTTCAGGTGTGCATTAGCTCTATCTATCCCAATCTTACTGCATATCTTATCTACTAACACCGAGTAAGTTATCTCTTCCACAGATAAGTTCCTAAATGGTATAGCATATGTGGAATTACTTATAAGCCATTTCAACTCCCCTCCGTCACGTGAATAAATCCCTCCATAGTCAAAATATATGTTTGTGTGGTTGGTGCTCATGCTCTCCTGAAAATATAATGAAAATAGTCGATCAGTTGAACTCAATTGAACTCAGTTGAACACAAAGTACCACAGTTATACCAGTTGAACTCAATTGAACTAGATTGAACTCAGTTGTACCAGTTGAACTACACCTCTCATTTGTACCATGTGTACCAGTTGAACCCAATTTAACTCAGTTTTACCAGTGCAGCTATACCTCACGTACCAGTTATACTAGTTGAAATCAGTTGAACTAAAGTGAACTCAGTTGTACCAGTTGAACTACACCTCTCATTTGTACCACGTGTACCAGTTGAACCCAATTTAACTCAGTTGTACAAGTGCAGCTATACCTCACGTACCAGTTATACTAGTTGAAATCAATTGAACTAAAGTGAACTCAGTTGTACCAGTTGAACTACACCTCTCATTTGTACTAGTTGAACTCAATTGAACCAAAGTGAACTCAGTTGTACCAGTTGAACTATAGCTCTCATTTGTACCAGTTGAACTTAAGTTTTCAGTTGTTCCAATTCGCTCTCAGTTGTACCAGTTGTACCATTTTTCCTATCAAAAGTCTGGGAATTTCGAGCTCGACTTTCGTTGTTCTGCATATGAATCTTATTAACATAACCACGTTCTTCTCACAAATTACCGAACGTATGGTTTAATCTATCCACAATACATTGTTACCAACCTAGATCCCTAATTTTTCAAATCTAAAGCCCTAATTTTTACACTCTAATTGAAATAGAAGAAATCACCTTCAAAATATGAGATCTTCAACAATGGCAGAAAGAGGACTGAAATTCTGGGTCGGACGAAGTGGAGAAAGAGTCGAACTATGCTGGATGAAAAGGATGACGGGAGAAGAAGCTCAGGGAAAGAGCTTGGAAACCAGAAGAGAGCCCGGGTGAGAAGAGAGAGGAGGAGCTCGAGCTCAGCGAGACTGCGGGGATGCGGGAGATCGAGATTCAATTTTTTTTTTTTTTTTTTTTTTTTTTTTTTTACTTTTACTAATTTATTTTTACTTAGTTAATTTTAGTAACTTTGACTAAGGATTGATTTGTAATTTCACATATCATTTAAATGAGAAAGTAACATTAGATCATGGGATGGCAGTCCAGATCAATTTTTCTGCCAAAATGACATTTCAGCTCTTCGCTCATCTTCAGGTTAGAGCACGACTGAGATTGCAAGAAAGTACCATTAAAGTTGAGAACTTTACTTTATTTACTGCATTGAACGAGATATCAGACACCAATTGGGATGGGCGCAGATCGATAAAGTTACAGAGCAGACGCTAGGGGGTTATAAAGTTTACACTTTTGCCCATGTCGATTACTCTAATTTACGAGAGGGAACACCTCTGTTCTAAGCGCTCTACAGATCCAAGCCGTCGTCTTTCACCGTCGAGCCTGGCAATCGAGTTTTGCTCCACCATTGCTTGATTTAAGGTCAAGATTTGAGAATCGAGACTGAATTCAAAGGGGTTTGGTTTTTCAGCTATTGGGGGACGTCCAATTTCTTCTCCCTCCTCTTTTTTACCAAGCCCAGTATGCTCTGGTTCAGGCTTTTAGGGCTGTAGCATAAATTTTTCGCTTTTCCAAAATTGCCCTCGTCACCACTCTCTCTCTCCTTTCTCTCACCTATGGCCTCCGTCGCGCTTCTTCGCTCTATCGGCCGCCGTGAACTCCACGCAGCTTCTTTCTCTGCGTTCAAATTCGTATAAAGTTCACCCTTAAATCTCGTTGTTATTCTGTTATTTTATGATTTGGGGTTGCTTGGGACTGTGGATTACTAAAATCTCGCCTTTTCGCTTCTGCAGAGTTCTGCTAGCGCCGACGGGAGACGACAGAGCTCCGGTTACATGGAGTTAAAGATATCATCGCCGTTGCGTCCGGTAAAGGCGGAGTGGGAAAGTCTTCTGTTACGTGTGAGGGTCAATTGGGTCAAGGCAAATGTTCTTGGGCCTAAAGGGGACAATGATCGAGTCATTTGCTTTACTGTAGTGGGTTATGGGCTGTGGCTGAGTCAATAAGAGTGGGAAGAAGGATCTAGAAGTCTCTAGAGAGAATGGGCATGTGTCCTGAGTCATGTTAGTGTTAAATAGAGAATAGGATCTTGGGAAAAAGGTATCACGGAGTTGATCAAAGTGTGTGGGAGTGGAAGAGAGACCTCTCGAACTATCTCTCTAATCGTGTATTTATATTTATCAATCTATAATAAAGAGTGTTATTATCAGATCGTGCCTTTGTTTTACCGTTCCGATACGTTTTGCGTATCAAATGGTATCAGAGCGAGGTCGAGACTCGGGAATCATGGCACCAGAATCAGAGGAACCTGATGAGAAAACAGCAATAAAGATGATTTTGGAATACATGCAGCGTATGGATTGGAGCGCCATCGATCGCTTGGATCAAAGTTTGAACAAGATGATAGAGGGATTAAACAAAGGAGTTGAAGTCGAATCAGACACAAATCAGATGGCGATCCATGTTGAAGCATCTCGAAAGAGTGTTGATCATACCCAGAAGCAGAATCAGCCGACGATAGGGAGGTTCGAGACTCTTTCGCTTGTCTCAGATACGGTGAAAGATGTGTGGGTAAGTCCGAAATCAACAAAAGGAGATGATTTGCTTTTCTCTCTAGAGAATATGTTCCAAGAAAAACTATCAGATGAGCAAAAGGGGACAGAGGTTGAGTGGAATGAACATGTCGGCAAGTGTTTGATCAAATGACCCTTAGGAAGAAAGGGAATACAAAGAACAAAAAAAAGAAAAGATGGAAGAAGCATTGTCTGGGGATTCGAAAGCACTTATGGAAAAGTGTGGGTTCTAGGAAGGAGGATACATCTCTTGGCTGTGAAAAAGAGTTGATGGGATTTGATGACACAAGAAGAAGGGATGTACGTCTGCAGAAAGGAGAACAGCAAACTGGGGCCAAGAGAGGGGGATGTGCCTGTCAGTTGTTCGACAGAATCCACCTGAGAAGAAAAAGGATAACAAAGAAGAGAAAAAGGAAGAGATGGAAGGAGGTTGCAAAGAAGAACTATAAACCTTATGGAAGGTCAGAGAGAGGCAGTAAGATCGAAAGATTTAGGCTGGAAAAAAAGCTACAAATGTTGAATGGCCAGAAGTTGCAATGTGATGCTGAGGGAAAGAAGATCAAGCATAAACGGTTGTTGTCAAAGCTGCCATGGACACACGCAGCAGTTAAGAAAAAGCTGGCCAGGTGGAAGAAACACAAGTTTAAACAGAAGCAGAAGATCAATGAAAGTTGTGCTGGTAAGCAGATTGCTTCTTGCTGGAATGTAGGCAAAAAGAGAGAGAAGAAGAAGAGGATCACGACAGATATGAGTTCTGACTACAAATGTGGAAAGGTGAAGTCTACAACTACTAGTCAAATCCAGAAGGTGAACATGCGCAGAAAGCAAATCAACAAGAGGCTAGTGGAGCAATGTAAGTCATTGAACGATCAAGTTGTTTATAACCGCCGAGCCTTGGAGGAAAAGGTCAGGTTGGAGTTTACAAAGAGAAAGAAGAGTAGAACAAAGCTGATGGAGTATGAGAGAAAGGGAATCAACCAGGATCTGGTTTTTGTACAGATACGGTGGGTACATAGGACAGCTTGGAAGAAGCCTGCACAAGGGAAGAAGCATAAGTTTCAGCAGAAGCACAACAAGCAGAAGGAAATAGTCAAGGCAAAATTATTGAGGTGCCTGATTTTAAACTCTTGGAGTCATAAGCTTGCACCTGAACGTTCTAGAAGGAACTTCGGCAGAGGGGGTAAGAGAAAGTATGGCTGTGAGAGTGTCTACGTAAGGGGTCATGAGTGGCTGCAGCTGAACGGTCTAATGATGCAGAACATGAAGTTGTTAATTGCCGAGATCAGCGAGAAAACAAAGGCGAAGGAAGAGCGTGGGGATTCAGGAAAGTTCCTCCTGCTAGTTACAACAATATGGATGCAAGTTCTGGAGAAATGGAAGAAACATAAGGTCAAATTCAAGTACAGATACAAGCACATGAAGGGCAATAAGAGTCTGTACTTTTATGCAAGCGATTTTAGTGCTTTAGTTGCTACAGTTTCTATGAAGAAAAAGAACGGGTTTGAAGGGCAGAAGAATACCGAGGAGTGGATGGATGGTGAGTGCTCTTGGCTATACAGAATGTGGCTGCTAAGATTCACTCAGCAGAAGAAGCAAAAGAAGACCCACAACCCGTCCAATGCTATTTTGGAAGATATTGGAAGCTTGCAAGGCTGCGAGGCCCGGAAAAATCCAGGAGATGGGAAGATGACTGTTAAACGAAGGCATTACAGAGCCCGGAAAAAGAAATCAAAACAAAAAGATGGGTTGCTGCAACAGCTTACTTACGATGACCTGATGGAGATTGAGAAAGGAGTCTTCCTAGCAAAGAGGCCCATGTTGCACGAAGATGCCAAGAACTTCACCAGGTTGGTGGTAAACAGAGGGGAAGAAACGATGAGTTGCAGGGCACAATTCATGGAAACACAAGAAAGGGGTGGATTCCGGCTCGTACAAAAGGTGGAGCGTTTATGGAATCTGAGTTATCACAGTTGAATTCATCAGTTTCCCCAGAAATAATGATGGTAAGAGCCTCTGATTTTACTCTTGACAACCAAGTTTGGGAGCCTGGTGGGAATTCAGCTGAAAACTTCCGCAGTAACTGGGTCAAAGAGTTACTTACGCACAGAAGTCTTGGTGAAATCGGATTCCAGAGAGCTTCAGCAGACTCTTCTCATATCGAAGGGATAGCTACTACAATAGCATGAGTGCTAAAAGACATCATCGACATCAAGCGTGCTTTGCATTCTTTCCTGGAGATAGGATCACTACTCTCGCAAAAACAGTTTACTCTCTTTGACCTTGAGGACAAGGTCAATTTGAAAGGAGAGAGTATTGTTACGTGTGAGGGTCAATTGGGTCAAGGCAAATGTTCTTGGGCCTAAAGGGGACAATGATCGAGGCATTTGCTTTACTGTAGTGGGCTATGGGCTGTGGCTGAGTCAATAAGAGTGGGAAGAAGGATCTAGAAGTCTCTAGAGAGAATAGGCACGTGTATTTACGTTTATCAATCTATAATAAAGAGTGTTATTATCAGATCATGTCTTTGTTTTACCGTTTCGATACGTTTCGCGTATCATCTTCAACAGCTGGTATTTTGGGTGTGAAATTAAAATTGTTATGATTTATTTTTCCAAATAGATAATGTGAGAAATCTGTAACTTTTGGTTGATGTAGTTAACTTAGCTGTTGTATTGGCCAACAAATGTGAACTGAAGATTGGATTGCTTGATGCGGATGTGTACGGACCATCTGTTCCAATCATGATGAATATCAATCAAAAGCCTCATGTAAACCAAGGTAGATACATAGATACAGTTACCTCTTGCATTTCGGATTATCATTTGTTAGTCTGCATCTTCATATCTTACACTTCTCCTGTTTTCTGAAGATATGAAGATGGTTCCTGTTGAGAACTATGGAGTTAAATGCATGTCGATGGGGCTCCTTGTGGAAAAAGATGCACCAATTGTGTGGAGAGGTCCTATACTATGGTGTGTTTTGTTCTAAGAATTACATCATCTAAGAATTACATAAGTATTAAGTAGTGTAAAAAAACAGACTAATAAATCCATTCGGTTTGAACTTTGAAGTTGCAAGCCTCTGAAATTTAATACATTAAATTATCATACATAGTGATAGTACCAATTCATAACACGATGTTTTAAATAATTTTGATACGGTGGTTGTGGGATACGAACGTTGACAAAGAAAAAAGAATGATCGAAAATTAAACTTATAATGATACAAACTGAAGTTATCATGTAAATTAAACGACAACACAGCAAAAGACAAGAAAAGAATAAAATATTGGTTGGTTTATGATACTTCTTTAATCACACTAGACAGCATATGACGTAGGAGTGTAAGGTTGAGCTCCAGCATTATAACCTTGAGCTCCAGCATTGTAACCTTGATTAGCTTGTGGTGTGGTCGGGTAAGCCGTTGCCATCGTCGAGGAGCCACCAGGTCCACTGACTTTAGTTATCCCTTGATGTCGACCCATGTAGAAGCATCCCACACAACCACTTATGGCTAGGAACACCATGAATATGAACAATGGCAGCGAGAAATACACTACGATCATCGCTTAAGACACGTCGGTAAGTGAAAGAGAGATAGATGAAGAGGGAATGAAGAAACAAGGGAAGAGAGTTTATGGATTTTATAAGAGAATGTTGTTGCTGCAAAGTGCAAGGTATTGACTTTTGCCAGAAACATAAAATAGTAATGTAGGGCAAGTGTTCTCTACATTAATATGTTAGTAGAGAGTAATGGAATTTGTGTGTCAAAAGTCAGATGATCACATGATAATTAACAGATTAAATTAAGTTTTTCGATAAATGCCATTTTAATATTGTAATTTTAATCACTAGCAGTATGAATTTATGGAGTCCTCAAATGTTTTAATCAATTGTGTGCGGGTAGATTATTTGGTATATTATCTGATGAAAATGCTTATATAATTGAGTTTAGCCTATTGTAACTTTGTAAGAAATCTATATAACTATAATTATCAAAAACTGATTTTTAATTTGTACAAGACTATCCTCGGAATGAAAAACTTAAAATAAATTCTGAAAATGTACTCCAAAAATGTGATGAATACAATTGTCTCATAGAATAATAATAGCAAGTCAAGTCAAGCTCTAACGTTTATTGAGTTTGGTACTGTTGTATTATTTTTTGGATTATGATGCATGATTACCTCATATGTTTTGGCTGGCAAAACAGTTTACGGATTAATTTATTTTCAACTATGTCTAATTGACTTGTCCATGCATGTACTTAAACTTCGTGGTTTCCAGTTTTCCACTTCCGTCTTTGTAATTCTCTTAATTTAACTAACTTGAAATCTTTTTAGCAATGGAAAATTCACAGCTTTATCTACAATTACGACTAAATATTGGGATGTCCTAAATCAATTTTTTTGGATATATACTTGGGCTAGGTAACGAGGGAATATCAATTGGAGAGGTGGAACAAAACAAAAAGTGGGAAAAGATCAAATGACATTAGTAACTTGTAGCCCACGAAAACTAAATTTCATTTCTTCTTTTTATAGAACAGCTTTTTGAACTATTAATTGTGTAAGAAACTAGATGAATGCAAAAATATCAAAAGAAAAGAAGAACCCCCTGTGAAGGCCTTCGCATATTATTACACAGTTCACATTTTCATCACAACACTTTTATTATTGTTTCTAATTTATTTTTGATTAAATTGGAAATAAAGAATATTACGTATCCAAGCTTGAAATCCTAACATTTCCAGTTAGCTTTGTTCTTTGTTTCACTTAAGCATGTGAACCAAAAGCAATTTGATTCACCATTGTCAATCGTATACCTTCATGAGTTTTTAGACAAAGGCAATTTTCCTCAAAAAAAGCTAAAAGGCTCTCCCTTTGGTGTGTCTTCAGTCTCCATATTACATTGCATTTCTCACTTAAAGTTGAGAACTTTACTTTGCTTTCCGATCCTCAACTGTATTAACCGAAATAATGTTTAAGGATTGGCGGAGCAGAGCAGACGCTGGGAATGTTATGAAGTTTACACTTTTGCCCATGTCGATTCTCGTAATTTACGAGAAAAACCCACCTCTGTTTTTTTTTTTTTTTGACCGCTCTAGAGATCCAAGCCGGCATCTTTCGCATTAGAGCCTGAGAAACTGTGATTTGCTCCTCTCTACGAAGCTTAAGAATCCAAGGGGGTTTTCAGCAATTGGTTGGAACATTTTCGTCTTCCTCTTGTTAATAAGTCTAAAATCTTTTCTTCTTCAGGGTTTTAGGGATTTAAGCACAAGTTTATTGCTTTTCCTAAATTTGTCATTGTGGCCACACTCACTCTCTCTCTCTCCCATGGCCACCATCGCGCTTCTACGATCTCTCAGCCGTCGTAATCTTCACGCAGCTCCCGTCTCTGCGTATCAATTCGTATGAAACTTTTTTTTTCTTAACCTCGTTCATTTCGTTGCTCTGATGAACTCCTGATCCTGTTATCTTGAGGTTTGGGACTGCGGAGTACTAAAATCTCGCCTTCTCGCTTCTGCAGAGTTCTGCTAGCGCCGGCGGGAGGACGACAGAGCTCCGGTTACATGGAGTTAAAGATATCATCGCCGTTGCGTCCGGTAAAGGCGGAGTGGGAAAGTCTTCAACAGCTGGTACATCAGATCTTTCAATCTAAACTTTGGGTGTGAAATTGAAATTGTTATGATTTATTTTTCCAGATAGATAATGTGAGAAATCTGTAATTTTTGGTTGATGTAGTTAACTTAGCTGTTGCATTGGCCAACAAATGTGAATTGAAGATTGGATTGCTTGATGCGGATGTGTACGGACCATCTGTTCCAATCATGATGAATATCAATCAAAAGCCTCATGTAAACCAAGGTAGATACATAGATATATAGAGATACCTCTTGCATATCGAATTATCATTTGTTAGTTTGCATCTTCATATTTTTGCACTTCTCCTGTTTTCTCAAGATATGAAGATGGTTCCAGTTGAGAACTATGGAGTTAAATGCATGTCGATGGGGCTCCTCGTAGAAAAAGATGCTCCAATTGTGTGGAGAGGTCCTATGGTGTGTTTCTGCAACAACAGCAAAATCTGATGAAACTTAAAACTTTTCTTTTCAGTAATCAAGCTTGTGGTATTGTTACAGGTAATGAGTGCTCTTGCCAAAATGACAAGAGGAGTTGATTGGGGAAATCTCGATATTCTTGTTGTTGATATGCCTCCTGGAACCGGCGATGCTCAAATTACCATATCCCAAAATCTTAAACTCTCAGGTACATATTTTACATATCTTCTTGGTAGCATATGGAGCTGTGTTTGTTTAGGCAAATCTTGTAGTTATGAGAGTGTGCTTATGTTTCCAGGTGCTGTAATTGTATCAACTCCACAAGATGTTGCGCTTGCTGATGCTAATCGAGGAATCTCCATGTTCGACAAAGTTAGAGTACCTGTACGCTCACCAATATCCCCCTTACTATTTTTGTGTACTCGTAAAAACTTATATTTCGTCTTAGCTGCTTAAACCTTTTCTGCATTTTCTTTCTAGATTCTGGGACTTGTGGAGAACATGAGTTGCTTCGTTTGTCCTCACTGTAACGAAGCTTCTTTCATATTTGGGAAAGAAGGGGCACGCCGGATGGCTACAAAGAAGGGTTTGAAACTCATCGGTGAGGTAAATAATCTATAACCCAAAACTGATGTTTATATATATAGTCTTGTAGATTCTCTCCATGGCTTTTACAAGGTATAATATTATCGGTCGTTTTTATAATAGATTCCACTGGAAATGAAAATCAGAGAAGGTTCTGATGAAGGTGTTCCTGTGGTTATTTCTTCACCTGGTTCTGTTGTATCAAAAGCTTATGAAGATCTAGCTCAAAACGTGGTGAATGCACTCAAGGAGCTACGAGATAATCCAGAGACTGAGATTCAGATGAAACTTAACGTTCCAAATTCTAGTCGCTGTTCATAGAACAAAGCCATGAGAGCAAGAGGCATGTAACCCAATTTTGTCTCGTTGTTTCACCTTCTCAGGTTATAGTACCAAATAGTAGAATGTTTGCTATTACTGAGAGGACAAGAGAAGAATGTATTTGCAGAGGACAAAAGCAGTAGAGAGACAGTCTTTGAGAACCATGTGAATCAGCACATCAATGTGAAGGCTTTCATTTATTAGTTAAGAAGATGTTGAATAATAAATAAGACATGTAGAGATTTTTTGACAAAAGGATTCAATGTTCTGAGTAAGACACGTTGAGATCACCAAATTATATCTTCATTGTCTTCTCCTTCATCTTTATCTTCAAATTCAAGATCCTCGTTGCCATACAGTTCTTCGACTCCTCCATAAGCATCTTCATTACTGTAATCCTCGTTCCAATTTAGTTCTTCTTCTTCTTCAGAACTCTGAGGTTTCAATACGCATTCTTTACTGCTTTGCTGTGAATTTTCCAATTGATCATCAACAGTGACTGGTTTCTCTAACTTAGCCCTTTTTGGAGAGTTCTCCTACAGAGATACGAATACACATAAGAGACTAGACAAAGAAACAATCATCAATAAACTGACATCTCTTCAAGTTTGAATACTACAAAAGAGACAGTTTACAAATAGAGCGCAGCTTAACCATAAAAGTGACAGATAACAATAGAAACAGGGGTAAACTTACATCATCAAATAGCTTATCCAAGAGATCGTAATTGATATATGAACTCAGTCTCTGCATGCAATTAGTAAAGGGAATACATGTCAGACAATAAATTTAACTCCAGAGGAAAAATAAGGAGGATCCAAAGATATCAAAAAGAAAGAAGTTGTTTCAGAGATAAGGAGAATCCAAAGATATATAAACAGCAAACGATCTAGACATTGTTTCAGAGAGCAAGCTGAAGGAATAGTAGCACTGACCTTTTTATTATTTTCACTTTCTGCATTGCTTTTGGTTGAATTGGTTCTGACTGCGGAAGTTTTCTTACTAGGAGCAGTCTTTTTCACTGTGGTGGGTTTCCTCTGCTTTTCCTGATGATCAATAGAAATGAAAAGATTGTTAACAAGAACGTCAATGTACAGTTAGAAAAAGAATTAAGAAGATCAAAGACAGGATAAAAGCAAAAACCTTTTGGTAGTCGGGGTTCATCATTTCCCACGCTATCTTATTCAGAAGGAATTCTTTTTTCTTATTTATATAACGAGCAACCTGATGAGCAGAAATAACCATCAAAATCAGAACAAGAAGTACAGAAATTAGTTTATATTTGGAAGCTTTCATACATAAAATCGAACACTAGAGAATACAAAGGAAAGTAAAAACCAGAAGGTAAACACCAGAGAATAGTTTTGACTATGTTATATGGTCGGAATCAAGTGAAACTAACGACATGATGGACTTACATGTTAACAATAGCTTGGTTCGCCACAATCCAGGAACAATTTGTTGTGTTTACAGAGACTAAAACCATGATAGATGGGATTCAAATCAGAATAAACTTTCACAGAAACAAATTATATCCTTCTTAAGAAAGGTCGAGAGAGATGTAATGACTTGAATACAATGTGTCAAAACTCGTGGGGAGATACAATACAATGAGCATCAACAAAACGTTTAAGGTAAGACATTGAATCTTTTACCTCAGCATCACTGATATCAGATAAGTCCTTTGCAAGATCACCATCAGACTTTCGAGAAGGAAAAGCTCCTAAAAAGTCAAATCACATCATCGTTTAAGTAATTTACCGGAAAAATAACAATCCACATTGCATAATCATAAACATAAATATTCATTTACCCTTTTTGCCACATAATTTTAGGTTTTTAGCCAATGGTGTAGATGCCAAAGCTTGGCTAGTAATTTCAACATGTGTAGTGTTTTTCGAGGATAGCTTTACTGATTTCTTCTCCACCTGCAAAACGACGTACCAATGATTAGAAAACATTCAAAATATATAGTTTCTCTGCAAAGATCAGATTTCTACTGTGTATTTATATGATTTAGATCAAATTACGAAGTTCCTCATAAGTTTCTGCTAATTCTCCTCTCTAGATCACACAATTCAAGAAGAAGAAAAAAAGTTTGTTCTCGCATTACCAAAAAAATTTGTTTGTCCATCAGGAATCAGATGTAATTGATGGACATTGGTAATTTTATAAACAATGCTCCACAAAGCAAATAGATGTTAGATTGAATCCAGAATCAGAGCAAAAACCGAAGAAAGAGGGGAAAATTTTACCATTCTTCACGAACCCAATGTGGCAAGATTGGAGCCGGCGAGAATTAGGGTTTGAATATCAGAAAGCAAGGGACGCTCAAAACCAAGAACACGCGACGGTGAGAGAGAAGTGTATATGAACGAGACCGACATCGGAGAAGGTGTGATTTAATGAGTTTTTCCTTTTTTAAATTGAAATGTTTTGATTTTTGAAATACACTTTTGATAATAAGATATTTCTATTTTTACCCTCTTATTCTCAAAACCTTCGGTTTTTCCCCCAAAAGAAAATTCCGAGAAAAGAGCGGAGTGGTGGTGACGGTGGGTTTAACTCAATTCTTCCTTCTCTCGCTCCTCGCTGCGTCTAGGGTTTCGTTTTCGCGTCTCTTTTCCTGGATTAGTGCCACTGTTTTAGGTAAGTATCGATCTTTTCATCTGTTCATCCGAATTGAGGTTTCTCCGTCGTTTTTTCTTCTCGGATTCTGTGAATTTTGCCAATATATCGCATTTCGCTGGAGAAATTGTTCGTCGTCACTATCGTGGATTCTTTTTTCTTTTTTACCTGAACATGCATTGTTCCATGGCAATATTCGATCTTTACCATTGATTTTGATCATTTAGGACATTCAGTTCTATCTGTTTCTTTTTGAAGACATGCGTAGTTTCAAAATTGACGACTTTCCTCACCCAGTTGATTTTCTGTTCTTACATTTCTGGTTAAGGTTCACAACAATTTAAGATTATTACAATTTACCCTCTTTTTCATAATCCGTGTGTATTACAGTCTAGGATCATCATCACTCTTTGCATACTCGTCCTGTGGTTCTGCTTACCAATGGATGGAATGTTGCCTGGGAGTCTTTCTGGAAAGAAGAGCGATACTTCGCCAGTCTCGAGCAATCTCCATGATAGTGAGGTTACACCTTGGTATTTTTCAAGAGTGGAGATTGAAAAAAACTCACCTTCAAGGCGAGATGGTATCGATTTGAAGAAGGAAACTCGTCTACGCAAGTCATACTGTACATATTTGAAACATCTCGGAGTGAAATTGAAAGTGTAAGCTTCTTTTTCCTTACCTGCATTTGTTATGCTGCGTTAATCATCTTCACTCAATACGTTTAGGCTTCCGTCTTTCCCCTCTGGTTAGTTTCTATCTTGAGTTAGTATTTCATAGATTCACCATCTTTAGTTAGGAACATGTATCTTTTGTACATATATGCTTTTGGTCTGTTAGAAATGGTACAGTTTGATTTGTTTCAGTCAATAAGAGCCATTGATTCTCTCTAAGTTAGTTTTTTTCGTAGCATTGGTTTATATACATACAATAGCTCCATCTGAATGTAAGAAGCTTTTGGATTTTGGTTGCCTTGGATGAATGTGGCTGATATTAATCTCTCAACGCAGTCCCCCGATAACGATAGCCACTGCTATTGTATTCTGTCACCGATTCTTCCTTCGTCAATCACACGCAAAGAATGACAGATGGGTGAGTTTAATTGGAGTGGAACATAATGGTTGCGGTAGGAGATACGTATATGGTCTTTAGTCTCTGTTGTTTTGAGTGAAACCGTCAGTCTATTAGCTTATTAGCTGTTCGGTGTTCCTTGAGTTTCGTCTGTGTATCGTTCTCCATCTCTGTCTCATTTTTTTTTGCTAGTTCTAGAAAAAGTTTACTAGTTGATTGATCATATGTGTCTACTTGATTTTCTTTCAAAGAAAAACCATCTGCGATAGAGATCAAGCTCTCTGTTTTGTCGGTTTGGGATAGAAGTGCATAGTTAATGAACTTGTGGTTGTTTTTGCGATGATTTATTCCTCTAGGGCAGAAAGAACAACTTAGATTAGAACTTATGCTTTTGCCTGTTACATTTTTCTCTCCAGACAATTGCAACAGCCTGCATGTTCCTTGCTGGGAAGGTCGAGGAAACTCCACGGGCTTTAAAAGACGTTATTATTGTCTCTTATGAGATAATACACAAGAAGGTTGTCGAAGCTGCTCAGAGAAAGGTTTTCTTTACACAACCAATCCTACAATCCTTGTCCATTTTCACTACTCTAATAGGTTTGTGAATAGATCTGTTTTTCCTTTTTTTTTACATATTAATGTTATTTTTCATTTTTGTAGGAGGTATATGAGAACCGGAAAGAGCCTGTGTTAAATGGAGAGGAGCTTGTTCTTTCTACATTGAACTTTGATCTCACTATTGGTCACCCTTATCAACCTCTCATAGACGCAATTAAGAAATATCTGGTCGAAGAGGCTAAGGCCCAATTTCCTCAAGTTGCGTGGAGTTTTGTCAACGATTGGTACGCTTGAAACATGCTCCTTCGAGATCTTTTTGAATTTTGAATGGTGCCTTGAGTTTTTTCCTTTTACATAAAATCGCGAGTCATTTGCAGTTACCAGACGACACTCTGCCTGCAGTACAAGCCTCGTCACATAGCGGCAGGTGCTTTCTTCCTTGCTGCTGAGCACCTAACAATGGACTTACAATCATATGAAGAGGGCTTGCGTCAAGAGTTTGATATCACACCTCGTCAATTAGAGGGTAATGTGTTATTGTCTTAAAAGTCAATGACATTGATGGCTCTAGACTTTGTTGAAGCGGATTATTTATAAAGTTTTTCTTTCTTCAGATATCCATGGCCAAATGCTTGAGCTTTATGAGAAGAAGCATGTTTCTGCATGTCAAGGAAGCATGGTCGAAAGAAGTAACAACGGTGGAGACGTAGTGCATCAACCTGTCTCAAGAGATATGGCTTCCACAGATAAATGTGCAAGCTCTGATATTGAAGGAGGCTCGTCGAAAGTCAATCTAAACCAGAGCGATGATCATTCGGTCCACGATAGGTCTAGGCCTGAAGGAATTGAAAAGGAGAACGGAGAAAGTGAAGCTGGAGACAATCGAGACGACCATTCTGTTCGTGTTATAACTGATAAGACAGGTGGTGATGTTGGGATCAGCCCGTTGGAGAAAGACTTGCAACTGCCTCGAGAGGAGGTGAAGGCTAAAGGAGAGAAAGATAAGGAGTCGTTTGGTAAAGGTGTAAAGAAAAGTGAATCGATGGATGAGAATGATTTGAGTGAAAGAGAAGTAGAAGATGTGGCACTGCACGATGAGGATGGCAAAACAATGCTGAAGAGAAGTCAAAGCTTTCCGAAAGTCGAGGTCGCTGATAGCAACATGACTGTCGAAAACAGTGAAATTCTGGATGCAAACTACTCAGGTGGTCATGGTTCGTTGATAGCTGATGTTTCTCAGATGAATGGCAATGATTTGAAGGAAATGGTCGTTGAAGATGGTGAAATAGTGTTTTAGATCTGTAGCTGAGAAGCTTGGAAAAGAAGGGTTTTGTACATGGAGATGAGCTTTTAAATAGGTAGGAGAGTTTGGAGAAACAACTATGTCATGTTCTCTCCAAAACATGATGGTTTAGTTTCATGATTTTTTGTAGATCCTTTGATTTGATTCAAGGAAACTGGGGTTATCATGACTTTAAATCCTGTTTTTCAGCTATGTCATAGCTTTTAAGAATCGTAGATATAAAACACGTGTACAATACTACAATGTGCTTTTGTTTTTTTCACATTTGGTGTACTCACCCAATTACGTGGAAATTAGATTGATCTTTGATTTTTTTTTATTTTTTTTTTCACTAGAATGAGGTTTTATTATACCCAAAAGAGGAAACCGAAAAAGTGAAAGCTCATCAATATAGAGCAAAGACAAACAGACCCACCAAACAGGTCGAAATAAAAACCAAAAGCCCAAAAGCCCATCCTCTTTGATTTTCACTTAGTTTTAGAACAGCTGTTATATGGTCTATCAAAGCTGGCCATTCTCTCGGTTTATGCAAAGCTTGTATGATCTCTAGCGATGATGCAGCAAAGGTAATGTTCTCTCGGCTGTGAGTCAAAACACGACCCATGATGCTCCGGAGAGCTTTCACTTTTTCAGTTCCCTCTTTTGGGTATAATAAAACTTCATTCTAGAGAAAAAAAAAAAAAAAAGATTGATCTTTGATGGTGTGGCACAATAAAAAAAAGTAGTAAACATTTGGGATATTAATGAAAAACTCTATTAAGTAAAAGCTCTATTTCAGCATTACTATTTGACGGTTGTAACTCTATTTTCAAACTCTATTTCAGCATTAATATCCCAAATGTTTACTGAAATAGAGCTATTCCAAACTCTATTAACTAAAAAGCTCTATTTGACGAAAGTAACTCTATTTCACAATTAATTAGTAGTTTAGATTAAAATTCAGCTAGTTTTGCGTATTTCTTGTTTTCCACATGTAACTATTAGAAAATCTATTTGATATTTTATTGATATATTAACTAAATTTTATTTTCTAATAAATAAAGTAAAAGTATTATGGTTCAAAATAAATTTTTATTTGCATTGGATATACGAAATAATTATGTACATGGTACATAGACACAATTTTAAATATTGATTAATATGCAAACCAAATATGCATAAAATATGTTGAAGCTGGTGTAGATAAAACAATTTTAAATTACCACAACATTGTTCAATAAATTATAAATATGACAATATTTAGAATGAAATGAATTGAGAATGTTATTAAGTATCTAGGAAGAAAACATAATTTGAAGTTTTTTATCAATAGATATTTGAATAAAGAAACACAAATAATTCGAAAGTTAAACCAAAATAAGACTACTATTATTTCAGAACAAACAAAAAGAATCTGAAAGGCCTTTGGACAAAATGTTCGACTGTTCGACTGTTCGACTACACTTTTCCCTCTATATTTCAATATTTCTCTATTTTTCATAATCAATGTTTCCTAATAAAAAGTTATCGTCACTGATGAAAGAAACCTAATCATTAGAACATTGATTATGAAAGCAAAAAAAAAAAAGAGAAACTGTAAGGTTTTTAGAAGGAATTTTAAAACTTTAAAACCATTAAAATCTGATTGGTCCCGGTAAAATATGGCTTAAAAAACTTTTAAAACTAATTAAAATCAAACTCTCTCGAATTCAATTCTCTTGCCAATCTAACCTTTTAAGTTCTTTCTGAAACTGATGATGATTATCGTAATTATCGAAATATTAAAATTAACATTAATTAATAGAAAAAGAGTGAAGGGTACTTTCTTTTTTCTCTTTTTTTTTTTATTTCTTTTTCATAAACGGTTTACTCTTTTTTCTCTTCTTCTTCTTCTTCTTCTTCTTCTTCTTCTCCTCCAGTTATCCTCCTCGAGTTTTTACTATAAAAAGGAAACTAATATATCAAACTCTTCAGAATTATCAATTTTGTACTCGCATTTGATCTTTGTCTGAGGTTTTTCTCTCTAGGTCGCCATCTTTATGTGACATTGCAAAGGTATGAAATTCGTCTAAATCTACTTGGCCTTTTGCTGTTCTTTTTTGGTTAATGGGTTCACTTTGATCCCTCTAGTTCTCGGGGTTTCTCTAAGAAAAACCCTAATTAGATTCGTCCGTACAAATCTGTTTAATTTCTAGGTGAAACATTGAAGTCGATAGATGAATTTTTCTTTAGACTTACTTCAGTTGATAGGTTTTGTGTATGTTTAATTATCGTTTTCTGCTCTGTTTTTAATTTAACAGGTGCGGAAACGGTTTCAGTGAAAAAACACTCTCTCTCAACGAGACATGGAATGTAATAAGGATGAAGCTAAAAGGGCAATGGATATTGCTCAGAAGAAACTTTCAGAGAATGATTACGTTGCGGCCAAGAAATTTGTTAACAAGTCTCAAACTTTATACCCGGAGCTTGATGGTGTGAAACAAGTGGCGGCGATGATCAATGTTTATACCTCGGCCGCAAGCAAGATCAATGGAGTAAGTGAAGCTGATTGGTACGGAGTTCTTGGTGTTGATACTCTGGCTAATGATGAAGCTGTGAAGAGACAGTACAAAAAGTTAGCTCTTTTGCTTCATCCGGACAAGAACAGTTTCAATGGCGCGGAAGGTGCGTTTAAGCTGGTTTCACAAGCTTGGTGTCTGTTATCGGACAAGGTTAAGAGAACAGCTTATGATCAGAGGAGGAAGTTAAAGACCGGGACGCAGAAACCACCAACCCAACCTAAGCCAGCTTCTGCTAACTGGAGTCAAAATGCTCGAGCCGGCGCTGATCCGAGTGCTAAAGCTAGAAGTAATCAGCCGACACAGAAACCACCAAAACAGCCACGCAAGGCAGCTTCTTTTAATCGGAATCCAAAGGCTCGAGCCCGTGTGGATTCAAGTGCTAAAGCTGGAAGCAATCAGCCAACACAGAAACCACAAAACCCACAAAAGGCAGCTTCTTTTCATGGGAATCAGAATGGTAGAGCCGGTGTGGATCCAAGTGCTAAAGCTAGAAGCAATCAGCCAACACAGGAGCCACCAAAACGACACAAGGCAGCTTCTTTTAACGGGAATCCAAATGCTAGAGCCGGTGTGGATCCAAGTGCTAAAGCTGGAAGTAACCAGCCTTCTTGTGGGACGCAGAAACCATCAAACCAACGCAAGCCAGCTTCTTCTAACGGGAATCCAAATGCTAGAGCCGGTGTGGATCCAAGAAGTAACCAGCAAGCGCCTGTGAATTCATCAAACGGCAGTAACTTTTGGACAATGTGCGTTGGATGCAGGAGACGATTCGAGTATGGTAGGGATCTTTATCTTAACAGGGCCGTTCTTTGTTCAAACTGTGGTCGGACTTTCATTGCAACCGAGGCAAATCCATGGGAAAGCCTTGTGATCCAAGTCAACTTGACATTAGCTCTTCTTCGACAACTAGAGCAAAAATGGAGTGCCCAAAATCAGGCAACGAACAGAAGCACAAACACAAACGGAGCTTCTTCTGCAGAGGGAAGTTTATGGGAACGTAATGTGAGGCAAGTCGAATACACATTATCTCTTCTTCTACAACGACAACAACAATGGAGTGCTCAGAATCAAGCAGCCAACAAAAACGCAAACGGAGCTTCTTCTTCTTCGCCATCTGTTGGTGCAACTCAAGAAACTCCAGATGAAAGCTTTGAGAGGCACCTCAGCTCAACATTGTCTCTTTTTCCAAAACTACAAAAACTATGGTGTTCCCAAAATCAAGCAGCAAGCAACAATGGGAAAAGTTCGTCGCCATCTGTTAGTGCAACAATGGGGAAAACTTCACAAGCAAGTTTTGTGAGGCCAGGCAACCTTTCATCATCATCATCATCTTCTCCTCAAGAACAACAACAATGGAGTGCCAAAAGCCAAGCAACAAACAAAACCACAGATGGAGCTTCTTCTTTTGGGATAAATCCTTCTTCATGTTCTAGTGCAGCTCAAGAAACTCCACAAGCAAGCGCCGAAAGTCAAGCATCAAATAGAGTTTCTACACCATCAGTTAGTGCAAGCGCTAAAACTCCACCGGTAGGTTCCGTGTGGCCAGGTGTCAACCTCTCACCATCTCCTCAACAACAACAACGGAATGCCCAAAACACAAGTGGTGGTACTTATTATTGTTCTTCATCATCTGGTAGTTTCCACCAGAATTGTTCTAATAGCGGAAATGCTCTAAATCAAGCACGAGAAAAATCGAAAAGAGTGCTAGAGGAGTTACAAGAAAAGCTTACTTCTGCAGAGAGGGTTCTTAATAAGAAGCTGAGGACAGATGTTAGATAATAAGCAAGACTTATCAGATGTTTAAGTTGTAGAGTCCTGCTTTTTAACCTTTCAGGGATTCTTTATGATATTTTTATGGATTTTTTGTTTTTCATCTCTTGGCTAAACTATTACAATGGAAGAAAAGGAGCAGGTTCTCCTTTCATCGTCAATGTGAAATGTCATAGTTTCTCGTAAACATTGTGATATTGATGGAATTGCAATCCTAAACTTTGTGTTTCTCTAGTTCTAGCTTTGAGAATCGTTGTCCTGTTTTTTTTTTTAATTATATTCATTTTTTTTTTTAGTTTCCAATTAATGGTATAGAGTATATTAGTCTGAACTTGGATGGAGTCATATTAGTGAATCCAAGACAAACAAATATTTTGTTTTTATCAGTACATTTTTCATCGATCATACATACAACATCGATAAAATAAATAAAAAAGGTTGACTTTCAGATTATTATATGAACATCATTAAAAACAGAATAATAGTTCTCTACTAAATTTAAGAGAAAACTGTTAAGAAAAGAAAAGGTTTGTTTCTTTATTTCTTTTTTACTATTACAAATAGTAAAATTTCCTTTTTTTGTGTGTGTGAAAAACTTCGAAATGATATAGATGGAAAACTTCCATATGCCATTTTTGTAAAACATAGGCAATGATAATATTGATCAATATTACTTCACACTAAACAATACTAAAAATTATTGATAATTTCCTTTTATCTGAGCGTTGCGTGTAATGTAAGGAAACCATTTTCCTTTCTTGTACAAGGAAAAAAACAGAAAACCAATCAATCTTCTATAAATACACGAGGGCTTGCTCTGGCTTGTGACACTCACCCCAATTATTTTCATTCTCTTCGTTCCTTCTTTGTTAGATCCACCAAATTTTGGTAACTCTGTCTCTAAATTTGTTTGACAAATACGATATCAGTAACTTGAGAATCTTTAGGGCTCCTTCTTTTAAAATCCGGTGTGGTTTTCGCAATCGCACGGTTTTTTTTATAGGTGACGAAAACATGGAAGGCAATAAGGATGAAGCTAGGAGAGTAATTCATATCGCTGAGAGAAAAATCTCAGAGAATGATTACTTTGCGGCCAAGAAATTCGTTAACGAGGCTCAACAGTTATACCCGGAGCTTGAAGGTTTGGAACAAGTGTCGGCGATGGTCAATGTTTATACCTCGGCAGCACGCAAGATCAGCGGAGGAAGAGAATCTGATTGGTACGGAGTTCTCGGTGTTGATCCTTTCGCTGACGATGAAGACGTGAAGAAACAGTACAAGAAGTTGGCTCTCTTGCTTCATCCTGACAAGAACAGGTTTAATGGCGCGGAAGGTGCGTTTAAGCTGGTTTTAGAAGCTTGGACTCTGTTATCTCATAAGGAATCGAGGGTTGCTTATGATCATAAGAGGATTCCACCAAACCAACAGAAGCCACCGCCTTCTAATCGGAAAGAAGCAAAGACCGCGACGAAGAAACCACCAAAACGATATAAGCCACCTTCTTTTTATAAATGTTATGACTGGAATCGAAATGCTAATCATAGGTCGGCGCCTGCACCAGCACCAGCACCTGCACCTGCACCAGCACCTGCGCATGCGCCATCTCCACGAGACATGGAATTTGATAAGCTTATAACTAGAAAAGCGGTTGATTACGCCGAGAGGAAAATCTCAGAGAAGGATTACTTTGCGGCCAAGAATCACATTGACACGATTCAAGGTCACGACCCAGAGCTTGAAGGTTTGGAACAAGTGTCGGCGATGATCAATGTTTATATCTCGGCAGCAGGCAAGACCAAGGGAGGAGGAGGAGAAGCTGATTGGTACGGAGTTCTCGGTGTTGATCCACTAGCTGACGACGAAACAGTGAAGAGACAGTACGAGAAGTTGGCTCTTTTGCTTCATCCGGAAAAGAACAAGCTTTATGGCGCGGAAGGTGCGTTTAAGCTGGTTTCAGAAGCTTGGACTCTGTTATCTGATAAGGCTAAGAGGGCTGCTTATGATCAGAAGAGGAAGTCGAAAGAAGCAAAGACCGCGACGCCGAAACCACCAAACCAACGTAAGCCAGCTTCTTCTCACTGGAGCCAATATGCTAGATACGACGACGACGTTGCGGATCTAGAAGAATTATATTACCGGGGGCGCTACTAATATAGAAAAATTTAAAAAGGAGGCCTCATAGATAGAACGTAACGAAACAGGTGTAATGTTCTAACTTGTCTTTAATGTTGCTGTCTAGTTGAAAAACTGTTTTTTTTCCTATTACTGATGGTATTGGAGTTTTTGGAACTCAACACTTTTTTATAGCTTTGTCACCATTATGTTTCCATCCAAGTTCAGTCTAATAATATTTTCATTAACTCTCATCTTTCTATCAAAAAATAATAGTTCTCTACTTAGATTTTAGAGAACCCGTTTAAACAAAAAAAAAATATTTGTTCACTATAACTCCGTTTTACTATTACCAATATGCTTTTACTAGAAAATAAGTTGCGTGCAATAGACGCTATCTACTAGTATTGTACGTCCTATTAACTGACAAGGCTAAGAGGTTTAGGTATGATGAGAAGAGAAAATCGAGAGAAGCTGAAGAGAAAAAGAGAATCAAAGCAACAACACGAGCCAGCTTCTTGTAATGTGAATGGAAATGCGAAACAAGAACAACAGTCGAGTGCCAATTCTCAAGCAAGTATTCGCTCTGATACCATATAGATAAACAGTATTGTATATTATTGAGAGGAAACTATACAGAGTATTTATACAGACTCTTAAAAAGACACTAGGTTATAGCTAATTATTATAGTCCTTTATACATTGACCCTTATTAAACCTAAAAGAGAAACTTTACTTCTATCATACAGATCTTGTCCGTTGTTTTATGAGGGAATTTTTATTTATAACCTAAAAATTGATTTTTCTCAATATGTATATTTTTTATTGAATGTTTGGCAAAACTAACTCAAAGGAGTAGTGAAATTACAGCTCAGTCCTTTGTGACTAAACAAAAAACGTCTGCCACAGTTCGATTTTATCCTTCGAGAAGTCTACGTAAGAAGTCTACTACATAATTAGTTTTTTTTAAATTAATTAGAAAATATAAAATAAATAAATTTCTAAAAAATTGGTAAACTTAAGTAAGACATATATATTTGATATGTATAGAATACAAAATTTCATACAAATTAATCAACTTAAATACAAAAAGAAAATTAATTAGAAAACATACAACCCCTTAGAAGTCGACTAAAGAAGTCTACTACAGAAAACATACGTATGCAGTAGACTTCTCGGGTAGACTTCTCCATTAGACTTAAAAAAAACATAACGGGAAATCAAAATTATTTAACAAATTGGGCGGGAATCGGAACAAATTAGGCGGGAATCAAAATCGAAAAAATATACCGAAGTAGACTTTTTGAGTAGTCTTCTCCAGTAGACTTCTTAAGAAGTCTACTTAACCGAAAATTTTCCTACATATATAAAGAGATTAACCTAATTGGGTTAAAAATAAAGTTTTTCTCTCCCTCTAAAAAACGCCTCTCTCTCCTCTACCTCCTCTCTGGCCATGAATCTCTTCTCCTTCTTCTCTTGCCATTAAACCCATCTCTATCCTCCATCCTCTCTATCTCAATTATGGTGATGGTAAGCAAATCTGAGGTTTTATATTTCTTTTGTTGTTTGTTTTATGTTCATATTGTAAATATGGTTTTATTATTACATATTTGAGCTTCTTGTTGTAGATCTGAGTTTATTCTTGCAAATATGCGCTTCTTATGGTATAAATTTTGTAGAATTTGTTGCAGATCTGATTTTTTTGTTGTTGCAGATCTGATTTTTTTTTTTTTTTGTAGATCTGAATTTTTAGTTGTTGCAGATCTGATTTTGTTTATTTTGTTGCAGATCTGAATTTTGTTTATTTTGTTGCAGATCTATAATTTTTTTTATTGCATAGCTGATTTCTTTTTTTCCCTTTTGCTACAGATATGATGTTTGTAAATATAGCATATTTTGTTGAAATATGAATTTTACATTTTTTTTCTTATTGTGCAGACCTGAGCTTATTTATTTTCCTTTTGTTTTTGTTGGAAGCAGACTTCAGCTGCAGATTTCTCGAGTAGACTTCTCGAGCAGACTTCTCGAGCAGACTTCAGTCACATACATTTATTTTAGACATTTTGTTTTTATATGCTAATTTTAAGATTTATAATTAGTGATCCTTAAATGTTTGTTTGATTAGAAAGTCTACTTTATATGTAAAGTTGGATTGCAATTAATGTTATTTTTATATATTCTTAAATTATGTGTGTTTTATAATATTCAGATTTCATATGCAGACTTCTTTGTGAGACTTAGTCATCACCATTTTTGAACCTCTAATAACACAAGAAAATTAATTCAATTTAACTATACAAAAACATGTAAAACTCATAACAAAAAAAAAACATGTAAAACTACTTAGAAATACCACAATTAGTCTTTCTTCACACATTCTCAATAAACAGTGGGTATGTGAACCATTCTCTGTAAGAAAACAAAATTCAAACCACATTAGAAATCATTGTCAAAAAAGTAGACTGCAAACGTAGTCTACTATGTAGACTTCAAATGAAGTCTGCGGACTATTAAGCTAAATACCAAATAAAAGAAGAAAATTAGTTAAAGCTAAACTGTAACAAAAAAAATTTCAAACTCATACATAAGCAAGAACAATAAATATCACACACTTAAGAGTCAAATAATAAATTTTATTTGTTACAAATATCTGATCAATTAAATTTATAAAAAAATTAATGTCGCAGACTGCAAACGAAGTCTATTATGTAGACTTCAAGTGAAGTCTACGGACTAATAAGCTAAATACCAATTAGAACAAGAAAATTAATTAAAGCTAAACTATAACAAATAAACATGTCAAACTCCTACATAAGTAACAAAAATAAATAATACACATTTAAGAGTCAAAGAATAAATTTTATTTGTTACAAATATCTGATCAATTAATTTAATTAAAAAATTAATGTCGCAGACTGCAAACGAAGTCTACGGACTAATAAGCTAAATACCAAATAAAACAAGAAACTTGATTTCACCAAATATATATATAATATAAACATGTAAAACTGATACAAATGTAAGTACACTTACTAAAACAATCGTAAGACAAAAAAACCTTAATAATTTGTTGTAAATTTGATGAAAACGCGTTTATAAAAAAAAGTGAAATAGTAGACTAACAACGAAGTTTACAAAAGTAGACTTGCAATGAAGTCTACAAAAGTAGACTTCGTATGAAGTCTATATTTTAGGTTACTTTTGCAATTGCCAAAAGATGAGTAGACTTCTTCAAAGAAGTCTACTCACTACAAGAAGTCTACTCGAGAAGTCTACGTAAAAAAATGTTAGTTTTGCAATTGACCAAATTTTGACTTTTTCGTAAGAAGTCTACTTGCAAAAATAGACTTCTTTGGAGAAGTATACTTTTAAAGTAGACTTCTTAGAGGTTAGTTTTGCGATTGACCAATGTTGACTTTTCAAAGTAGACTTCGTTTGAAAACAAAGTCTACTTGGGTTAGTTTTGGGGTTGACCAAACATTGAATTTATTTTCGAGTAGACTTTTTTTGAAGTCTACTCAGAAAGTAGACTTCAAACGAAGTCTACTCGGAAAAGTAAACTTCAAGCGAAGTCTACTCGAAAAAGTCAACATTGGTCAATTGCAAAACTAACCTCTAAGAAGTCTAAGTTCAAAGTAGACTTCTCCGAAGAAGTCTACTTTTGCGAGTAGACTTCTTACGAAAAAGTCAAAGGTTGGTCAATTGCAAAATTAACCCCTTTTTACATAGACTTCTTTTGAAGTTTACACTATTTTTTTGTTGTCAAAGAAAATGGCGCAGACTTCAACTGAAGTCTACTGTCAGAAATTGGTACACCCGGTCAATTGCAAAACTAACCTGTGTGTTGACTAGTAGACTTCTTTTGAAGTCTACTACCGACAGTATACTTCTTAAGACGTCTACTTTCGCGGCACAGATCTGAAAATTCACGAAAATTGACTGAAAAATCACCTACCAGTGGTATTTAACTTATTTAACCACCGATTTCTTTGATTCCAGCCACCACCAAACAAGCCCAAACGATTTGCCAGACCAAATCACCAAATATGACAATATATTAAAACATCAAGTTTCAAAAATTTAGATTAGAGAGTTTTTGTGCTGAAAATGGTGAAAAAATAGATGAGTAGAAGGTTAAGAGAAGAGGAAATGAGGTTACAAAGCTAAAAAATGGGTCTTTGAAGCAATAAAAGCTTCAAATTGGTTGAAAATGGTGGTTGAATGAATTGATGGTGATGACATTTTCGTGAATAAATGAAGAAGATGAGGATTGTTTGGTAAAATAGATTTCCGAAATAATAATAAAAAACAATAATCTAATGGTATTTTCGTAAATAAATAAAACTGATAAAGATATAAGTGAGATAAAGTGATTAATTTCAAAAATGGTAAAATGAAAGGTTAATTTAGCAATTGACTTAAATTTATGGGTCATTTTTACAAGATTTCCTTATTTTATTCCAATTAATGGAATAAAGTATTAGTCTGAACTTCGTTGAAGTCATATTAGTGAATCTTAGACAACAAAATATTATGTTTTTTATCAGTACAATCTGATTTTTTTTTTAAAGTTGACTTTCAGATATTGTATGATCTACATCACTGAAAGCAGAATAATATATATTTTTTTAATCATTAAAAGCAGAATAATAGTTCTCTACTAAATTTGAGAAAAAAACTGTTAAGAAAAGAAAAGAGGTTTGTTTCTTTATTTCTTTTTTTTAATATTACAGATAAATTTCCTTTAATTTGGGTGTGTGAAAAAACTTCGAAATGATATAGAGGGAATAACTTTCATATGCCATTTTTGTAAAACATAGGGAATAATAATATTGATCATTTTTTTATTAAAAAAATAATAATAATATTGATCATTTCCTTTTTGTTTTCCTGAGCGTTGCGTTGTGTGTGTGTGAATAATAAGGAAACTCTTATTACTCCACACTAAACAATAAAAAAAATATATTGATAATTTCCTTTTTTCTGAGGATTGCGTGTAATACAAGGAAACCAATTTCCTTTCTTATAAAAGGAAAAACTGAAAACCATTCTTCTATAAATATACGAGGCCTTGCTCTGGCTTGTGACACTCACCCAATTATTTTCAATCTCTTCGTTTCTTCTTTGTTAGATCCACCAAATTTTTGTAACCCTGTCTCTGATTTGTTTGATAAATTCAATACAGTAACTTGAGAATCTTTAGGGGTCCTTGGTTTCCGCTGTGGTTTTCGCAACTGCACGGTTTTTTATAGGTGAGGAGACATGGAATTTGATAAGTATATAGCTAGAAGATTAATTCATATCGCTGAGAGGAAAATCTCAGAGAATGATTACGTTGCGGCCAAGAAATTCGTTAACATGGCTCAAAGTTTATACCCAGAGCTTGATGGTTTGAAACAAGTGTCGACGATGGTCAATGTTTGTATCTCTGCATCAAGCAAGACCAACGGAGGAGGAGAAGTGGAATGTAATAAGGACGAAGCTAAGAAGAGCAGTGGGTATTGCTGAGAAGAAACTTTCAGAGAATGATTACGTTGGAGCCAAGAAATTCATTAACATGGCTCAAAGTTTATACCCAGAGCTTGATGATTTGAAACAAGTGCTGGCGATGATCAATGTTTATATCTCTGCATCAAGAAAGATCAACGGAGTAAGAGAATCTGATTGGTATGGAGTTCTAGGTGTTGATCCTCTGGCCGATGATAAAGCAGTGAAGAAACAATACAAGAAGCTGGCTCTTTTGCTTCATCCTGACAAGAACAGGTTTAATGGCGCGGAAGGTGCGTTTAAGCTGGTTTTAGAAGCTTGGACTCTGTTATCTGATAAGGCTACGAGGGTTGCTTATGATCACAAGAGGAAGTCGAAAGAAGCAGACACCAAGCCACAACCTCCGCACAAACCAGCTTCCACACACAAGCCGCCACCTCCACACAAGCCACCACCTCCACACAAGCCAGCTTCTACACACAGGCCACCACCTCAACACAAGCCACCGCCTCCACACAAGCCACCACCTCCACACAAGCCACCACCTCCACACAGGCCAGCTTCTTATAACTGGACTCAAAATGCTAGAGGCGGTGTGGATCCGGGTGCTAATGCTGGAAGTAGCAAGCCTGCGCATGTGAATCCAACAAAACAGAGGACATGTACAATGTGCAAAACCCAACGCGTGAAAGCCAATACTATTTGTGTTAGATGTGCGTTTGCTTGACGAGAGACCGTAACGAAGCAAGTGTACGTAATGTTCTAACTTGTCTTAAACATTGCTGTAGTTGGAAATTGTAATCCTTTCATGACTTTGAATCTGTACTTCTGTTTTTTTCCCAAAATTGTTTTGCTCCTATTACTGATGGTATTAGAGATTTTGCAAGTCAAGCCTTTTTTTCTATCGCTTTGTACTCATGATTACTAAATAGTTTTTGTTCAACATTCCTCCATCTAAGTTCAGAGTCTAATATTTTCATTAACTCATATATTTCTTCTATAACTAAAATTATAATAGTCGTTATCTACTAAAAACCGATGCAATCTGATAAGAAAGAAAGGTTGACTTTTCAGTTTAGATTACAAGCAACAACTAAATAATACTGATGATAACTAATATTCTTTTTCTGAGGATAAAAAAAAGTTAAAAACAGAGAAAACTAATCCTCTAAACCCTATTGACTTTCCTCTCTTCTTTATCCTCTTTCGTTTCTTGCGTCGTCTCTCTCTTGGAACGAAAGTTTCTTTTCTTGTATATGGGGTTTAGACACAGTAACTTCATAAAGTTTAGGCACAAAACCGCTTCGGTGATTTTCTATTGCACGGTTTGGTTCAGTAGAGAAACAGACATGGAATGTAATAAGGGTGAAGCTAGAAAAGCAATCGATATTGCATTGAGGAAACTCTCAGAGAAACGATTACAACTGAGCGAGGAAGTTCATTAACAAAGGCTCGGAATTTGTATCCAAAGCTCGATGGTTTGAAACGAGTTTTGGTGATGATGATCAACGTTGATATCTCCTCAAGGAAGAACATCGGAGGATGAGAAACAGATTGGTACGGAATCCTTGGTGTACATCCTTTAAGCTTTAGCTGATGATGAAACAGTGAAAAAAACGGTACAAGAAGTTAGCTCTGTTGCTCCATCCGGACAAGAACAGGTTTAGTGAAGCAGAAGGCACGTTTAAGCTGGTTTCATCAGATGCTTGGCGTGTATTATCTGACAAGGCTAAGAGGTTTAGGTATGATGAGAAGATGAAATCGAGAGAAGCTGAAGAGAGAAAGGGAGAACCAAAGCAACAACACGAGGCAGCTTCTTGTAATGTGGATCGAAATGCGAAACAAGAACAACAGTCCAGCGCCAATCCTCAAGCAACAAGCAGAAAAAGCGCCTGTGATGCTTCTTCTTCTTCTTCTTCTTCAACTTCAGCATCTGATAGCGCAAAGACTGCAAAGCTTGCCTGCTGCTGCTATACGAAAAGCAAAGGAAGCAGAGAGGCCTTTAAGACAACCGGATGATAAAAGTAAATCATGAACATCCAAACTCTACATTTGGTCTTCTCTTAATTCTGAAAAGCGTTTCCTGAGCATGATGAACAAGGACATGAAGATTCTAGGGATTAAAAAAACTAGCTGAGCTAATCAATCAGTATAGTTTAGATTTATTTCATCTATATCTTTTGTAGGTGGACAAAGTTGAAGAATGTATTTTAAATTTTTCATTGATTTATTTTCAAAAAAAAATTCATTCATTTGATATTTTTTTCATTCGGGTTTTCTTCTTATGTGATATACACAGATTGCGTATATGCAATTTCCTTAATGTAAATAAGATATTTTACCTCTTTTTTTTTAAAAAAAAAGATATTTTACTTAACAAATTATTTTTTACTCCACTAATCTATACTAAATAAAATGAACTATTTGGGGCTCCTTAAGCTATCCACCTCAACTTTTCAAACTACTCTAAAAATATGACACATCAGCAAAAAATAATAATACAAATTTCCACTTTAGATTTTTTTTGAAATACACATAAAGTAAATAAATAGAACCAAAATTAATATAGTTAAATACAAGAGTAAATAAAAATAAATTATTATTTTTTGAATCAGTAAAATAAATATTATTTAAATCTATATCATCAATATATACTCTTTTGTTTGTAATATAACAAATTAACAATAATGAAAATTCTCACTTTAGATTTTTTGAAATACACATAAAATCAATAAATAGAACCATTAAATTAATATAGTTATTAGCAAAAAAATAAAAGGAACTATTTGGAGCTCCTTAAGCTATCCACCTCAGCTTTTCAAACTATTCTAAAAATATGACATATCAGCAAAAAATAATAATACAAATTCCCACTTTAGATTTTTTTGAAATACACATAAAGTAAATAAATAGAACCAAAATTAATATAGTTAAATACAAGAGTAAATAAAAATAAATTATTATTTTTTGAATCAGTAAAATAAATATTATTTAAATCTATAGCATCAATATATACTCTTTTGTTTGTAATATAACAAATTAACAATAATGAAAATTCTCACTTTAGATTTTTTGAAATACACATAAAATAAATAAATAGAACCATTAAATTAATATAGTTATTAGCAAAAACTAAATAAAACTATATATCATTTTAATCAGTAAAATAAATATCATTTAAATCTGTAGCATTAATATATACTTATTTTTGTCACTAAAATTAATATAGTTACCAACAAAAATAAATAAAATTAAAATATCATTTTTTGAATCAGTAAAATAAACATCATTTAAATTTATAGCATCAATATATACTTCTTTTGTTTGTAATATAACAATAATAAAAAAATTCACTTTATATCTTTTGAAATACACATAAAATAAATAAATAGAACCACTAAGTTAATATAATTATTAGGAATAAGTAAATAAAACTAAATATCATTTTCTAAATCAGTAAAATAAATATCATTTAAATCTGTAGCATTAATATATACTCTTTTTTGTAATATAGTGAATATATTGGACAACAAATTGCTCTAAAAAACTTAAATAATAGTTAATAGAAACAAGATTACAAAATGATAATTTCTAAAATAAAATTTAAAACATTTACAAATTATAAAAATCTAAAACATTCACCTTTTAGAAACATACAGATTAAACATCATAGTACATTAGATTATGGCAACCAACAAGACAAGAAGCTTTTCAAAGCATATATCTATATGAAGATTTCGATCATTGTTACTATTTACATTGTAAAAAATGATAGACAAAAGAAGAATTTCTTGCACTGATATTTATTCAATGTGTGTCTTAGTTGGCTTAAGGTAGTCAAGTTACTACAAACTATACATGTCAACACATGAGTTAAACAGTTTATAAACAAAAATTAAGTTTTAGATGACAGTTAATTTTTATATATATCAAGTTAGTAAATTCTTAAATTAAATAATAATGCATTTTTGAAAAAATAACATACACATTTTTATGTAGAAGAAAATGTCTAAAAAAATCTTTAATTATCCACATCAACAAAATTCCTTATAAATCCAACTTGAATGAAAAACTAATATGGTTTTTTTTCCTGGGTTAAGAAACTCTTTTAAAAATAATATAATATATATTATTAGTTTAATTATAAAGGCTTATCAAAATATATATGTGTAGTTTAAGAAAAAAATGTTTAAGTTAAGTTACAAGCAAAATTTTTTACATCTTTTGAGTTTTGAGAAACTCAACATACTTTATTTAACATAATGAGTTAGTATGAAATTGTATTTGTATATGTATTATTTGCCTTATTCATCTATATTTTTTATAGTTTACGTATACTTCATAGACCAAATCAAAATTACATTTTATCAATATGATTGTGATTTTTTTTACTATGTAAATATTGTTTTTATTTATATGAATCAAAGTTATTTTATAGATTTATAAGAGATTAGAACATTGAGTGTTGTTTGTATTTGAGATTGCTAATTAAATAAAAACACTACACGAACACAGTTGAAATAAAAATAAAAATCTAAATTAATTGGAATAATAATAATCAAATTTAGTCAAAACAAAAAAAAATTTAATAATATTTTGAAAGTTAGTAGTGAATAACAGTGAGTTTATATACAAATATTAAGTTTTAGATTAACAGTTAATTTTAGCATATATCAAGTAGGTAATTCTTAAAATTATATCATGATACATTTTTTGAATATGTTAAAATATTTTTGATGTATAATCATATCAAAACAATTTTAAAAATTAAATATTATATTTAAAGTATTAACTTAAAGTGAAAATAATAAAACTTAAATAATAATCAAATATTTATATAAAAACAGTCCGCGCGTAGCGCGGAAACATCCCTAGTCAATACAACAATAACTCTTGTGTCTCTCCTAAAGATGACACATCAGCTTTTTTAAGCTTTATAAACATGACATTTCAGCAAAAATAATCACCAATCAAAATATTTTATTAATACAACTCATCTATTTATATTAATTTTTAAACTTAAACCCATTAAAAACCCAAATACTTTTTCTATTAATTTTTATTTTATTTTTTACCAAACCCAAATAATTAATAATAGCAAATAAAAAAATTATTTTATTTTTTTGTCAAGCCAAAGCCCAAATAATAAATAAAAAAAAATATTTGTTTTATTTTTTGCCAATCCCAAACCCAAATAATAAATAACAGAAAATAAATAATCAAAAGAATTTCTAGCTATCTGTTTGTTTGACTACTTATATGATTGAAAAAAGTGTAAGCTCAGCACCGACTATGCTTCCATGACAACAACGCAAAAAGCTTTATATTATAAAAAGCTCACACATCAGCACGAATTTGAACACAATAATAAAATCAGTTCTGACCCATTAAAAGCCCAAAGTTTACAAAAAATGGAATCGAAAATAAAGGAGGAGAAGCTCAGACCACCACAGCTTGAAGATTCATATTTCCAGTGGTTATCGAGAATGAATCAATAACTTCTCGATTATTCTCACTTTTGATAAGAAATACAAATTTTCAGCTTTTGACGGATAATTTGTTTTTTTGGTTTTCACGCGAAAATATGATTTCTTAGTTTTCGCGGAAAATTGCAATTTGACAATTTTAGCAAAAAATGCAATTTCTTGGTTTGATGGGAAAATAATTTTTCTCGGTTTTGGCGGGAATAAACAATTTCTTGGTTTAGATGGAAAATGCAAATTCTCAGTTTTTAACAAATAATGTGATTTTTTTTTGCAAAAAATGTAATTTTTTTAGTTTTTGCGGGAAAACATAATTTCTCGAGAGATAATACATTTTTTGGTTTTCACGGAAAAATGCAGTTTATCTGTTTTGGTAGGAAAGCGTGATTTTTGGTCTGAGAGAGAAAATAATTTTTTTGGTTTTAACGGGAATAGACGATTTCTAGGTTTTCACAGAAAAATAAATTGTTCGGTTTTTACAAGAAAATATAATTTTTTATTTTTGTAGGAAGATGAAATTTTTCGGTTTTGGTAAAAAAAAACGTGTTTTTGGTTTTGTCGAGAAACACAAGTTTTCAGGTTCTAGCGAGAAAACAGGTTCTCGCGAAAAAATGTAATTTTAGGTTTTATATTTGACGAAAAAATGATTTTTTGGTTTTGGCGGGAAACACAAGTTCTCGGGTTCTAGCGATAAAACAGGTTTTCGCGGAAAAATGAAATTTTAGGTTTTAGGTTTGACGAAAAAAATAATTTTTTGGTTTTGGTGGGAATAGGCGATTTCTCAGTTTAATGGGAAAATGAAGTTTTTTTGTTTTGACAGAAAATACTATTTCTCGGTTTTTATAAGAAGTTGAAATTTCTCTGTGCTAAATTTCTAAGTTAAAGTATGTTTATAGTAACCAAAATTTAATTATTTAACTTTAACTAAAATGATATTTCAACAGTTCAAACATAATTTTCTATTTAGTTCTAAAGCAATAGCAATGATTTTAATATGAATGTTACTGATTATAGTTTGGTAATTTTAGAAAACATATGTTTATAATAAATATTTGATAAATAAATAAAATTTATAATTCAAGATAATCATATTAATCTTTTTTTAAAATGGTATTTTGCTTTATATAATTACAAGAGAATCAAGTGGTAATTTATTAGAGAAAATATATTACATTTGCCATTAGCATGAAGGTACTAAAAATATATTGTTTTATTCTTACATAAACATTTATAATTAGTTAGCTAAACAAATTTAATAGCAAATTATAATTTTAAAAAATAAAAAAATTAAAGATTTAAAATATTTATTCAAATTTAAAACATATAAATATATAACTTAAGCTAATAAGAAAATAAATATAATACTCATTTACATTATAAAAATAATTTTCTTATATTAAAAATATATACAAAATTTAAAAAAATAACTTGCAGCATAACGCGGATAAATACCTAGTAATATATAATTATAATAATAATAATTTCCTTTTTATGAGAGTTGCGTGTAAAAATACTTAACAGGAAGGAAATCATTCTCCTAATTGTAAAAGGAAACTTACTTGGGCGTCAATCAAAATCATATATTAATACTTACCGATAAGATGTCAAATTTAACCAAAGTTTCTTCTTCTTGTATATGGGTTTTGTTAGATAACCTGTCTCCGATTCAGGGCTAAAAGACGGTTTCTTTTCGTTTTTCTCCGGCGATTTCACAACTGCAAGGTCTTGGGATCTGTAGAGAAACAAAAGGTATTGAGAATCAAGTAAAAGAAAAAAAACAATCTCAACGACATGGAAAGTAATCAGGTTGAAGCTAAAAGAGCAATAGATAGCGCCGAGAGGAAAATCTCAGAGAATGATTACGTTGGAGCAAAGATATTCGTCAACAAGGCTCATAATTTGTATCTAGAGCTTGAAGGTTTGAAGCAAGTGTCGGTGATGATCGATGTTTATATCTCTGCATCAGACAAGATCAATGGAAGAGGAGAAGCTGACTGGTACGGAGTTCTCGGTGTTGATCCTCTCGCTGATGACAAAGCAATGAAGAAACAGTACAAGAAGTTAGCTGTTTTGATTCACCCGGACAAGAACAAGTTCACTGGCGCAACAGAGGCGTTTAAGCTGGTTTTGGAAGCTTGGACTCTGTTATCTGATGAGGCTAAGAGAATTCTTTATGATCAGAAGAGAAAATCGGGACAAGTTAAGCAGAAAAAGAGTGGAATGCGGCAGAAACCGCCAAAGCGAAAGCATGAGCCAGATTTTTCATGGAAGAAGCCTAAGCATGAGCCTGAGTCAGAGCCAGATCCAGAGACAGATTCTTCTTCATCGAAATATGAGAGAGAAAGTACCTTTTGGACAAAGTGCAATAGATGCAACACATATTGTGAATTTGGGAGGAATAGTTATCTTAATAAGACCATACCTTGTCCTAATTGCAGACATGATTTCGTTGCAACCGAGATAGTTTTGGAGGAAATCAATGGGAGGCGAGTCATCAGGTTTTGTAAAAGCGCATATGATACTTCTTCTTCTTCTCCTTCAGCTTCAGCATCTGATAGCGCAAAGGCTGCACATGCAAGAATGAAAGGATGGTTTGAGCCGGATCCTGAGCCTAAGCATGATCATGGTTCTTCATCGGAATAAGCCAAGGTAAGGACATGAGGATTTAGAAGTTTATATCTGCTTTTTTCTTCTTTCTTATATTGTGCATCAGGGAAGAGTTTTTTATTTGATGTTATGAAGCATGGATTTACAGTGCTGCAAATTGAAGAATATATAAAGGTAAGAGACTAGCTAATACATCTTTTTGTTTCTGTAAAGTGTAATAGTAAACACTAATAGCTTTTTTATATATATCTTTATGACATTGCATGTTGTCTTCTGTCTGATGTGTCTTTTGCATGATTTTCTGTGTTTCCAAACATTGATGAAAGAATATGGAATCAAAATGTTAGAACGTTCTACATAAGATCTGAACATCTTGAAAAAGTCAAGTTTTCTATGTTGGATCAGTCAAGCTGCAAATCCGTTCACAGCATTGCAATTGGTATTGAGTTCCATTGGTATCCACTAAAAACTTTCTTCTTTTTGTATAGATTTTTGATTAGACTTCCTTTGTTTTGTGAGGTTCTTGAAAAACAGGAGAATGGTGACGGCGTAGCTTTCGGATGATGGGAAGTTCCGTTAGTTGCTTAAGGTTTGATGAGGTCTTCTTCTTTATTATGTTCACAGTTATATGAGTTTGTTCTTGTTTCAGTTTCTTTCTTGTATCCATACTTGTTTTACGGATTTGATCAGTTTGTTCTTGTTTCAGTTACTTGTATCACACAATACTTTAGTGGCTTTGTTGAAATAATGATGAAAATAGGGGTTTTCCAGAGACATTCATGTTTTTGTAACCATGTTTTGATATATTGTCATCCTGTATAATATTCATCAACCGAGTGAGATATATTGTTAATCTACAAGTGGATTCAATTCCAAGTTCTTGACACTTGGTTGTAAGATTTACATGAAAGCTTTTCATATTTGAAAGTTGTGATAAATATTCCATCAACATCTTTACTAGCAACAACCAAAACTATTGTGGCTTGCCTTGAGATCAGGTCTATGAAGGTACTACAAATGGTATATTCATATGTAGTCTAAAGATTTCTATGTATCTTCGTAATGTTTTGGGGAAATTTTCAAAAGTTGTGTATCGATAGTTTTGTAAGAAACCTCACTGAATAGTTAGTTGATTGTTCTCTAAGATGGATTTCGGCGATGGCTGTGTGGCTTTTAGACCAAGGAAAGGGTTTCGTAACCATTTTCTTAGGGTTTTCTACCCCAAAAAAAAACACAAACAATGAAGGGCCTTAGTTTGCTAGCTTAGTGGGCCGGGCCTGAATACGTTTATGAAAAACATCCAGAGGTGTGAGAAAATAATTGGAGCAGAGAGAGAGAAAAGAGCGCGGGAAAAGGAAAGAGGGAAAAAAAGAGGGCTGCATCGAAGGGAAAAAAAAACAACTATTAGTTTCTCTTTCCATCCTTCTAATCTCAAAACGTTTTAATTTCGCCCCAAATTGTTTTTTACTAAATGGAAGTTAATCTCATCATAATCTCTCCGTTTCATTGCAAGTCTTATCTCTCCTTCTTCTTCTTCTTCTTTTGTTTTTTCGCTTCTCTGGTGTTTAGGGTACCGAATCTATCGATATTCAAATATCTATTGAAATCCAGCTAATCGTGCCGCAAATTGAATTGAGCAAAATCATGACAGTTATGATAACCCCATTTACAATGCCGCGGGGTTAATTAGTGGGTCTCCATCAAAATTGGGATTTTTCACTTATTGGTAAGATACCCAGATATTCTTCTTTTCATGGGTTTTGTGTAGTGTTTGTTACTCTGTTATATTGAGTGTTGCAAATCTGATTGTAATTTATGTGATACATTGTGTAGCTTTAGACACGGTAACTTCAGAAATCTAGGGCTAAGGACTAAGAGATTTGCATTTTATGGTTCTGCCTTTTGGAATTGAGATGCTACTACTTAATTGTTTTTGTGTATCCCTTCTTTGTTAATCTTCATCCGAATTGCTGCAAAACAGTATGTGATTTTGTGTGATTATTCTATTGGCTTTGGAGACAGTAACTTCAGTAATCTGTAGCTAAAGGCTTGTTCTTTCGACTACGTGATTTGCATGTATGGTTTTGCTTCTGCTTTTTACTTTCCTCGGATTTCTTTTGATCCTTTCGATTGGTTTTCTACAGAGAGAGAGAGAGAGGTGAGAAATAGTTTCAAAGATTCATTCTTGTCTGAAGGTTCCCCTGTTCTACAAAGACATGGAATGCAACAAGGAAGAAGCTTTAAGGGCAATGGATATTGCCAAGAGGAAAGTCGCAGAGAACGATTACAAAGCGGCGAAAACGTTTGCTATCAAGGCTCAGAATCTGTATCCACAGCTTGACGGTTTGAAACAAGTGTCGATGTTGATCGACGTGTATATCTCGGCGGGAAACAAAATCAGCGGAGGAGAATCTGATTGGTACGGGATTCTCGGTGTGGATCCGTCGGCTGATGCTGGAGTTGTGAAGAAACAATACAAGAAGTTGGCTCTTTTGCTTCATCCTGATAAGAACAAGTGTGAAGGCGCAGAAGGTGCGTTTAAGCTGGTTTTAGAAGCTTGGTCTCTCATATCTGATAAGGTTAAGAGATTTGCTTTTGATCAAAAGAGGAATTCGAATGAAGTCAAACCGAAAAGGAGTCGGAAGCAGAAACAACCAGCAAAGAAGAAGCAAGCACCACCAAACCAGCAGAAACCACCACCAGACCAGAATCAACAACCACCACCAAACGAGCAGAAACAGCCACCAGACCAGCAGAAACCACCACCAAACCAGGAGAAAGAAGCAGCAAACCAGCCGAAAGAAGCGGCAAACCAGCAGAAACAACCACCAAACCAGCCAAGTTCTAGTGGATCTCGAAATGGTAGAGGTAGAAGCAGTAAGCCCACTACGAAAGTTAGTACCTTTTGGACAACATGCGACAAATGCGAGACACAGCATGAGTTTGTGAGGGTTTTCTACCTAAACAAAATCGTGTTTTGTCGAAATTGCCGAGGGTCTTTTAAGGCAACTGAGAAAGGGAAAACGGCGCAAGCAGCAAAGGAGAACACACATGGTGCTTCTTGCGGGAATGTGGCAAATCAACCGGAAGAAAAAGTGGTCGAGGAGTCAGAGGAAACTGGTAGAGGAATTGCAAACTCTGATTTCAAAGTAGAAGAGAGGGTTCGTAAGAAGCTGAGGACAGATGATTGTGCAGCGGCAAGTTGTGGAATCAAGGTTTGATGTAAGAAGTATGACTTTTAGAAGTTGAACAATCAGTTGCTTTTAGGTGAGAACTTGTTTTTGTGTGGTCAAGTTAGCGAGTCCTTTATATATGAATATTTTGCATCTAGACTAGGAAAAGTATAGTGGTACAAGGCAAGTTCCTCTCCTATCATCTTCAGTGTGAAATGTCCAAAACTTTATTACAAACTAGGTATTTATCCGCGCTACGCTGCACGATAATTTTTTAAATTTTGTATATGTTTTTAATATAATAAAATTATTTTTATAATGTAAATGAGTATTATATTTTTTATAAGTTATGTATTTATATATTTTTAATTTGAATAAACATTATATATCCTTAATTTTTTATTTTTTGAAATTATAATTTATTATTAAATTTGTTTAGTTAACTAATTATATATGTATATGTAAGAATAAAGCAATATATTTTTTAGTATTTTCATGCCAATGGCAAATGTAATCTATTATCACTTGATTTTCCTTTGTAATTATATAAAATAAAATGCCATTTTTAAAAAATATTTCTGATTATCTTGAATTATAAAATTTATTTATTTATCAAATATTTATTATAAACATATGTTTATAAAACTACTAAACTATTATCAATAACATTCATATCAAAATCAATTCTATTTGAACTGTTGAAATATCATCTTAGTTAAAGTTAAATAATTAAATTTTGGTTACCGTAAACATACTTTAACTTGAAAATTTAGCACAAAGAAATTTCATTTTTTTACAAAAACCGAGAAATCGCATTTCCTATCAAAACAAAAAAAAACTTCATTTTCCCATGAAACTCAAAAAGCGCATATTCCCGCCAAAACAAAAAAAAAATTCATTTTCTCGTCAAACTCAAAACCTAAAATTTTATTTTCCCGCGAGAACCTGTGTTTTTCGCCAAAACCTAAAAATCACGTTTTTTTCACCAAAACTAAAAAATTTCATATTTCTGCAAAAACCAAAAAATCGTATTTTTCCTTCAAAACCGAAAAAATTATTTTTCTGCAAAAACCGAGAAATCTTCTATTCCCGCCAAAACCAAAAATTTCATTTTTTTTGTCAAACCAAGAATCTTTCCTACCAAAACAAATAAACTACAATTTTCCGCAAAAACCCAAAATTGCATTATCTCACAAGAAATTGTGTTTTTCTGTGAAAACTAAGAAATTGTATTTTTCCGCGAAAACAAAAAAAAATCACATTATTTGTCAAAAATTTAAAATTTGCATTTCCCAACAAAACCAAGAAATTATTTATTCCCGCCAAAATCGTCAAATTCTAATTTTCTGTGAAAACTAAAAAATTATATTTTTGCGTGAAAACCAAGAAATCACATTATCCGCCAAAAGCCAAAATTTTGCATTTTCTATTAAATTAAGAGATCACATTTTTGTCAAAACTGAAAAGTTACATTTCTCATCTAAACCGAGCATATTTCTGTCTAAGCTAAGATATTTTGTTTTTCCGTCAAAATTAATTTTTTTTTCTCACCAAAACCAAAAATTCACATTTTCTCGCCAAATCTGAAAATTCGCTTTTTTCCGCCATAGCCGAGAAATTATGTGTTGCTACCAGAACTAAAAATCACATTCCTACCGAAACCAAGAAATCTCATATTCCTGGCAAAACAGAGAAATTCTCTATTCTTTCCAAAGCTAAAAAAAATTGTTTTCTCGTCGAACCAATGAATCATGTTTTCCTAATAAAATTGAGAAATTGTATTTTTCGCTAAAATTGTCAAATTGTATTTTCCACAAAATTATGAAATTGTATTTTCGTACGAAAACCAAGAAATTGCATTATTCATCAAACATAGAAAATTGTGTTGCCCATCAAAAACAAAGATTTAATTTTTTTTATTTATTGTTATTTATTATTTGGGCTTTAGCTTGACAAAAAAAATAAAACAAATATTTTTTTATTTACTGTTATGAATTATTTGGGCTTGGATTTGGTAAAAAAAAAACAAAGATTAATAGAAAAGGTATTTGGGTTTTTATTGGATTTAAGTTTAAAAATCAAAGTAAGTAGATGAGTTGTATTAATAAAATGTTTTGATTGGTGAAACTTTTTTCTGAGGTGTCATCTTTATAAAGCTTCAAAATGCTGATGTGTCATTTGTAGCAGAAACATTAGTGTTATTGTTGTATTGATTGGAACATGAAAAGTCAAAATTTGGATTGGTTGATCCAAATTTAAGTTTGGTTTTGTTTTTATGTAATAACAAAGTGAAAATTAGGATTTGTTTGATCCAGATTTTTTTGGTTTTTGGGTGTTTTGTTTTGATGAAGTAGCTATGTAAGAACCATAGTAAGTTTGGTTTTGATCAAATTCGGCTTTTATGAAATTTAGCTTGATTTCAATCATCGGTTTTTGGGTTTGCAGATTTATACACAAAATAAAAAATTCAAGTATTTAACTTTGATATGATTTACTTGAGTTTTTGGATTTATTTTGATTCAATTAATCACAAAAAATGTTATTCAAATATCAAACTTTTAATAAGCATTAAGTTTTACGCGGACAATTTAAATCACAACTTTTATATGAATTATTTTTTAAATCATAAATTTATGAATTATTTTTTAAATCATAAATTTATGTTGACTAATCGTATTAGGCATTATATTGAATTCATTAACAGATTTTGACTAAACGGTGTTTAATCAACCTGTTAATGATTTAGTTTACCTGTTTTAATGATATTAACGTCATATCTAAAATGACCAAGTCAATATAAATTTGTGATTTTAACATTGATCAACAAAAAAAGTTTGTTATATAAATGGATCACACGAAAAATAATGTTTAGAATGGCTCAAATTTAAAAATTCAGTATTTAAATGGCATTTTTCCCCTAATATTTCCTCTCTTCGTCCCTTAATTCTCAAAAGCTTTTACTTTTTTCCCCAAATGTTTTAATGAAAAGAGTTAAATCTCATACTTCCTTTATATATGAATATTTTGCATCTAGACTAGGAAAAGTACAGTGGTACAAGGCAAGTTCTTCTCCTATCATCTTCAGTGTGAAATGTCCAAAACTTTATTATAAACTAGATATTTACCCGCGCTACATTGCACGATATTTCTCTAAATTTTGTATATATTTTTAATATAATAAAATTAATTTTATAATGTAAATGAGTATTATATTTTTATAAGTTATGTATTTATATGTTTTTAATTTGAATAAACATTATATATCCTTAATTTTTTATTTTTTGAAATTATAATTTGCTATTAAATTTGTTTAGCTAACTAATTATATATGTATATATAAGAATAAAGCAATATATTTTTTAGCACTTTCATGCTAATGGCAAATGTAATTTATTATCACTTGATTCTCTTTTGTAATTATATAAAGTAAAATGTCATTTTTAAAAAATATTTCTGATTATCTTGAATTATAAAATTTATTTATTTATCAAATATTTATTATAAACATATGTTTCTAAAACTACTAAACTATTATCAATAACATTCATATCAAAACCAATGTTATTTGAACTGTTGAAATATCATTTTAGATAAAGTTAAATAATTAAATTTTGGTTACCGTAAACATACTTTAACTTGAAAATTTAGCACAAAGAAATTTCATTTTTTAACAAAAACCGAAAAATCGCATTTTCCATCAAAACAAAAAAAAATTCATTTTCCCATGAAACTCAAAAAGCGCATATTCCCGCCAAAACAAAAAAAAATTCATTTTCTAGTCAAACTCAAAACCTAAAATTTTATTTTCCAGCGAGAACCTGTGTTTTCTCGCCAAAACCTAAAAATCACGTTTTTTTCACCAAAACTAAAAAATTTCATATTTCTGCAAAAACCAAAAAATCGTATTTTTCCTTCAAAACCGAAAAAATTATTTTTCTGCAAAAACCGAGAAATCTTCTATTCCCGCCAAAACCAAAAATTTCATTTTTTTTGTCAAACCAAGAATCTATCCTACCAAAACAAATAAGCTACAATTTTCCACAAAAACCCAAAATTGCATTATCTCACAACAAAATTGTGTTTTTCTGTGAAAACTAAAAAATTATATTTTTCCGCGAAAACAAAAAAAATCACATTATTTGTCAAAAATTGAAAATTTGCATTTCCCAACAAAACCAAGAAATTATTTATTCCCGTCAAAATCATCAAATTTCAATTTTCTGCGATAACTAAAAAATCATATTTTTGTGCGAAAACCAAGAAATCGCATTATCCGCCAAAAGTCAAAATTTTGCATTTCCTATTAAATTAAGAGATCACATTTTTGTCAAAACTGAAAAATTACATTTCTCATCAAAACCGAGCATTTTTCTGTCTAAGCTAAGATATTTTGTTTTTCCGTCAAAATTAATTATTTTTTTCTCACCAAAACCAAAAATTCACATTTTCTCGCCAAATCTGAAAATTCGTTTTTTTCTGCCATAGCCAAGAAATTATGTTTTGCTACCAGAACTAAAAATCACATTCCTACCGAAACCAAGAAATCTCATATTCCTGGCAAAACAGAGAAATTCCCTATTCTTGCCAAAGCTAAAAAAAAATTGTTTTCTCGTCGAACCAAGAAATCATGTTTTCCTAATAAAATTGAGAAATTGTATTTTTCGCTAAAATTGTCAAATTATATTTTTCTACAAAAATTATGAAATTGTATTTTCGTACGAAAATCAAAAAATTGCACTATTCATCAAACATAGAAAATTGTGTTGCCCATCAAAAACAAAGATTTAATTTTTTATTTGTTGTTATTTATTATTTGGGCTTTAGCTTGACAAAAAAATAAAACAAATATTTTTTATTTACTGTTATGAATTATTTGGGCTTGGATTTGGTAAAAAAAAAAAAAAGATTAATAGAAAAGGTATTTGGGTTTTTATTGGATTTAAGTTTAAAAATCAAAGTAAGTAGATGAGTTGTATTAATAAAATGTTTTGATTGGTGAAACTTTTTGCTGAGGTGTCATCTTTAGAAAGCTTCAAAATGCTGATGTGTCATCTGTAGCAGAAACATTAGTGTTATTGTTGTATTGATTGGAACATGAAAAGTGAAAATTTGGATTGGTTGATCCAAATTTAAGTTTGGTTTTGTTTTTATGTAATAACAAAGTGAAAATTAGGATTTGTTTGATGGGAATCTTGCAAAAATGACCCATAAATTCAAGTCAATTGCTAAACAACCTCTCATTTTACCACTTTTGAAATTAATTACTTTATCTCGCTTAAATCCTTATCAGTTCTATTTATTCACGAAAATGTCATTAGATTATTGTTTTTTATTATTATTTCGGAAATCTATTTTACCAAATAATCCTCATCTTCCTCACTTATTCATGAAAATGCCATCACCATCAATTCATTCAACCACCATTTTCAACCAATTTGAAGCTTTTATTGCTTTAAAGACCCATTTTTTAGCTTTGTAACCTCATTTTCTCTTCTCTTAACCTTCTATTCTTCCATTTTTTCACCATTTTCAGCACAAAAACTCTCTAATCTTAATTTTTGAAACTTGATGTTTTAATATATTGCCATATTTGGTGATTTGGTCTGGCAAATCGTTTGGACTTGTTTGGTGGTGGCTGGAATCAAAGAAATCGGTGGTTGAATAAGTTAAATACCACTGGTAGGTGATTTTTCAGTCAATTTTCGTGAGTTTTCAGATCTGTGCCGCGAAAGTAGACTTCTTAAGAAGTCTACTGTCGGTAGTAGACTTCAAAAGAAGTCTGCTGGTCAACACACAAGTTAGTTTTGCAATTGAACGGGTGTACCAATTTCTGACAGTAGACTTCAGTTGAAGTCTGCGCCATTTCCTTTGACAACAAAAAAAATAGTGTAAACTTCAAAAGAAGTCTACGTAAAAAGGGGGTAGTTTTGCAATTGACCAACGTTTGACTTTCACATAAGAAGTCTACTCGCAAAAGTAGACTTCTTCGGAGAAGTCTACTTTGAAAGTAGACTTCTTAGAGCCTTAGAAGTTAGTTTTGCAATTGACCAATGTTGACTTTTTCGAGTAGACTTCGCTTGAAGTCTACTTTTCCGAGTAGACTTCGTTTGAAGTCTACTTCCTGAGTAGACTTCAAAAAAAGTCTACTCGAAAATAAATTCAATGTTTGGTCAACTCCAAAACTAACCCAAGTAGACTTCGTTTGAAGTCTACTTTTGAAGTAGACTTCAAACGAAGTCTACTTTGAAAAGTCAACATTGATCAATTGCAAAACTAACCTCTAAGAAGTCTACTTTAAAAGTACACTTCTTACGAAAAAATCAAAGTTTGGTCAATTGCAAAACTAACATTTTTTTACGTAGATTTCTCGAGTAGACTTCTCGGAGTGAGTAGACTTCTTTGAAGAAGTCTACTCATCTTTTGGCAATTGCAAAAGTAACCTAAAATATAGATTTCATACGAAATCTACATTTGTAGACTTCATTACAAGTCTACTTTTGTAAACTTCGTTGTTAGTCTACTATTTCACTTTTTTATAAACGTGTTTTTATCAAATTTACAACGAATTATTAAGATTTTTTTGGTCTTACGATTGTTTTAGTAAGTGTACTTACATTTGTATCAGTTTTACATGTTTATATTATATATATCTGGTAAAATCAAGTTTCTTGTTTTATTTGATATTTAGCTTATTAGTCCGTAGACTTCGTTTGCAGTCTGCGATATTAATTTTTTTTAAATTAATTGATCAGATATTTGTAACAAATAAAATTTTTTTTTTGACTCTTAAGTGTTTATTATTTATTGTTCTTACTTATGTAGGAGTTTGACATGTTTATTTGTTATGGTTTAGCTTTAATTAATTTTCTTGTTCTAATTGGTATTTAGCTTATTAGTCTGTAGACTTCACTTGAAGTCTACATAGTAGATTTCGTTTGCAGTCTACGACATTAATATTTATAAATTTAATTGATCAGATATTTGTAACAAATAAAATTTATCATTTGACTCTTAAGTGTGTGATATATTGTTCTTGCTTATGTATAAGTTTGAATTTTTTTTTATTACAATTGAGCTTTAACGAATTTTCTTCTTTTATTTGGTATTTAGCTTAATAGTCCGCAGACTTCATTTGAAGTCTACATAGTAGACTACGTTTGCAGTCTACTTTTTCGACAATGATTTCTAATGTGGTTTGAATTTTGTTTTCTTACAGAGAATGGTTCACATACCCAGTGTTTATTGAGAATGTGTGAAGAAAGACTAGTTGTGGTATTTCTAAGTAGTTTTACATGTTTTTTTGTTATGAGTTTTATATGTTTTTGTATAGTTAAATTGAATTAATTTTCTTGTGTTATTAGAGGTTCAAAGATGGTGATGACTAAATCTGACAAAGAAGTCTGCATATGAAATCTGAATATGATAAAACACACATAATTTAAAAAAATATATAAAAATAACATTAATTACAATCCAACTTTACATATAAAGTAGACCTTCTAATCAAACAAACATTTAAGGATCACTAATTATAAATCTTAAAATTAACATATAAAAACAAAATGTCTGAAATAGATGTATGTGACTGAAGTCTGCTCGAGAAGTGTGCTCGAGAAGTCTACTCGAGACATCTGCAGCTGAAGTCTGCTTCCAACAAAAACAAAAGAGAAATAAATAAGCTCAGGCCTGCACAATAAGAAACAAAAATGTTAAAATTCATATTTCAACAAAATCTGCTATATTTACAAACATCATATCTACAACAAAAAAGAAAAAAATAAATCAGCTATGCAACAACAAAAATTATAGATCTGCAACAAAATAAACAAAATTCAGATCTGCAACAAAATAAACAAAATCCGATCTGCAACAACTAAAAAATTAGATCTACAAAAAAAAAAAAATCAGATCTGCAGCAACAAAAAATTCAGATCTACAACAAATTTTACAAAATTTATACTATAAGAAGCGCATATTTGCAAGAATAAACTCAGATCTACAACAAGAAGCTCAAATATGCACTAATAAACCCAAATTTACAATATGAACACAAAACAAACAACAAAAGAAACACAAAACCTCATATTTGCTTACCATCACCATAATTGAGATAGGGAGGATAGAGGATAGAGATGGGTTTGATGGCAAGAGAGGAAGGAGAAGAGATTCATGACCAGAGAGGAGGTAGAGGAGAGAGAGGTGTTTTTTAGAGGGAGAGAAAAACTTTATTTTTAACCCAATTAGGTTAATCTCCTTATATATGTAGAAAATTTTTCGGTTAAGTAGACTTCTTAAGAAGTCTACTGGAGAAGTCTACTCGAAAAGTCTACTTCAATATATTTTTTCGATTTCGATTCCCGCCTAATTTGTTCTGATTCCCGCCCAATTTGTTAAATAATTTTGATTTCCCGCTATGTTTTTTTTTAAGTCTACTAGAGAAGTCTACTGGAGAAGTCTACTTGAGAAGTCTACTGCATATGTATGTTTTCTAAGGGGTTGTATGTTTTCTAGTTAATTTTCTTTCTGCATTTAAGTTGATTCATTTGTATGAAATTTTGTATTCTATACATGTCAAATATATATGTCTTACTTATGTTTACCATTTTTTTAGAAATTTATTTATTTTATATTTTCTAATTAATTTTTAAAAAATGAATTATGTAGTAGACTTCTTTTGAAATCTACATACAACGATTGTAGACTTCTTACGTAGACTTCTCGAAGGATAAAATCGTAACTGTGGCAGACGTTTTTTGTTTAGTCACAAATGACTGAGCTGTAATTTCACTACCCATTTGAGTTAGTTTTGCCAAACATTCAATAAGGGGTCTACATATTGAGAAAAAATCAATTTTTAGGTTATAAAGATGAATTCCCTCTTGTTTGATCCAGGGTTTTTTGGTTTTGGGTGTTTTGTTTTGATGAAGTAGCTATGTAAGAACCATAGTAAGTTTGGTTTTGATCAAATTCGGCTTTTATGAAATTTAGCTTGATTTCAATCATCGGTTTTTGGGTTTGCAGAGATATATACACAAAATAAAAAATTTAAGTATTTAACTTTGATATGATTTACTTGAGTTTTTGGATTTATTTTGATTCAATTAATCACAAAAAATGTTATTCAAATATCAAACTTTTAATAAGCATTAAGTTTTACGTGGACAATTTAAATCACAAACTTTTATATGAATTATTTTTTAAATCATAAATTTATGTTGACTAATCGTATTAGGCATGATATTGAATTCATTAACAGATTTTGACTAAACGGTGTTTAATCAACCTATTAATGATTTAGTCTACCTGTTTTAATGATATTAACGTTATATCTAAAATGATCAAATCAATATAAATTTGTGATTTTAACATTAATCAACAAAAAAAGTTTGTTATATAAATGGATCACACGAAAAATAATGTTTAGAATGGCTCAAATTTAAAAATTCAGTATTTAAATGACATTTTTCCCCTAATATTTCCTCTCTTCGTCCCTTAATTCTCAAAAGCTTTTACTTTTTTCCCCAAATGTTTTAACGAAAAGAGTTAAATCTCATACTTCCGGCTTCATATTTATCACTTGTATATCGAAATATTCGTTGAAAATCCAATTTTCCCCCTTTTCTTCCTTATTCTTTCGTTTCTCGCGTTTCTCTAGGGTTTGGGCTTGACGAACACAGCTGCTCATCGCGTTAGCTCCCTCCTCAATTCGCGATCGAAGAAGCGATTTACCTTGGTTGGTAAGTATGGACTCTATTTCGTTTGTTTCGATTAGATTTTTCTTCCTTTCCCATTGAATTTTTCTCGTGTTTGCTCGATTTTCACGAACGTTCCCATCTTTCGGATCTACTGTACTTTTTTATCCTTCCTGGAACCTGCCCCTGTTTATATTTTCTGAATATAGTCTCGTAAATTTTGGTTTTGGTCGGATCCCTCCGTGAAGAATTGAAATTTCCATGGCGAATTGCTTGAATTTTTTTTCTATTGAGCTCGTATTTTTTTCTAATTACATGGGCAATTTACAATTTTCGGATAGCTGTTCTTTCAATTCCTGAAAGAGCTTGCCTTTCTTATTGGATTTTAAATTATTGACGCAGAGATCAAGATCCTATAAGCTAGTATCATAGTTCAATTGCTCGGAACACAACTTTACCAGGTATAAATCTCAGCTCATGGATAAGCAAAACTAGTTTTTCTTAGATCTCTCAGATTTGTACCCTTTCTAGCTCACATTATGTAGTGACACGCATTTTTTGTTGTTGCAATGATTCTGCTTTTGCTAGATTGGGTTTGTAAAAGATAGCAATGGCTGGAGCAATAGGTGGGGAATGTTCATACAGTGAGAGTGGCATTTCATCATACTCCAGGAATTCTAATGAAAACCAAGACGAGGTTTCTCGCTGGTATTTTGGAAGGAAAGAAATAGAAGAAAAATCACCATCGAGGTTGGATAGTATTGACTTAAAGAAGGAAACATACCTCCGCAAGTCGTACTGTACGTTTTTGCAGGACTTGGGCATGAGGTTAAAAGTGTAAGTATAATGTTCTCTACACATCCTTCAGATTTATACTTTGTGATGTGCATCCTCACTAGATTTTAGTGCATTTTCGAATTTGATCACTTCTTGCGAGCTTGGTCTAGGACATGGTAGTTTCTCCAGCCAAAATAACTGCCTCTATTTTGCTTCCAGATTGTTGTGAACCCTTTACATGTAGGTTTTGTAGGATCGAAGTTTTAAATTCTATAAAATTTGCTGTGTTAGAGCCTGGAGCTCGTTTAAGTAATGCATTATCTAGCCAGAGTTAATGGCTTTGCACAATTTAGTTGATAGTGGTTAACACAATCCTCAGCCTGAATCGTTCATCATGTAGACCTGGTTTCATATGTACTGTAAGCTTTCACTTTTGGCTATCTCAATGAATCCGACTAATATAATTTTCTATTATAGTCCTCAGGTTACAATAGCTACAGCAATAATTTTCTGCCATCGATTCTTCATTCGCCAGTCACATGCTAGGAATGACAGACGGGTGAGTATATATTCTTTTTGGACGTGACCTAGTTGAATGCTTTAGAGTTATGGGCCTACTCTTTGTTATTCGAGCCAGTCTGTTGCAGTCTTGTTTGTGTGAATTTGGAGCGTTGAAATGGCTCCTTGCTGTCCGTTTATATCCATTGTCTCCATCTGCCAGTTTCTTTTGTATATATATAGAGCAAACTAGCTAATGCAGTAGATGAATTTACACTGATTTCTATTATGATTATTACTGAGCCCTTCCCTTTTTCCATGTTGTCCTCCTTCCACACCCAGACGATTGGTACAGTCTGCATGTTCCTAGCTGGAAAAGTTGAAGAAACTCCAAGGCCGTTAAAAGATGTTATTGTTGTCTCCTATGAGATAATACACAAGAAGGATTCTACTACTGCACAGACAATCAAGCAAAAGGTCCGAGTACTACTAAACCTTCTCTACTCCGTTGCTTCATCGTTAGTTAGCTATGAGTTATCTTCTGTTTCGTATGACATTAAAGTTGTACTGACCCCAAGATTGTGCTTGTTCGTTGTTCATGAACAATCCTCCGCTGTTTCTGTCTTTACCGTTGGGGCTCTTATATGTGTCTGTCACCTTATCTATTACTTATCATCTGTGTTGCTCACCTTATCTGTTTCTTCACTTTTGCAGGAAGTATATGAGCAACAAAAAAAGCTTATACTAGATGGAGAAAAGATTGTACTATCTACATTGGGGTTTGACTTCAATGTTCATCATCCTTATAAACCTCTTGTAGAAGCGATAAAGAAATTTAAGGTCGCACAGAATGCTCTGGCCCAAGTTGCATGGAATTTTGTTAACGATGGGTACGTTAAAAGTTTGATTCCTTCAAAAGTTTCAGTTAAGATCAATCTGCCTTGTATTTTCGTCTTCATAAAATGAAAAGATGCTTGCAGTCTGCGGACGTCACTCTGCCTGCAATTTAAGCCTCACCACATTGCGGCGGGTGCAATTTTTCTTGCTGCCAAGTTCCTTAAAGTGAAATTGCCATCAGATGGAGAGAAGGTTTGGTGGCAAGAATTTGATGTCACACCTCGACAACTGGAGGGTAAGAGTACTACTGTATCTTTATTACGGAATTGATTTGGTCAGACTCCACTATTTCTGTTTGACTTTCATGCGTTCTTCTAACGAGCTACTGCCTTTTTGAATATTTCAGATGTTAGCAACCAAATGCTTGAACTGTATGAGCAAAACCGTTTGCCTGCGACTCAAGTAAGCGAAGTGGAAAGTAGTGTAGGTGGAGGATCAGCTCATCACGTTGCTTCTAGGCCAATGCCGGCACGTCCGTCTCATGAACATTCAAATTCTGATAATCACGAGGGCTCGTCAAAAGCTGCACAGAACCAGAGCAATGATAACGGGAGTGGTGAGGCAGGTAGTGTCATTACCGAGCATACTGAAACTCATCCAGTCCATAAGTCTAGACCGGGAGTTGAAGCACCTGTGAAGGACAAAACAGAGAAGACAGGTGCACCTCTTCCAGATGATAGCGTCGCTCTTGATAAATCTAGAAATGTTAATTCAGGTGATGTCCCCGTCAGTCAATCGCCGAAAGAGATAAAATTGCTTAGAGATAAGGTGAAGGCTAAACTAGAGGCTAAGAAGTTCCAAGGTGAGAAGGCGAAGACAAAGGATTTGATGGATGAGGATGATTTGATCGAAAGGGAACTAGAAGACGTGGAAATAGCTGTTGAGGATGTCAAAGATAATGAGAAGAAGAGCTCCGAAGGTACAGAACACGGCGAGATTCTTGATGGAAACAACTCGGTGGGCAATACAGAGGAAGGTGAAATGGTTGATGATGTTTCGTCGACGGTGCCTAGCCGGAAGAGAAAAATGGGAAGCCCTTGTGAGAAACAGTTAGAAGGAGGAAAGAGGCGACACAACAGTAACAACAGTGAGAATGTTGAAGAAGGTGACAAGACAAGCCGTGGAGGACTCTGATTGGGGGAATCAGGCTGTGGAGACTTTTTGCCATTTTATACACAGCCCTTACAGTTAAAAATGCAACTGTAAAATGTAAACCAGTCAGACTTTTGTGACTTTTCATTAATTTCAAAGTCCTCACAGCTTTCTTTTGTTTTCTTTTTAAAATCTCGTCTTCGTGATTATGGGACAAATGGGTCTTAAAAGAAACTAATGAAAGAAAAACATCAAAAGTGGCTTTTGCAGTTTTGGTTGTACAATTTGGATTCTGTTCGGTTTATTCAGTACAGGGAACAATTGTGTATTCAGTCATTTTGGTACTTTGGTTGTATATTAGGATTTGGTTTCATTCAGTATATCAATAAACATGAGCAACTTACCGAATAGTAAATCCATTTGGAGTATTAATCATATCTGTTTCTTTTTAAAATTGACAATTACAAAAACAAACGGAAAATAGAGGACTAATATGTAAAAACATTCTCATTTTTCTCAAAGCCGAACCTAAAAAAGAAACACAAAAGACCTAAAACCCCTCTCGTCTTCTTCTTCACACAGCTCTCTCTCTCCTCGGCGCCGGCGGCAGACTAAATTGTCATCATATTGTTCCGACACTCTAGAGTCTCCAGAAACATTGCAGTAGCGAAAGAAAATTCTTCTTCTTCTTATTATTCTCTTAGAAACCCGAATTTCGAGCCCCCTTTGGAGTCTACGGTTCCAGAACGAGCTCTTTTATTTTTCGCAAAGCCAAAGGATGTAAGTATTGGTTTTCCAGAAACAGTTCTTTTCGTTTTAAACTGAGTTTTCGCTCAATGTAAGAAAGTTGTCTTCTCTGTTTTTTCGGCCTCTTAAAACTCCCAGGTCGAGGATAATCGTGAAGGATTTGCCCAAGCATGTGACAGAGGCTGAACTTCGAGATCACTTTTCACCGAAAGGAGAAATTACAGACGCGAAATTGATACGCCTCAAGTAGTACCATTACATTCAAAAGTCGACTGTCTTCACAACTAGCTTTGCGTTTTTTTTTTAAATTGTCTTAATTTTGAATCTCTATCGTTTCAGGGAAGGTAAAAGTAGACAATTTGCTTTTATTGGATTCCGTAGTGACCATGAGGCTCAAGATGCTGTCAAGTCTTTGAACAAGTCTTATCTCGGCGCTTCTCGGATAGTTGTTGAGGTTACCACTTGAACTCGAGACTCTTGTTTTCAGTTGTGTACTTAGTTTGAATCTAATTTAGAATCTCTTCTAAAAAAAACACTATAGATTGCTCATAAAGTCGGAGCCGAGAACGTTCCCCGTCCGTGGAGTCGTCATTCACTCAAGAAAGAAGGGAAAGTTGATGGAGAATCTTCTAATGGAATCTCAACCAAAGGAGACAAAAAGACTAAGAAGAAACCAGAGGCTGATGATGATCCTGAGCTCCAAGAGTTTTTTGACGTTATGCAGAGGGGCAAGTCGAAAATCTGGTCCAATGACGTGTCGATTGCTCCTACCGCTGAAGTAACCACCGAAGGGAAGGTTCCGGTGAAGAAAGCAGATAAGACGACGATGGATTCCGATGGTGATGAGCCTGACAAAGCTCAAGGGTCATCAGATACTGTAAAGACTAAAGATAAGAAAGTCGTTGCTGCCACTGATGATGTTTCTGATACGGAATACTTCAAGAGCAGGACCAAGAAAAATCTGTCGGATTCGGACAGTGATAGCGAAAGTGATGACGATGAAGATGAAGCTGGTGACGCTGATGCAGAAAACGGTCATGGTGCTGATATTCGTGTTTTTCCCGTTGATGGCGATGATGAAGCTGGCGGTATTGTTAAAGATGACGATGAGGATGCCATGGAGGTTGAAGCCGATGGCAAGATGGCTGAAGAATCGAAAGCTGACAGTGATGATGTTCTCGACACTGGTCGCCTTTTCGTCCGTAACCTGCCTTACACTACATCGTACTGGATCTTCTTGCTCATCTCCTGTTTTTACTTTCCTGTTAATCCTTCTCCTATTCGTCGTATATATCTCTGATTGCTGTGAATACTTTCGTGCAATAGAGAAGAAGAGCTTAAGGAGCATTTTAGCAAATTCGGTGAGACATCAGAGGTCCATCTTGTTCTTGACAAGGAGACAAAAAGGTCCAAAGGATTTGCCTACATCCTTTACCCGATTCCGGAGTGTGCAGCAAGGTATTATTCATGCCAAAACGTAGCCTTGTGTTACTCCTTGGGGTTTAGTTGCATGCTTTTCAAGTGGTAGCCTTATGTTTTGATCTTTAGCTGTTAGTTCAGGTTTTAAATCATTTGGATGGTGATACAGGGCAATGGAGGAATTAGATCACTCAATTTTCCAGGGACGGTTGTTGCATATTATGCCAGCCAAGCACCGTGAAACGTCGACTATACAAGTGTCAGTGGCCTATATACCTCTCTATGTTTCGGTCTTTAAACTTGTAATATTTATGTGGACCAGAACTTTACATTAGATGTTTAACATGGCTTTTCACAATAGGAATGACACTTCTCATCTGCCAAAAACATTCAAGCAAAAGAGGGAGGAACAAAGAAAGGCGTCTGAAGCCGGTGGAAATACAAAGTCTTGGAATAGTTTATTCATGCGACCTGATACTGTACGTTTTAATCTTGTTTCAAGCATGCATCCATTAATGTTTTCGAAATGTGGCTTGATGCAATGCTTCATGTTTCTTTTCTCTTTTCCTTTTTGTGTTGTAGATCCTAGAAAACATAGTCAGGGTGTATGGCGTAAGCAAGAGTGAGTTTCTTGACCGTGAAGCTGAAGATCCTGCTGTACGCCTTGCTTTGGGAGAAACAAAAGTGATTGCGGAGACCAAAGAAGCCCTGGCTAAAGCTGGAGTGAATGTCACTTCTTTGGAAGAATTCGCTACAGGGAAAGGTGATGAGAAGAACCGAAGCAAGCATATCATCTTAGTTAAGAATTTGCCATTTGCTTCCACTGAAAAGGAACTGGCACAAATGTTTGGAAAATTTGGACGTCTAGACAAAATTATTCTCCCTCCGACGAAGACTTTGGCCTTGGTATTTTTTCTTTCTGTGTGTTCCTACTTCAATACCTTCGACGAATATTTGATTGTTCTCTGACCCCTCCTTACATGATCTCCAGGTTGTTTTCCTTGAACCGGCTGAGGCACGTACTGCTATGAAGGGAATGAAATACAAGCAATACAAGTAAGCTTAAACATTAACTTTGATGTTTATTTAGCCAAGACGGGAAGAACAATGGAGAGATATTATTGTTTCAGTGTAAATCCTGTTTCTTACCTTAAAGTGTAATCATCGTCATCACATTTCCCTATCATTACAGAGATGGTCCCCTGTATCTGGAGTGGGCTCCGGGAGAAATTCTTGAGGCAAAAACACTTCCCGATAGCAATGTTGAGGAAAATGATGTGAGAAGAGTCGACATAGAGCAGCAGGTTAAAATCGATCATGACGTAACTGAGGTATGTCCAGTTATGATAGCTGTGGACGTTGTGATATCATATGCTCCTCTGTTTTTGTGTTGTGTTAAAAGCTATCCGAACTGAAAGATAGTAGAAAAATCTTGATTAGCTTGGACAACTAAAGTTGATTTTAGTTTTACCATTTGGGGCTATATATACACGGGTTTAGTAAATATTTTGCGAGTCTCAGGTTAGGTACTGCAGAATTTCTGTTCATTGACTTGTAACATTTCCTCAATGCATTCTATTTCAGTCAAATGTCCTTCATGTTACGAATCTGAGCTTCAATACAACTGATGAGGGTTTGAAGAAGCATTTGACTAGACTGGTGAAGCAGGGAAAGATTCTGAGTGTCAAGGTAAGTTGTTGTTCATAGCTGCTGACGCATAATGTGCACTTAACCAGGGGTCTGTTCTTATATTCCTTGATTTTTCCATTATAAGCAGATAATAAAGCATCTAAAGAATGGGAAGAATGTTTCAAGCGGTTACGGTTTTGTAGAATTCGACTCTGTAGAGACAGCTACCAATGTCTGCAGAGATCTAGAGGTAAGTTAATGGTTTAAGTATCTTTGAAACTTAAAGTTGATTGGATTCGAGGAAGTGCATTGACACACTTCTGTTTAATTTGCAGGGAACTTCTCTGGATGGGCATGCTTTGAAGTTAAGGTTTTGTGAACAAAAGCGGAGTGACACTGGTGGGAAAGGTTCAGACAAGGAAAAAGCTTCAACAAAGTTGCATGTGAAGAATGTAGCTTTTGAAGCAACCAAGAAAGAACTAACACAGCTTTTCAGTCCATTTGGACAGGTAACATTATTTAGCTCTATTGTAATTGGAACAAATTACAAGTTGTGTGCAGCACAAGATAGTTTTTTGTAACTATCAAAGCACATTCATGTTTCTTGTTTATTATATGCAGATCAAGAGTCTCAGGCTTCCAAAGAGGAATATCGGACAGTTTGCAGGTTTTGCTTTTGTTGAATTCATGACGAAGCAAGAAGCTTCAAACGCTAAGAAAGCATTGTCAAGCACCCATTTCTACGGACGCCATTTGGTAAGTCTTATGTTGTTGTAGTCTTTGTCTCTCCCTCTCTCTATCTATCTGTCAAGCCTGTTCATTTGACATCATTGTTAGACGCATTCTCGACTCTCTTGATTTGCCTGTCTTTGCAGGTGCTCGAGTGGGCCAACGATGACAAAAGCATGGAAGAGACGAGACGTCGTTCTGCTGCTAAGTATATGGAACAAGAAAACGATAATAATGCAAAGAGAAGGAGACTAGCTGAATAGCCACGCCCCTCTAATATAAAGTTTGTATTGACCATGGTCGGATGATAAGAGCTTTACTGTGATTCTCCATGGTTGAAATTTTGCTCACTATAAAATATGTTTCTTTTTTCTTTTTCTTTTTTGTCACAGTTTTTTTGTTATATACAGATATTTCTACAGTTTTTCTAGAAACCTTTTCCAGTGGCCTATAAAATTCAGTTCGGAGTCTATTCTTTTGCTTTATACTTTATAATTAAAGGACCAGAGTGGTGTAAAGAACCTAAAATCTCTTCAAAATTTGGTAAAACATATCATAAGTTGAATTGTTTGTAAAACTTGTGTTTAGATATTTGGATCCGTAGAGCCACTCACGCACTTAGTTACTACATATTTACTTACACAAGAGTAGAGACCAAATCTCAATATGATATATTTTCATGTACAACTCATTTTCCCAATGGTTAATTAAATGAGACACAAACAAAGCAAAGAGATGCAAACACAGAAGTTCATAACTCCATAGTGAGACCAAAAGGTGTTTCTTTTGAGGGAAGTGTGTGTCATTACATATATATAACTAAGCACAACAAGATGAACTCACTGCCCTATCCATTGCCCTGTCCGGTAGAATCATTCCACTTGGGTTTTCCGTTGGCTGTACTCGTGGTAGCCTTCTTGCTGTACCGGTCAAAAGGAAAACGTATAATTTAATACTAGAAGCAAAAACTGTTTGAATCTGATTCTCGAGTGTAACGATAAGCTCACCGATTTCATAGAATATCTCTTTGACGTTAGCTGCGGTTTTGGCTGAAGTTTCCATGAAGAAAAGACCGTTCTCCTGAGCATATGTTTGTGCCTCCTGCAAGGAAGACCAAGACTCTCAGATATCACGAACTAGGAATCAAGCTGTAGAAACTGAAGGAGAATATTTCGGGACTGACACTAAACTCCATAGACCAGTGGCCTAATCTTAACTTGTGAAGGGCGAAATATAAGGTCTATATATATAATGCCTACTTCATTGTGGATGCATATGTTTTGGGGACTATCTAACATTGTAACACATAACGGATCAGATGTTTGGTCATTGGAAACTAGAGCGTGTTTTGCAACTGACTGAACTTTAATGCACAACGTAAATGGTTCTAACAGAAACTTCAGAAGGGGTCATTCTTGAGAGATGAGACTGTCTAGATTTTAGGCTTTTGGCATAAAAGAGCAAAAAAGGAACAAAAAGAGGCAAAGCGTAGCAGGATAAGTAAGGTCACATGAAACCATCTCAATCATTCTCCAAAGATGGTTAGATAAAATCATGAGAGCCCAACTATATATGCAAGAAGCTATATACTATGAAGGTACATTGTATTGCAATAAATATCACCTAATGGTTTGGTTTCTGTCAAGCAGTGATAAGTGAAAATCCAAATACCAGCTATTAGGCTAATACACACAGCTCAAAAATAAAATCAAACCACGAGAAAAATCAGTCGGACAGAATAGGATTTGCTTACCTCTGCAGTCACCTTCCTTGCATCTAACAAATCAGATTTGTTGCCAGCAAGAGCCATCACCATATTGGAGTTACCTATTCACACAAAAATAGAAAAATAGTAAAACACACATGACAGCAAATAAAGCTTGAGAGTAGCAGTAACTTGAAGTCAGAAATAATCGAAAAACTAATTTACGCATAATTCATAGCTAAACAATACCTTGTGCCTGCAGTTCCTGAACCCATTTCTTTGCCCTCTCAAACGAGCCCTGTGAAGATTCAAAAAAAAATCAAACAAACTTAATTAAGTAGAAAACCACAAAAAGTTACTGAACTGCACCTACTGACCAGTACATTAAACCACAGGATTTTGATTCTGTACCTGATTCGTAACATCAAAGACAATGATTGCAGCAGCTGCACCTCTATAGTACATTGGGGCCAAACTATGGTAACGTTCCTGACCCGCTGTATCCCATATCTCAAACTTCACAGTGGCATCGTTCACGGCCAGCGTTTGTGAGAAAAAAGCTGCACCAATGGTTGATTCCTAAAGCAACACAAAAGTCAAGAAGAACACAGAGAATGTGAACAACAACAACAACAACAACAAGGCAAGGAAGACCATTGGGAGAGAAACTGCCACCAAACCTGGAATTCAACAAACTGATCTTTAACAAACCGTAACACAAGACTCGATTTCCCAGCCCCAACATCTCCAAGTAACACCTGAAAGGCTTAACCAAATCAAAATAAGTAAGAAAAATAAAAGATGCTTGCAAGCTTCGTAAGAGCTTGAAAAGCAAGAGGAAACTCTTAAGATGGAGAACGTAGGGTGCATCAAAAATCAAACATTCTCATGATACACACCATTAACAAAACGAAACAAAGAAGGAACAACTAAGCATAGATTCTCCATGAGAACAGATTAAACAAGAGAAACAGGACAAATTTCTTCTGGTTCGATCTAGCAAGTACTGAATCACTATATTGTTAAGCTAGCTCATTTAAACCCTATGATGAATACAACTATATCAGAAGATTTCGTTCCTCATCAAAAAGTTCACTAATTTTTGTTGGTCCCCAAAGAAATTAACATCAGATAAAAAATCTCCAGATTACAAACAAAATCACATCCGAAAACTGAAAAATTTAACAAAAGTTTGATCATCGGAGAACGAAATTCGAAGGGTTAAACTGAAAATCCAAAATAATTGAGCTGAGTGAGCAGAAGACGGACCAATTTCGCGTTAATGCTCTTGTTTCCAGCGGCAGCCATGATTATCGATCTAAAAAAACACTATCGTAGCAAGAGAATCTACAGCTCGAAACTGAAGGGAAGTCGTGAATGATAACGAGATTTAAGATTGAAGATTGAAGATTGAAGATCAAAGACGGAGCAAAACAAAAGTAGAAAATCGCAAGGAAAGAGAAGGAAGACGCGTCGGCAACAACCCCAAAAATCCCCTGTATCTTTGCTCTCTCTTTCCAGAAAAACATAAAGTAAAAAAAATATATAATAATTAAAGGAAACAAATGTTACACGGCAAGTCAATATCACACGAAATCCACGACGAATTTAGAAAATTTCGATAATGATAAGAGAATAATAACATTTTCTTGTTAATGTCAGTAACCTAATAATATTATGAATGATAGTGGAAAATTATTGGAGTGAATTATAATATTCTAGGAATCTCATTCAAGCTCTAAGCTTGGCGTTGAAGAACTACTAGAGTACGGAGATTCTTGTAAGAAGAAGGACAACTTTGAAACCATCTCTTCGATTCCAAGTAAGACCAAAACCAGCCATTAATGACTTCTTTCTTTCTCTTCTTACTTTGCTTTTTTTCTTTGGACTCAACTCAAGTATATATGATGAGATATTCAAAAATGGTAAACACTAATTGTTAAAAATGAGAGTCTCAACGTGTTTAATGAATGGACTAAGTTTGAGTTAGCGAGAAAGATAGATGATCATAGAAAGAGTTGGTTTCTTAAATCGGAAACGGTAACGGCAACGAAATTAGTAGCGTGACCAGTAGGTTTTGTTTGTATTGAAAATCACAAAGTTACCAAGACAATATCATATTGTCAATTGTGAAACAGTTGAGATTTTTGATCTTGTAGTTACAAAGATATGGTTTTCTTGTTTTATGTGCATGATTGTATAGAAGTAAAATTAGTGTTTATGCTTAAAGTATTAAAATCAAAAAAAAAACATGTATCTTTGTTGAACATGTAACATTCTTCTTCAGAAGAGATTTATTATATTTACACTAAGAAAAAAAAAAGATCCTTATTCACTGTCCTTTCTCAAGAATTCTCTTCAAACCCTTCACTATCTTACCAAACCACATCAAGTTCATCACACTCAGTGCAATCGGTACAGCAAAAACCAGTAGATAACCGAATGTATGCATCAGTACCACCTGCCACAGACTCCATAGATCATCAATATTCATTACCTCTATACTCTAACCAATACCAACACAGCAAAAACAGAGTGTTTGGTTTTGAAAAGAATTAAACCGGAATCTTGCTTACCTGATCGTAGTGTATGTAAACATGGTAAAACATGTAGATGAACAGAAGGATTCTTGCTATCTGCAAAACAGAACATGAAAAGTTTCAGAAAGAGAAAAAAGAGAACTTAAAGTTTTCGGATTCGAAAAGATAAAAAAAGGTTAACTCACGAGCCAAGCCAAGACAATAGCAACTCCATTAATAAGATAAGCTTTAGATCGCTTCAAACCAGCAATGTCAAGGTACCATCTAAGATTGATCTCTGGTGTAGTGACTTCAGAGATCAAAACCATGTATGTGTAAAGCTGAGCCTCTCCAGAGAACAGAGAATACGCTACTCCTACTCCAGATAAGCAGTGATGGAAAATCTACAAAAGGAAATCAAGATTGTGATACAAGTTATTGAAAACCAATGGAGAACACAAAAAGCTTTCTTTCTTGTGTCTACTTACATATTCTGATCCTCCTAGAGAAGGGTAAAACCAAATGATCATGCCAAGATCTGCAAGAAAGTAACCAACTGATACCTATGCAAACACATTGCAACAAAGTACCATATAAGTGAATCAATGTTCATGAGGAGGATCTTTTGAGAGAAAATGAAAAAAAGATGAAAAGTTACTCCTAAACCAAAGTTAGAAATAGGCGAGCTACGAAACACCATAAGCCCTTGAAGCCCTCTTTGGTCAGAAAACAAATCAGAGAAGAACACAAAGTAGATTGCCATGAATGAGATGATAATCGCATGGACTGTAGAGATTCCCCTGCCAAGTTATATTATAAGCCAATGTGATAAGAAGAGACAAAAAGAACAACATATAAAAAGGCTGAAACAAAATGTATATCTATATATAGATGATACTCACCGGTTGTTCCATTCAATTCTCTTCATGTTTGTGAGAGCTGAATATGATTTAATATGAATTGAGCTGAATAGTTCCGTAAGATCATAGGCCTATTATCGAAAAGAGCATAAGCCACACTGTTTTAAAACAGAATGAAAAAGTGTGGAGTTTGAAATTGCATGTGAACAGAAGCATGTGATTACCATTTTGCAGAGAAAGATTCCAGCAAGAACAGAGGTATATGGAAGAAATGGATCTGCTAATAAATAGTGTGTGACAAAACTCTCTGCATGATCTTGATAAGATTTGATGTCCATGACTGGTGTCTACTTCTCAATCTTTCTGATGAATGGCTATATTTTTTTCCACAGACTTTAACTTCTCTCAAGCTTCATCATCATCATTACTGAAATACATAGAGAAGAGCGAAGAACGAAACACTTCGTATATGTTTTCTTCATCTAAATCATTCTCAAGGACACAGTGAATAATCTTTTATGGCTTGTACAAATATGGTTTTGTGAAATACAATCAGAAGAAACAAGGAAAAACGAAGAAAAGAGACAAGAATTCTTACATTAACTTTCTCGAATATTCGAATGCGAAAGAAGAAGACAGTGAAAAACTCTGTTTTGTTTGTTTGCTTTGTTCTGTCGAGACCACCTGAAATATCATAAATTTTCCGAAAAGGTTTAGACTTTTTAAAAGAAAAAAGGCAGAAGCAATCAACACGTGAACCGCAAAAAGCTGCCAAAGAAACGCCAAGAAGATGAAGAAGAAGAAGAAGAAGAAGAAGGACGTTACAGAGATGGTGCTGAAAAAAAGGGGTGGTTCTTCGGAAGCTTCAAGAAATCATCCGAGAAAAGTAAGAGATTTTACCCATTTACTTGATTCGCAAGAGGGGCAGTAATTGAAAACACAACAAGTAATTATCTTACGAATAATCGAGAAAAAAATAATATATATTGTAGCTGGAGATTTTGTTTCCCTTATTTACTCCAAGAATTAATTGACAAAGACCAACAAATGGGTTTTGCTCACAGAATGCTAGTCAATGGTATGAAATATATAACCTTATCAGACGATTTAAAAGGAGTGTGTGCAAAAAGGGAGAGAAATAAGTCAATTTTGAGGAAATCATCTAAACCAACTTTTAATATAAAAACTAACTAATTATCTTGTTTTGGGTTTGTCTTGTAAAAGGAAAGGTGGTTGGAATTTAGGAGGAACCAGTAATGTTTCTCTTTATCTGCAAACTTTTTGGTATATGAGTTGTGTGATTTGTTTCAAGTCTTGTATAGAAAGGTAAAAGATACGAGAACAACAAATTCTTTTGAAGGTATATCTACAAAGATATATAATTTTCTAAATAATGTATACAAAATTAAAAAAAAATTACCTGAAATAAGAAATTATAAGATATAGAAAAAATGAATATATACCACTAATATTAGTTAATACATATATTTCATACATAAATTATAAGGTATATATATATATATATATATATATATATTTAATCAAAAGATTTTGGAAATTTTATTTTACTCAAGATCAAATTGACCAAAAAAATGTCTATTAAACAATCTGAAAATTAGTTTTATCCGGGCAAACCACGAATTTTATATAAAGCGGTTTTACATATGTAAGTTACATAAGATTGAATTCAAATTAACGATTTTAAAAATACTTGTTATTGAATGTTTGGTAGCTTCTTTACCTTGAAGATGATGACCTTACATACGAGTTGAATGGACCACTTGAAATTGACCAAAGAAACAAATTAGATAGTTGTAAGAGAGTTGTAAACTTAAAAATTAGAACGAACAAAATATTCAGATTTGTGAGAAACTCACCGTTTCTTGCGTAAATTGGAATGAAGATATCACCATTTTGATGGATTTGAAGTCGTTTTATTATTTTATAGTTCAATTAATTTAGATCCTAAGAATTTGTAACGTTCTTATTAATAACATGATTTCGTGCGATGTGTTTTCACCTTTTTTTTTTTTTTTTTTTTTTGTCAAATCGATGTTTTCTTTCATTCAATGAAACTTAAAATCCATACAAAGAGGAAAACAACTTGAAAAACTAGCAACAACTAAAACAGCTGCATCACAGATTGCAGAATAACTGATAAGATAAAGATAGATGGAAAAGTCTATAAAATTTTCACCTTTTCTTATAAGTTTAAATTTGACAAGTCTGTAAAATTTGGTTTTAAGAGGATACGAAAAATGTTTCGAGGCTAAGTGTTGATGATGCACAAATTGATACTGTCAGGCATATTCTACAAAAGTCAGAGTATTAACGTTCTATTCCACAAATTTACCATTTTGAAGTAGAGGAACAAGTAAACCTTACGGTCATTTCTAGTAAATATTATAAAGTTAAGGGACTTTCCTTGGTATTTTCACCTGTAATCAAGCTCTGACAAAGGGAGTTTTTAGCAAAGTAACGAGATTTGACGATGAACCCTTAAGAATCTGAGGGGGGAAATGGTGGATTCAAGCGCGCAATAAGCCCTCTTTCGAGTAAGATTTCTTGTTCGCAGAAAGTAAGCATCTTTTGGTGTTCGATTACATGCATCGACAATTCTTCATAGCTCTGTATTTGGTGGGTGATTTCATCTGTTTTGTCCCTTTTTTTTTATTTTAGGTGGCGATGTTATTGTTCAGATATCAGAAAAAGGTTCATAAATTGCTGAATATGATTACCCATTTCAACAATTACACAGCTTTCTCCTCCATCCCTCGTCAAAACCAAGCTCCTCCAACTCCAAGGTTCGACCTTTCTCGTGTTCCGTTCACAGTTCGGCGTTTTCAGATTAAAACCTGTGTCCGTAGGGGTAAATCTGAGCTGCAGCAGCACTCGTCTCAGTTACCCACTCGGTTTTTCGTTAACCCGGTTTCAAGAACGGTTAGGAATCAGTCTCAAGAAGCTCTTTTCGATTACTTGCATTATACTAGAAGCTTTACTTTCACTGATGCAGAGCATATAAGCAAGAACTCTCCGCACTTCATGTCGAATTTGCTGTCCAAGATTGGTGATGACCACAAGGATATATCCAGGGCACTGACCAAGTTCCTTAGGTACAATCCCATCAACGAGTTTGAGCCGTTTTTCGAGAGTTTGGGTTTGTGCCCTTCTGAGTTTGAGCCGTTTCTTCCACAGAGGCTAATGTTTCTGAGCGATGATGTTACCATGTTTGAGAACTTCCATGCTCTTTGCAACTACGGGATCCCGCGTGGCAAGATTGGCCGTGTGTATAGAGAAGCTAGAGAGGTTTTCGGATATGAACTCGGGATGTTGTCGTCGAGACTCAGGGCTTATGAGGGTTTGGGTCTTAGAAAGGCTACAGTCATCAAGCTAGTTACTAGTTGCCCTTCGCTGCTTGTTGGTGGGATCGATGGTGAGTTTGCTTCTGTGGTTGATAAGCTGAAGGGTTTACCAGTAGGATGTGACTGGCTCGAGCGAGACTTGTCTGACCGGAAAACGTATAGCTGGCGCAGGATTCTTGAGACGATAGAGTTTCTTGAGAAAGTGGGATGCAAAGAGGAGAAGCTGAGTAGTCTTTTGAAAACGTATCCGGCTTTGGTGATCGAAGGATCCGGCAAGAAGTTCTATGTTCTGTTCGGTAGGTTGTTTAAAGTCGGGCTTCAAGTGAATGAGATTTATAGGCTCTTTATAGACAACCCTGAGATGTTATCAGACAAACGCGTGAAGAATATCCGAAAGGCGCTGGATTTCTTGATCGCTGTTAGAATGGAAACGCAGTTTATCAGAAAGATTTTGCTGAGTCACATGGAGCTTATCGGTTCATGCTCTCTTCAAGCGCCTAGAACCGCTTGTAGTAGCTTGAATGTTAGCCAAGACGAGCTATGTCAGATGTTAAAGAAAGAGCCTTTGAGACTGTTCAGTTTCGTTTCTACAGCGACGAGCAGAAAAAGCAAACTTCTTTCGGAGGACTCAAGGAAATGCGCAGAGAAGGAAGCCTTTTTGTTCAGGCTAGGGTATTTAGAGAACTCGGATGAGATGGTGAAGGCTCTGAAACAGTTTCGAGGGAGGGGAGATCAGCTGCAGGAGAGATTCGATTGCCTCGTGAGAGCCGGTTTAAACCACAACGTGGTCACCGAGATCATCAGGCACGCTCCAATGATACTCAACCTGTCTAAGGATGTCATAGAGAGAAAGATACATTCCTTAACCGAGCTTCTCGGATATCCGATCGAATCCCTGGTGAGTTTCCCGGCATATCTGTGTTATGACATGCAGAGAATACATCAGAGATTCTCAATGTATTTATGGTTGAGGGAAAGAGATGCAGCGAAGCCAATGCTGTCACCGAGCACTATTCTCACTTGCGGTGATGCCCGGTTCGTCAAGTACTTTGTCAATGTCCACCCTGAAGGTCCAGCCATGTGGGAAAGTATAAACCAATCATATAACCTGAAGTGATGTTTATTGGCACGGTGCAATGTGCTGCTGCAATACTAAAAATGTTGGTGCGGAGATGGTGAAAGCCGAAAGAGCAGAGAGACTCATTTGCATCGACACTGTTAAAGAAGAAAGGTATCTTCCGAGTGACAAATTTTAATTTCAGAGCCCTTATTGGTGCCCTTGCACTGTCTGAATTCACTGGAAGTGTTCTTAGGGGTCGTCCTCCTAAACAGAAAGACGCGACTGACATTCTTGAAGGAGATTGTACTGATGGGTTGGTCAAGAGTGTGTTGCAGAGGTTGCTGACACATGTCTTATGTTAGCTAAGATGTCACCTGTGATTTAGCAACAACAATATCATATTTTTTGAAAGTTGTATAATGTCTTGATTGCTTTAGTTCAGATCTAAAAGAAAGCAAATTGTGTTTGAAGAAGATACTTTCCTGATATTACAATTTCCTGAGTAAATAAGCAAGCAAAATGTTTCTAAGTGATTGGAAAATTTATAAGGAGAGCCTTAGAAAGCATCAACATTTCATTGATAAACCAAACAAACAATATTAAATCATGGATTTTCATTAATCTTTATTTTTTCAAAAATCCACCCTTATTGTATGTGCGTAATTGTTAAATATCTTTTAGAAACCCAGGTTATATTGGATATAGAATTCTTTCTAAGAGCATCTCCAATGTATGATGCTATTTTTCATACCAAAATGAAATAATTATAAAATCCAATTGAATTTTTCTCCAATGTATGATTGCACTTTTCATTTGAAAAGAATATTTGATTATATTCTTTAATTATTAATTACTAATTATACACATCCTTTCAAAATTTACAAATAAACCCATTCATTTAATTAATTTCAAAATATTTTAAATGTATTATGGTTTATATCATTTTTTCTACTAAATATATATTATTTGTATTTTAATTTTAGAGAGTAGAATGTTTTAATATTTATAACCATTAATAAAAAAAAGAAATTATTATCAAAATAATTATTTACTTCCTAAAACAAAAATATTAAGAATTTGAAGGACTAATTTATAAATAAAAAAACTCAATTGCAAAATGGAATTCAACATAAAATAATTCTATATTTGAAATCAAAAATAGCATTATACCATTATGCAAAATTGAAAATGAGATGGGGTTGGAACACATTTGATTTCAAAATGAAATTTGAAACCAAATTTGATATAGGGTTGGAGATAAGTTATTCAAAATAATAATAAAATTAATGGATCATCACTAATTTAAAAATAATTACAGTATATCTGAAAATATTTGATTACAATTTTTTCGTTATATATTTTGATCAACAAATCCTACTTATAAAGAAGATATATTCAAGAGATTTATAAAAAAAAAAATTGAACTATTTTAGATAAATTTCTGCATATAAAACATAGGAAATATATTTTTATCGATTTAAATCTGGAGTCCATCCTAATTTAGACTGGTTTTTATATAATAGTATTTGCTGTTGTTAACAAAAAGTTGACTATATTTAGTGTGAGAAATTACCTATATAACATGTTTAATACAAGAGCCAAATAAACAATAAGTTTCTGCAAATTAACAAAGGAAATATCTTTTTATTATTTTTGTTGAATCATGAAGATATTTCCTTCGTTCATGGTTTCTTGTGTTCTCATGTTCTGCATTCTCAACCATGTGAAAGGTACGTGATACATTTCTTTTTTTTTTTTTTTTTTTGATTTAACGGTTCTATATTGTTAAAAGACGAACAGAGTTGCAGACCAAACTTAAGAAACAAGAAATATCTGAATACTCCACTTGTGTATTAGATTGAAACAACTCGGGCCTTTAATAGTCCTTACAACTGAAACACGAAACAAACGGAAATGAAACAACCTCAAAGTAACGTTCTTTGACTCCTACAAATCAGGAGAATTATTAAAATTAAAAACTGCATTAAAGTTGCAGACTTATACGAATAAAACAAACTTTTATTGTTCAATCCTTCCCCTAAACTGGAAACGTCTCTTTCCAGTTTACTCCTCCTTACGACACAACCCAATTCTTCCTCTTAGCTTCTCGAACACCTCAAGCTTTACAGCTTTAGTCATGATATCAGACAGCTGTTCCTTTGTGGCGCAGTAGTTTAGAAGTATCACTCCTTCATTCACCAATTCACGTAAGAAATGGAATCTTACATGAATGTGCTTGCTCCTTCCGTGTAGCACCAAATTCTTTGACAGTTTTATGGTAGAGCTATTGTCACAGAACAGAACCGTACCTTCTCCTTGTACCGAGCCAATCTCTTCTAGAATGTTCCTTAGCCATACTGCTTGACAAGCTCCGTATGCTGCAGCAACGAATTCAGCCTCTGTCGTAGATAGAGTTACTATGGGCTGCTTCTTCGATGCCCAAGAGACTGCCCCTCCTCCAAGCATAAAGACAAATCCAGATGTACTCTTCATGTCATCTATGTCTCCAGCATAGTCGCTATCCACATAGCCAATTAGCTTCTGTTCTTCTCCTTGCTTATACCTGATTCCATAATCAGAAGTTCCTTGAACATACCTTAGGATCCTTTTTGCAGCCAGCAAGTGTTGCTCATTAGGATTCTTCATGTATCTACTGACTAGATTCACCGAGTAGATCAGATCTGGTCTAGTTGCAGTAAGATATCTCAGACTTCCAACAAGTTGCTTGAACATAGTGCTATCAACTGCTTCTCCTTCTCCTGCTTTAGACAACTTGTTTCCAGGCACTATGGGATTCTTCACTGAGTTACAATTTTCCATGCCATACTTCTTCAATGTTTCTTCTGCATACTTCTGTTGGCAGATAAAGATCCCTTTCTCATCTTGAGTAACTTCAACACCCAAAAAGTACTTCATCTTTCCAAGGTCTGTCATTGAGAACTCCTTCATCATGGACTCCTTGAATCGTTCAAGCATCAAAGTTGAATTACTTGTGTAGATAAGGTCATCAACATAGAGACTTATGATCAGAATGTCACCACCTTCCTTCTTCACGAATAAAGTATGCTCACAGTAGCACTTGTCAAAGCTTTCCTTCAGGAAGTATCCTTCAATCCGACTGTACCAAGCTCTAGGCGCTTGTTTCAGCCATACAGGGCTTTGTTTAGCTTGTACACTTTGTTGAGCTCGTCCTTTCTTTCAAAGCCACTTGGTTGCTCAACATAAACATCCTCTTCCAGTTTCCCATGCAGAAAAGCGCTCTTTACATCAAGCTGATACACGTTCCACCCCCTTTCTGCAGCCAAGCCCAATATCAATCTTATTGTATCCCATCTTGCTACTGGGGCAAATACTTCATGAAAGTCCACTCCATACTTCTGATGGTATCCCTTAGTCACCAATCTTGCCTTGAATTTGTCAACCTCTCCTTTCTCATTGAATTTTGTCTTGAAAACCCATTTCACACCAATCACTTTTGCTCCTTCTGGCAATTCTACCAACTCCCAAGTGTTATTTTCTTCAATGGAAGAGATTTCAGCCTTCATTGCCTTTCTCCAGACCTCCTGCTGCATTGCATCTTCAAAGTATTATGGATCTTCAGATGCAATGAACATGGCGATAATGTCTTCTCCATCATCAGTAATCAGAAAGCCTGCCCTTTTGCTTCCAACGTAGTCTTTCATCCATACTGGAGCTTGTCTATTTCTTCCTCCACCTTCATGTACTAGTACTTGACTTGGGCTTGCTTGTTGCAGCAGCTCTTCTTCGTCTTCCTCAATCTCTTCTTCTCCAGTAATTTCTTCTGCAATTAGCTCCTCTGCAACGTTTTCAGTCTGCCCTTCATCAAGTACTTCTTCTGTTTCAGCAGTCACTTCGTACCATGACAGCTCTTTACTTTGCAGACTCTCTTCCCACTCCCATCCTTTACTTTCATCGAAGTGTACATCTCTGCTTACAATGATCTTCTTCGTAGCAGGATTGTATAGTCGGTATGCCTTTGATCCCATGCTTAACCCAAACATCACGCATTTGACACTCCTTTCATCAAGTTTAATCCGTCTCTCATAGGGTACCAAAGCATAAGCAACACACCCGAATATCTTCAAGTGTTCTACAGACGGTTTGTGCTGGCTCCACTTCTCTTCAGGTGTTATAGCATCTAACGCTGCTGATGGACTTCTATTAAGAATGTGGACTGCATACTGAACCGCTTCTGGCCAATATCTCCTTGGCACAGACCTTTCAAGGAGCATACACCTTGTCATATTCATGACACTTCGGTTCTTTCTCTCTGCTACCCCGTTTTGTTGAGGTGTGTACGCCGCGGTGAGCTGCCTTTTGATTCCGACCTCTTTGCAATAGTTTTCAAACTCCTTAGAGTTGTACTCTCCACCCCTATCAGTTCTCAGACAAACAAGAGCTTGTCCTGATTCTCTCTCTGCAGCAGCTCTGAACTCTTTGAACACCTTAAGAGCTTCAGACTTTTCTGATAGAAAGTATGTCCAGCACTTTCGACTATAATCATCAATAAAGTTGATTATGTACCTCTTTCCCCCTTCTGAGATTGGTGTAATTGGTCCGCATATGTCACTGTGAACTAGCTGAAGTCCCCTTGTTGACTTCCATTCACTCTTCTTTGGAATACTATCTCGGTTCTGCTTCCTCTTCAAGCAGATTTCGCATGTAGCTTCCACTTCATTAGCGCTGATGGTTGGTAAACCCTTTACCATGTGCTTCTCTGCAAGTGACTTTAAGCTCTTATGGTTTAGATGGCCATATCGCTTGTGCCACAGCTCCTCTGCTCTCACTGTCACCTGCAGACACTTCGCTTCCTCTATTTCTCTTGCTTCTCTCACAGTGGCCAGAATGATGAACATTCTGTTTTTGGACATTGTTGATTGCATGATCAGTCTCTTCTGCTTCTTGTGCCAGATCTCACATACATCATCTTCAATCACCACTCTGAGCCCCTTCTGCTGCAGTTGCCCCACGCTGAGTAGATTGTTTTTAAGGCCCGGCACAAAGTACACTGAGGTAATCACTTGAATGATACCATTTATCTCCAGCCGTAAGCTTCCTTTGCCTTCCACTATCATTCTGTGATCATCTCCAAGCTTCACATTTTGACGAAATGTGTTATCAAAATCAACAAACCATTCCTTGGTTCCACACATATGATTGCTGCATCCTGAATCCAGGAACCAAACTTGTTGTTTTTCTCCTTTGATCTGATCCACATGGGCCATGAGAAGCATGTCCTCCTCCATCTCCGCATAGTTTGCCTCCCTTTCCCATTCTGGACATTCAGACTTATAATGTCCCATCTTGTGACATTTGTAGCATTCTACAGCTTCTTTGCCATGCCCTCTTCCATGGTATCCTCCTCTTCCTCTTCCACGGTTCAGATGCGATCCTCTGCCTCTGCTGCTCCCCTGTCTCCATTGTCCCTCAACCTTCAAGGCATGTTCATCTCCGATATGCTTATTCAGCTTTTGTTCGTGGACCATCAGGGAGCTCTGCAATCCATCAACTGTCATCGCCTTGATATCATTGGACTCTTCAATCGCACATACTACGTATGTGAACTTCTCCACCAGGGTTCTGAGAATCTTTTCCACCACTTTGGAATCTGGCATCTCCTCTCCTAGGTTTCTCATATTGTTTGCAACCTCCATTACTCTAGAGAAGTACTCTGAGATGCTCTCTCCTTCTCTCATTTCGAGTATCTCAAAGTCCCTGCGCAACCTTTGTAATTGCGCGCTTTGCACTCGATCATTTCCTTGAAACTTTCTCTTCATTGATTCCCACAGATCCTTCGATGTTTTCTTCTTCAGGATCGTCTTGAGAATCGTCTTGTCAATAGAGGCAAACAAGTAATTCTTTACTTTGTGATCCGTCACCGTCTTCTCCGCTAACTCTGTCCGTTGTGGTCCGGTGAGGATGACGTTTCTCTCTGGTCGTACAATCCCCGTCTCAATGAGATCCCACCATTCCTTTGACCTCAACAAATTCTCCATGAGCATCGCCCAATGCTCGTAATCACCGTCGAACTTTGGAATGATCATCGTATCTTTCTCACTCATTTTCTTTCTCTCTTTCGTACCAAGCTCGTTACAAGCTCTGATACCACTTGTTAAAAGACGAACAGAGTTGCAGACCAAACTTAAGAAACAAGAAATATCTGAATACTCCACTTATGTATTAGATTGAAACAACTCGGGCCTTTAATAGTCCTTACAACTGAAACACGAAACAAACGGAAATGAAACAACCTCAAAGTAACGTTCTTTGACTCCTACAAATCAGGAGAATTATTAAAATTAAAAACTGCATTAAAGCTCCAGACTTATACGAATAAAACAAACTTTTATTCTTCATATATAACATGGTTTAGTCTTCTTCAAGCAAATATCAATTACTTTTTTTTTTTTTTAATATTGCTGATACAAAACAACAGAAGTGAAAAGTGAGGTGATCAATGGGAAGAAGGTGTGCGTATATGCACAAATATTCGATCAGAATTGTGGCTGGGATGGACGCAAGACGTGCATAAAAGACTTTAATTCTATGGGCGAACACCCTTTTGATTGCGAGTGTTCCCTGTTCGAACCAGGCGAAGGCAGACGTGTTTGCAGATGTAAATTCCTCAGACCTCCTTTCCCAGGACAACCCATCGTTTGCTCATAATCTTTTGTTTTCTTTTTTGGGATCTTGTACCGATTTTATCATAAAAACATAAACTATTAAATCTCTAAAACCCGATTACACTACCAATGTAAACATTATTTTATACTATATATATAAAAGAAAAAGAAACACGTATATTGGAAGGTGCACACATACGTCGTCATGCGACCCACCAAATAAGCTATAAGACACGTACGTAACTTGTTACAATGTCTCTTTCCTGCTTAACATTTCTCTTTATATTGCTATTATTATTATGATCCTAAAACACTCACAAGCGTTTAGAGATACATCAAGTTCTCAGTATCATCAAATCCAACAACATCCCATTTTTTGGTGAGATACCGGTTTGATGTTTCTTTGATTTTAACTTTTCTCATACGATTCCTTTCTAGATTGTAAAGAAAAACGTGGAAAAGAGTTGTATTTTTTGCTCCGGTGACAGTATTGCCGGTCCGAGTTACATTTTGAGGCACAAAGATAACCTCACCGTTTCTAGTTGTACCTTGTACCCTCAAGCTGATGCTATTGACCATATGCATATGAGAAGGATGATGCGACACCACAGTCTTGTGTGACCACGTATTCTTTTCTTCATCTTCCATAACCCATAGATCCATCTCAGCTTTGTCTTTAAGATACATATGGCGTAAAACAGCTACTCTTCCACCGTATTCTACAACACCAGTGTTAATAACAAACGATGGAAAATTACGTATTCCTTCGAGGATACTGATTTCTTCAGAATCAACATCGAAAGTAACAAGCACAGGATGATACAAACGAACCCAAGCTAGGTAATGCATACGCCCGTTGATAGTCACTGCTTGTGTCAAAGCTTGATGCGGTGGACATCGGCTTGGAATCTTTCTCCATCGACTTGATCCATCTCCTCCTCCTAGTATCAAGACCCAATGCTCTGACAGGAACGTTATGAACTCTCCAGCTTCGTCGCTGCGTCTTGAAACTGTGCAAACCACTTTATATTGATCATGAACGTGGTCGTGTCCTATATGGTACTTGATATACCTCCACTTGTTGGATTCCTCTATGTCGGGTAAGATGACAAGCTGCCTAGTGCTAGTGTTGAATATTTTCGCCCTTGCACCTTTTGTAAAGCACATCAACCCGCGAAAGACCTGAGAGACTGAGTAGCCTTCCATCGCTGGGATGGTCAAGTCTTGGTCAACAACAAAGGATAACACAGTAGAAGCCGAAGATGATGATAGTAATACGTTTTTGTTGTTGTCGACGCACAACCACATGTATAGACGTGGCGGCGATGGTGAAGCTTTTAGGAAACGGTTGGTGAAATATTGGGAACAAATAAAGGATGACCAGAGCTCTGAGACTGATTTGAATCTCATAAGGGATTTAGGAGGGAGTCTCGTGAGAATCTCTATCACGATATCAAAAGGAATCTCCTCCCGTGTAGCTTCGTGGTGGTTCTTGCATCTTTCTTCTGTGACGGCTAGGTCAAAAGAAAAGGCCATAATTTTTAGTGTCACACAATATACAGTTTGAGTACAAAACCTTATATATATATAATCCGATTCCTTAATCATATGGAAATAATAAATTTACCTTAATTTTCCTGTTTAGATATTACAGAATTACTACATCTTTTCCCCTCTAACCACTATTTCTATAACTATATTTCCATACTATTTGTTTTTCAAATGACAGAACTCTTTTTGCTTTTGCTCCATGACCATGAGATTATTAAATCCGATTAAGGATCATCCACCAGCTCATATATATATACACTAATGTAGTATATTGAATTATATTGATACAACCCCATGCACCATCGCAAAACACTCTTCAAAATTCGTAGCCATCAATTGCTTGCTTCACAAGAATGCCCATAACTCGATTAAACGTAAGAGTTCATCTTCTCAAGAAACATAGCAATAATTTTTAACAAAACAAAATAATCAACAAGTTAGCCGGAAATTCATAAGGATGAAAGAAGAAATGTATGTTCTTAAACGTAAAACTTTAACAATAATACACTAGCTAGACAGAATCTTACCAACTGAGAGAATACAATATTCCTAAATACAAAATCTACACCATCCCAACACCTTGTTCTTGCATATCATGAATTCGTCATAACTTTTCTGTCATAATAACACAAATACCGTTGCATCTTGGTGCATCTTAGTTCTCGATAGGTACCACTGCGGTCACTTTCCTCCTAGGCTCAAGCTTCTTGACTTGAGTTGGCTACAGAGCTGTTATTTGGTGTTCCTGCAACACTTTTTCCTTTTCGCCTTTGTTTCTTCTCCTTCTATCCATTGTCTTCAATCTCATTCTCTTGGCAACATACATCTCCTGAGCTGCTATTTGGTGTTCCTGCAACACTTTTTCGTTTTCCTCTTTGTTTCTTCTCCTTCTTTCCATTGTCTTGTGTCTCATTCTCTTGGCAACATACATCTCCTGAGCTGTTATTTGGTGTTCCTGCAACACTTTTTCCTTTTCGTCTTTGCTTCTTCTCCTTTCCATTGTCTTCAGCCTCATTCTCTTGTCTACATACATCTCCTGAGCAGCTCTCTGATCCTTTTCTCCGCTTCTTTGGCTGTCTCTCTGAATCAGCACATAATGATTCACTCTCGCCTTCTGCATCAGCCTTCTTTTGTCTGCATCGACAAAGAAAAAGGTCAATATGGGATCCACAAAAAGCAGTGTATGTGTATAGATGCAGCATAAGCAGCAGAGGAACATTCGGTGAATTTACCTTGCTTTGCGTTTCTTCTTCAGGGCGGGTTCTGGCTCAAGAGCTATCTCGGCTAGCGCCAAACCGCCTACGACAAGATCAGGCCGCTCTGATTCCCGATCAACGAAATTGCCTAGAGTGTTTTCTTTGCGTAACCTTATAGCTTCCTTTTTCAGTGGCACCAGGTGAGGATTCAAACTTTCCCATCTCTTCAAGCACTGACGGTGAGTGCGACCAGGCAGATTTGAAGCGACTTTGGACCAGATTCCATGTTCCCTGTCAAACTCAAAATTCTTGAGCTTGCTTTCAAGGCCTGCAGTTGCTTCTCTCAACTTTGCATCCTCTTCCTCGGTCCAACTTTCACGTTTCTTTATTTTGGGATCTAAAGTTTCCCACTTTGCTCGACACTGAGACTGTGTACGTCCAGGAACAAACTGAGCAATTTTACACCACTTTTGAGCTCCAAAGATAGTCACGGCTACTTTCAAACGTTTTTCCTCCTCTGAACTCCATGTCCCTTTTGTTTCTATTGTAGGGTGAAGCGATTTTTTCCACCTGAAAGTATAGATGAGAAGAGAATTAGATATAAAGCGATTTTTTCAATCAGACAGAAACAAATATCATACAATAACAGAAGATAACACCTTCTAAGTAGTAAATGCTACTGAAATGTCATGAATATTGACTTCATCAAGAACATCACTGACCTATTAGAGCACTGAGTTCCAGTCCTTCCTTTTAACATGTTTGCAACAGATTGCCAATCTTTCTCGCCCAACAGGTTTACTGCCTCACGTAGTTGTTCATCTTCCTCTGGAGTCCATTCTTTCTTCAACATATCTGCATTTAAGCTCCTTTGATATCTAGCGAGACACTGAAACGGTGTCCTATTTGTCCCTAACGATACTGCGATATCGAGCCAGTCTGTCAAACTCTTGTTTTTGACAGTTAAGCGTATGAACTCATCCTCTTCTGCAGTCCATGGACCGTGGTTGATCAGTGGGTCTTCTGAGCTCATCCAACTACAATAACGTAGCACAAATTAAGAAAAATTTATAGTTGATTTGTTTATTTAAAGCAAATATACATAAAGTAGAGGAGAAACTTACCGGGCTTCACATTCTGCAGCCGAACGGTTCTTGATATCCAATTGGTCCCATTTAACCTTGGGAAGAAACTGTCTCATCATTTCTGGTGTGATCTCAAGGTTTTTTATCGATTCAATAATGGTGTTTATATCATCTGACGAGCCTTCCAAGTCACTATTAAAGAAAGAAAAAGAAAACTTTCAAGTAATTCTGCAACTGAATAGAGTTTTGTAATATGCACCAAAACAATGATAGCACTTTGAGAAAGCACATTACCTAGATCGTTCAGTGGCTTCAAGAATGAGTGTTTCTTGAATTTGTTGCTTTATACCTTTTGCAAGACTCTCGTTCTCCTTAGTAGTCCAGCTTCTGCGAGACACTGAAACTGGATATCTCTCTAATGCCATCCTATAATTTGCAACTGAAGGGTTCTCTGGTGGACCATTACCCTACCCAAATATAAGAAAAACACACACAGAATTTAAGTAAAAAGACTTTTTTTCGTACGCAAGATGGAGGGAAACTAGATCAATGTGCATTACCTCGGAGCCAGGTTTTCGTGTTGAGATCAATTCGATACGTGGATCTTTCCTCTGAGACAATGCCCTGGCGGTAACTCTCTTGCAGGAAGCTTGAAAACTGTTAACAATCATAACATTCTTCTGGTGCTTCTCGTTCTCCTTGATTGTTCGTTCAATTTCACCCAGTTTTCTTCGAAGAAATCTCTGATATGACCTATTCTTTCGTATTGCATCAACAAAGGCTCGTGCAGCTTCAGGGAAACTACTTTCAGTGGAAGTGTTTTCACGTAACTGACCAGCTTCTACTTCCTCTGAATCTCGAAAGCTTCCACGAGTATTAGATCCGCTTGGAGGCTCATTGTGCGAGGCAAGTACCTCCTTGTTCTTCTCGGTAGAATCATTCATGACATTGGCTTCCAAATCTGCAGAACAACAGTAACAAATTGTTTAACAAGTCTGCACCTTTTACACTGAGAACCAAAGCCATCTTAATCAGTTGAAGTAAGGTAATGCAGAAACAATGTCTAAGGAATCAGTAAAGAAGAAAAGAAACAAAGTATAGAGATTTCGATGTTTGGACTCACCGGAAAAAACAGAGAATCGCCTACCAATACATCGAAGGGTATCATCAAGGTCACCATCTTCGTCTTTTTCGTCCATCGGAAGTGCCAATTGGCTCTTAATGCTCCGAAGCAGCTCCAGATCATCTTCACTCTCCGAATCCGAGTGCACTGGTAAACCCGTCGGAGGAAGTTCCGTCGACGAAGCTAATTGGCTCTTAATGCTCCGAAGCATCTCCAAGTCGTCTTCTTCACTCTCCAAATCCGAGTGCACTGGTAAACCCGTCGGAGGAAGATCCGGCGACGGAGCTAATTGGCTCTTAATGCTCCGAAGCATCTCCAAGTCGTCTTCGTCCTCGTCCTCCGAATCCGGCATCACTCCGCCACCGCCTCCAGTAGAAGCAGAATTGGCCTCGGTTACCATACAGGCGCGTCTTAACTCGTCCAAATCTTCACCGATATCGTCTTCATCATCGCCGTCAGACTCGTACATGCTTCCACGATGCATCGCTTTAAAAAAAACACGTCTATAGCTATAGAGAAGAACGAATCGGTCGAATTTGAAATTGAACAGAAGAAAGCAAGAGAATGTTTGTTTAATGGCAGCACCTGAGAAAGACGAAGGTTTTGTTTTTTCCTTCAAAATTGAGTTTTAGGGTTTATTCATTGATCTGAAGTCTGAAACAAAACGGGTCGAGCCGGGTCGGGTCAGATCATTCGATTTGGATCATTATAAATTCCATATCATCATATATTTCGAATATTACACAAGTTTCTCTAACCAAAAGAAGTTTCTGTGAGCGAGCATCCTAATTTTGTTTTTACACATTTCAAAAATCAATCCCTCCTTAATACAAAATCGAATCTAAGAATGTGTATATAAACCTGAATACCAAAATGGATCTTTATACTAAATCAACCTATAAAAATAGCTAAACTAACAACATCTTCAAGAAAAAACCTCTAACATGAGCATTAGTTATGGCACACACAGATCATGTTGGGTTCTCTAAGGCCTCTCTAAGAGAAGAAGAAGCTGGTGACGAAGCAGAAAGACAAGACCGAGCAATCTTGGCCTCTTTGTCTTTGCTATACGCTTTCTTAACATCGTTCTTCAGCTCGTTATATCTCATCCTCTTCAATCTTCTCTCTTTCACAGAGCCTCTCTCCGGATGAGACATATCAGGTATGTCTTCGTCCATATACTCGTCCATGTACTTATCAAGAACCTGAGAACAAGATGGGAAATACCTCCGACCTGTCTCAACTGCATCACAAACCGTTTCGAATCAGTCAATCTCGCGGTTTGAGAGAGACAGAGAGAGAGCTTAAAAAGTGAAAAAGACTTTTTTTTACCTGTTTTCATAAGCGCTTCCATACGAGCAAGCAGTCTTTTCGTTTGCATATAAGGCGTCTCGTTCAAATCGACCTGAGTCAAGTTTCCGGTTGCACCATTCGATGGCGGTGGAACAAGAACACCTGTGAACTCGCTCGTCCCTTCAACATGAGCAACGTCCATAGCTACATTAGCTTCTGTTGGGAAGAACAACTGAGCAAGTCCCACTGCAACAACAACAACACATACAATAATAAGATTCAGAATTTTTGCGTAAGTCATCACCAACCTTAAGCTATGAGAGACATGTACATATCGTTGCAATACCTCGCTTTTCTAAGTATAACAACCTCATTTGGAGATCCTCAGGCATGGAATGGGAACAAGAAGGTGTATCACCACTAGCCAATGGATTCCTTCTAATTTCTCTTTCCAAGAGATCGATGCATAAGCGGTCTTTATTAGCTTCTTGCCCCTTTGCGGTTTTGGTGTAATAATCTTTTGGCCTAGTGAGTCTCCTACATATGTTAATCGCACTGCGTCCATCAAACGTCAAATCCGAAGCATTAGCTCCTTTGCCTATAAGTGATATGATAATCAACGGCTCTCTACGCATAGCAGCGAAATGAAGAACCGTGTAACCCCTGGAGTTTCTGAAGTTCACATCAGCCATGTCTAGAGCAAGAACCTCTGCCACAACTTTCGGATCACTGTACGCCACTGCGTAATGCAGACCATTGGCTTGGTCTAGAGTTATATCTGACTCGGTCAAAAGAAGCTTCACGAGCTCGATATCGTCTGAATCCAGTGCCTTGAGTACTTTCTCGGTTCTCTCTAGCGACTTATCCGCCTCCTCGGTGATGCTGTTCGCCGACTTAGCTCGGAGCTGTTTGATTTTCTCTGATATTTCGACAGGAAGCTCCTTTTGGATGCAGAACCTGTCTAGGTCTGATCTCGCCACTCTCTCTATGCATTGATCAAGAAGCTGACGCAAATCACAGTGAAACGCAGCTAAGAGGATCGGAAGAACATTCTCGACTAGTGACTTCTCAACGTAGTTACAAAGCCTCCGCTGCAGACACAAAAAACAAAAAGCAGAACATCAAGTCTTAATGAATCAAGAACAGATTATTTTGTGACCAAATAGAGAAGACTCAGACCTGAAATGACGAGACCAGCTCCGGAATTTGGAAAGCATATGAAGCGTACATCAACTCAACAGCAAAATCGATGGCCGGTTTACAAGAATCATGAGCACAAACTGTATCAACACAAGTCGAAACCTCGAAAGGAGAAGGCTTTAGCCTCCCAGTGTAGATGTAATTCAACAAATGCAAAAACGCCTCGCGCCTCACACTTCCATATTTCAACAAATCCTTCATATGGTACCTCGGTTTCTTCTCAGACTTTGCACTACTCTCTTTGTCTTTCTTGAACAGCTCAAGGAAAAACTTGCTCCTAGCAGCTAACACGCATCTATGAACACCCACTGGGTGAGCTTCTTCTTCGACGATGATCTCTGCGTCAGTATAATCGCAATCTGAGTTAGTGAGAAGCTGCTCCAAGTTGGAACTGAGCTTGATTAAGCTAGCAGCTTCAAGATTAGCAGCTGATTGGTGATTAGTAACAGTAGGAGGAGGGTTAGATAAGTGAGAAGATGTGAAGCTTATAGATGATGATTGCTCCATTGCAGTTGCAGCCATTTTCTTCCTAGAAATTTCACTCAAAGGCTCTGACTTTGTTTTGAGATACAAAAGCCTAATTTTGATCCAACGAGAAGAATCGATTGAGCACTGATTGGTCAAAATGGTTCAGAACACATGAAACAATACAGACAAAGATCATAGAAATGAATTTAATCAACCCCTGAAGAAAAGATCCGAACTTTATGAAAAAGAAACATTCAGATTTCTGATGAATCAACAATTCGAGAAAACACCTTGGAGAAATATTTCAAAAAGTCAACGAAAATGGCGGATGGAGAAAACCCTAATTGAATTCTAAATTTACATAAGAGGAAGAAGAGAAGAATATGTATATATATAAATGGGAATTGTTCAAAATCAAAGCATGATGTTTTTGCAGAAATGGATATGAACGAATACGATTTAAGGATTTATACGAATCGTAGAACAAATAGGAGAAAACTCAGAGGTTATCTAAATCTAATGGTGAGAAATAAGAAGACTGGTCGGGTCTGTCTTAAGAACAAAAACAAGACTAAATAATTTTCACATAAGTTTCTTAATTATACTACATATTAATTACGAGTCAAATTTCTAATTTAATTTAATTATATTGTTTGGAAAAAATGAAAGGAGTTTAAAGAAAGACCGAATAATAATAGCAAGTCTTTCGACAATTATAAGCCAATCATATTCAAAATGCCAAATGGTCATGAGTCTCATGAGTCATGACGATGCAAAAATCGTAAGCAATGTCGTAACAATTGAAGAAGACGACTTGACTTGTGGTGAAGTGGGACGATGACGTTTTAAATAACGTCAGCTTTGAAAAATATACATATGAAAAATACATTAATGAGTGGGCCCTGTTGCTTTATGTTAAATTAGAAAAGTCTACCCAAAATTGAAGATAAATTTTATGGAAATTTATTTGAATTTATTGTATTTTATTGGAAGACAAAAATTATTGAATCTAGATATATAACTGTTCTTTTTATATAGAGGAATTTTACTCAGAATAAATATTGATTCTACTATAATATACTTTGCTTAGATTTCGAAGAGAACAATTCAAACATCTATAGCTGAAAAAAAAAAAAGTTTTCTTCAAAACAACATCTGATTTTTTTTTTTTTTTACAAAAGCAAGTTCGAACATTTAGTGGGTGATTTATGAAGGTTTCAAAGGTTTTCCTGAAATATTTGGTCAAATATGAAGTAATTAATATTATTAATATTGACTTAAATCCGCAAGAACGTTAATCTTTCTTCCAAGAATTGTAAAACGAAATGATCAAACTCTTCTTTTTATAATTGCAAATAGTTCAATTCATTTTTTGAGTTCATCAAGAATATAAAAACCCCAACAATTTCTTCCGAGAGCGAGAGACTCTCGTTATCGTTAGACCTCTTCGAACCGAATCAAACCAAACCGAATCCACAAAGCTATAAATTACCAATCTACCCCCTTTCACTGGCTAGTATACTCCTCATAGTAGTCATCACTTATGACAGACACAAACCTCTCAAGCCAAGGAAGCTGATGAAGATCTTTCATGGCGGCTTCAACATACGATGACTCTGTACATGGAGGCGGTGGCGACTGATAAGAAGTCTGGTGATCACTGAGACTAAACCCTCCACCCGCTAAGAACCGTTGGATCAGAGCAAGCTGAGATCTTTCTTGCTCTGAGTAAGCGTCCATTACAGTTGGAATCGAGCTAAATGTGTCCCAAGGCCATTGCTCAAGTTCTTGGATTGTGTTCTCCGACTCTGTGTTTTCTTGATCTTCTTCGTCATCGTCCCAAAAAGCGCAAGTGCAACTCTGCTGCCCTTCTCTGTACTCTGCTCCACAACAGTAGCAAAACTCATGCCCACACCTACAAAAACCACAAAAGAGATAAAGAAATCATATGGTTACAACCATCATGACATGAAACATTCTATGGATGGTATGTCTCTCACCGGCAAGTCATGTGGTTGCAGCCTTGAGCAAGTTCGATCATTATACGGCATTGCTGACACCGTCTCCACCTCTTGTACCTCGCCAAGCGATGCAATGTAATATCATCTGGATATCTTTCATCAACGGGAAGAATCTGAAACTCTTCACAGCTCATAGAATCATGCCAAGGAACACCACAGTCCACACACACAAACCTCTCACAGACCGGACACTCCACACAGCAGCTATTCTCTGAGTGACTAGACGAGCTCGCGCTTGCGCTTGCCCTTCCCGGTGATAGACATTCACTCGGGTCTAACAGAAAAGAGCAGTTGGGATACGGACAGTAGATCTTGCCACTGTTGTTACCACGCACATTTGCTTCCTCGAATGATCTGAAAGAAGCGACGGGAAGAAACGATTTGCACTCCGCGGCTGAGAGATAATGCTTGCACTGCACTTGAGGACACCTGATGGGAACTTCCGAAGACTGTACTTTCCCTTCGACGTATGTTTTCATGCAATGCGAACAGAACTTGTGAGTGCATTTCAGTGTTAGCATCATCTCGGCTTGACGGTCTTCACAGCAGATTGAGCAGCTCTCAGCTAACTTATCAACATCGAGGTTAAAAGACACGATTCCTACCGCTACTTGAGCCAAGCTTAGAGCTTGATCAAGATCATGGGAAGGCGCAAGCTTTAGAACAAACCCATCGAGGTTACTTGTTTCCTCCAATACCCTTTCTCTCAGAGCTACCAAAAGTGGGATCTCAAGCTTCTCCTCACGAGTTATCTGCAAAGCCATTTCATATAAGTAAAACATGAGATCAAACCTACAAAAAGATAATGAAACCATTTGAAAGAGACTTGCCTGATCATAGAGTAACTCGGAGTCGGTTACAGCAACCACAGAACGGAGATTGTTCTGTAAAGCTACTGCAAGACCATCCATCAAAGCTAAATAGTTAGCGACAGAGTCATCAACATGAAACTCCAACTTCTTCTGAACCTGAATCAGCTCAAAATCTCCTGATCTCTCCAACACAACACCAATTCCCGAGTAACCCAAACCCGAATCTCCTCTTTCGGATATCGAAACTCCCTTGAAAAACATCTTAACAGAGAACTCATCATCAAGCTCATCTTTTTTCTCCTCCTCCTCTGCTACTTTAGCTGTATCATCACTCTCCTTTAACCATACTTCTTCATCTCCACAACAGCTTCTAAACTCTTCCTCATCTCCTACGTGATTCAATGGCAGCTCATCCTCACAAGAAGCCTCTTGATTTTCCATGTTTGGTAAATACACAGATAGGCTACAAAAAGGTACAAACTTTCTTTACTTAGCAACAAACCAAAAGAAACCCAAATCGGATCTGCAAATTCAACCCTTTTAGTTATCATATCATCGCAATTCTATTATATGCTTCGAATTTTGTTCCCTCAAACTTCAAACTGAGAAAAATGATTGGAAAAAAAAAGAACTTTACATTACAGATCAGCAAAACAAAACAGCTAATCTTAACGAACTTCAACAACAGATCAGCATAAACCATAGAAAAATCATACGAAGTATCCAGAAAATAACAAAAGAAACAGCTCGATTTGTTCACCAACTAAAACCAACCAGACCCTCAATTATTATTACATAAATTTAAGGGAGAAACAAAAAATTAATTAAGAAGCAATAAGCACCAGAGATATGATAATGAAACTAGACCGGTTGTAATTAAAGATCATTAAGTAAGAACACAAACCCAGAAACTTTCTTACCAGCGAAAACACACAAAAAGTAGAGGGAGATTTACTATTCGAAACTGAAATTATGAAGAAAATTCTAAGCTGCCATCTTCAAATTCTCTGATTTTTTTCGAGGAGAAAAAAAAAAGTAAAATTTACTTTATTTTATCTTGCATAGTTTTGGATGTTTCGACTGGATTTTGTGGAGAGAAAAGAAGAATCATCGGTTTTTCTGGTTTTTTGCTCTCTCTTGGAATGGCGTAAGAGAAAAGTTTTACTTTATTTTCTTTTCTTTATTCTCTCTTTTTTTAATTAATTCTCTTATTTTTTATTTACTTTTTTCTGGGATTGGCTTCGCTTTGCTGGCATTCTCAGATGCATATTTAATCAAGTTTTACATTTTCCACGGTTTCACTGGTTAATTACATTTTTCCACGGTTTCACTGGTTAATTAGCAGATACATATTTAATTAAAAATATAGTTATAGGGTTAAATAATTAAACCTGCAATCGAATTGGATTAGGCCTGAAGAATTATAGCTTAAGATATCAAAGCAGCACATGGAGTTTGTCTCCTCTTAATGGAGAAAAAGCTGTAAATCCAAAAAAATATTTTTTTCTTTTTCTGACTTTCAACGTCCAATAGTTTTTCCCTTGAATAAAGATAACAAAAGAAGTAACGATATTATTTAAATATATATTACTGCAAGAGAAGACACTCAAGGACAGTGTGGCAGCAAGAAGTTTGAAAATGGAGACATCAATCATTAGCTTAATTATTTTTAGTTTTTTAAATTAACTCTACTAGGAAATTTGAATATGGAGTTATTTTAACAGTGTCGTGGATAGGGAACAAAGTTAAACAGTGTGAAACAGAGGAAATCAACAGAACTTGGTATAGAATAAACAAAATCAATGGAATAAACAAAACAAATAATGTGAAAAAACAAATGTGAATGATGGATGATTAAATGAGCAAAACATTTATTCCAACAAAATTTGGAAATCTTTCTGAAAGTTTTAGGAAATTATGTCATGCTGCTCGCAGAATACCTCTCAAAATGTGATGATTGGTAACACATTTTTTATATCGCAGAATTGTAGAATTGCGGAAAAAATAAATTGTGAAATAATTTATTGCAGAACTTTTTTTTAATACGATTGGATAAATTATGGCGAAATTGCGGAATTGCAGAATATACTTATTGAAAATATTCTAGTTTTTACTATATATTATAAAAAATAAAATATTAATAATTCAATCAATTATTATAAAATGATATAATTCTAATTGTAACTTTTTAATAATTTGTTTTTCATAAAAAATAATATTGCAAACCTTAAATAATAGATATAACTTTATCATTAAATAATTTTTTGTAATATTAAATTATTTATTTGTATTTATTTAATTAATAAAATATAATTGAATAATATAAACATTGATTCCGCAAATAATCTATTCCAAACACGCTTTTACGCTTAGTGAATATTTCTTTGTATTTTCTGTAAGCAAAAATGCAATTCCGCAAATCTTATGTTTTTGCGTTTTTCTGCAGGTTTTTTTGATTGACAAAATTTTTGCGTTTTTAGGTTTTTTCCACCATTCCATCATTCCACAAGTGTTACCAAACGTTTATTGTGGAATTCGTTTATTTATTTCTAATAACAATAACTGTAAATTTCCATGTCTATTATCATTTTTCTCACAAGGGTGTATAAGAATTTTCAAATTTTGTCAATTTTTTTAACTTCAATATCCATCATTATTTACAAAAAGTAGGCTGATTTATAAAACTTACAGAAATACTTAAATTGATTACTTAACCAAGATATATATCATACATATGGATCAGTTAAAGGAAGAAATTATGATTTGGTATATATTGGGCCTATTGAACAAAGCAATGTGGCCCAATATTAGTAGATGGCTACTAATACTTTACCTTGGACAAAAGCAATTAAGATTTTAGTGATTCCTAAATTCCTAATTGTCTTTTAACAAAACTTACAAAACAATAGACAAAGGGTGTAATTGGTAGTCGGTTTTTGGAATACTTTGAATAAAATAAATTTAAATAGATGGGATAAAAGTAAATAGGATAATGTCATGGCAATTAGAGGAATAATATGAATGGGGTAAATAACAGCAGTACTAAAATTCATGCAATGTTGAAACATTTTTCTAGCTTTTGAAATCAAATACTAATTTATTTTAAATTATTATAGAAAAAAAAATAGAATTAAATGACTAATTCCACAGTTTTTTATCCATGAAAATAACATTCCTAAAGATGTCAAGAAATGTCGTCATAAGGAATATAAATCGTCATAAGGAAAAGTATTAACAAGGATTTGACAATAAAATTCACTCATTAATCTATTACAAAATTCCAACGGTTTGCAGCATATTAAATTTAGCAATGTCGGTAGTTGCTAAAATTATTTTGACTCTTCATTTCTTCCTCTTAGAATTTCATGGATGGTTTGGCATGATCCACACCATTCACCCGATTAAACCAAAAATAGGATAATATATACAATACAACATAAGACTTTTCTGTTTTGTTACAATGTACATACACAATCAATAGAATCAGGAGTCTGATTCTCCAGTGTTATCTTCATTTTTTATAGGTTGTCCATTAACTTATAAATTGACTTTCCAAATCAACAACAACGCGAGAACAAGCCGGCAGATATTCCTATATAAACCAACCAAAGACAAAGACAATTATCTCACCAAACACACATATATTATAAAATAGTATCTATATACTTAATGGCAACTAGCAAACTAGTCATGAAACTCCTCTACATCCTCCTCATCCTATTCACCTTCACCGTATCTCCGGCGATCTCAACGGCTCCGGAAGGTTGCGACAGCGGCTCGGACAACCCGTGTGTCGACAAAGCTAAGGCTTTACCACTCAAAATCGTAGCCATTGCAGCCATCCTTACAACAAGTTTGATAGGCGTAATGGCCCCTCTTTTCAGCCGTCACATTTCGTTCCTCCGTCCTGAAGGCAACGGTTTCATGATCGTGAAATGTTTTTCTTCCGGAATCATCCTCGGGACCGGTTTTATGCACGTCTTGCCCGACTCTTTTGAGATGTTGTCATCGAACTGTCTTAGTGATGATCCGTGGCATAAGTTCCCTTTCGCGGGATTTGTCGCTATGTTGTCCGGTCTAGTCACTCTAGCCATTGACTCCATTACCACCAGCCTCTATACCGGAAAAAACGTGGTCGGACCAGTGCCTGACGAGTATGTTTTTGATCAGGAGAAGTCGACTGCTCGCATTGTAGGCCACAACCACAGTCACGGTCATGGTGTCGTGCTAGCAACTAAAGATGATGGATCTTCCGATCCACAGCTTTTGCGGTACCGTGTCATTGCCATGGTTAGTGCATATATAAAAATAATTTGAGATGGTCCACCAAATATTCGACGTAGCATTTTAATTCAATACATTAATAGATACAAATTAAACCATTTTTTGAATTTCTTGAATAGGTGTTGGAACTTGGGATTTTATTTCATTCTGTGGTCATTGGACTATCTCTAGGAGCAACTAATGATGCATGTACCATTAAAGGACTCATCATAGCTCTTTGCTTCCATCACTTGTTCGAAGGCATGGGTCTCGGTGGCTGCATCCTCCAGGTACAAATGTACATACATTCGTTATATAGTTTATGTCTCGTACATATCAAACTATCAATTAGAAAAAAATTACGTGAAACAGGCGGATTTTGCAAATGTGAAGAAGTTCTTGATGGCATTCTTATTCGCTGGAACAACACCTTGTGGTATCTTTTTCGGAATAGCATTGTCGAGTATTTATAGAGATAACAGTCCAACGGCGTTGATTACGACTGGACTGTTAAATGCTTGTTCGGCCGGAATGCTCATCTACATGGCTCTGGTCGACCTTTTAGCTACCGAGTTCATGGGATCGATGCTCCAAGGTAGCATCAAACTTCAGATCAAGTGCTTCATGGCGGCTTTGCTCGGCTGCGCCGTAATGTCGGTCGTCGCCAAGTGGGCTTGAACACTAAGGTCTTAATTATCAACATTATTAATCAGTTATTTGATTTATTCTTCAAGGCGAAAACTCATTCGCCTTTGTAGATCTGAGAGTTTGTTTTTTAATATGACTCATACTTTTAATTTGTATATTTGAGAAACTCACATGGCATTATGACATTGTAAGAGTTTAAACATTTATTTGTGAAATTGTAAATTTATTTTTATAAGAATGTGATGTTTACTTTACTCTTTGTTAATTATCGGGGTTTCTTTATTGTCAATGTTAGATTGTTAGTTATAAAAATAAAAATAAAAAAAGAAGAAAAATTAGGTCTGAAACTATATAGTGCCATCGAATATCAAGACTATACGGATTTAATACTATCAAACTAAGTTTCATACTTTACAAAAAAAAAAAAAAAAAAATCACTATCTTAAAATTAAACTACAACATATTTCTTGATCACAACTACATATTATAACAAGAAGAGGTCGATAATGTACAACAAAATTACATAAACTCATTAATAATAAATTAAGCGCATAAAACTGGAGATGTTAAATTGTTTAAAATTAATACCAACTATACTTGTACAAATTCCTTCCATTTCATGGGTTTTTTGGGTTGAAAATGGTTTAGTTTTTAAAATTCGATAGAAGTTCGAATCATTTCTCAACATACCAACAATAACCACTGAAATAGTTGTAAACTTTGAATCCCTCGAGAGCTGAGACAAGCTAAACCAAAATAATACTCACTTAAAGCATCGTTAAGACGTTAATCAACATTTGTATTATTACAAGTTATCTTAATTACTTTTCTATATTTTCCTGCTGTATCTTAGGGTTTTTTTTCTTACGCAATTCAATAAAACAAAGAAGTTTAGAATGAAAGCAAAACATACAAGACATTCACACAGATTATAAAATATTTATATTCCGACAAAAATAAAAATAAAAAAATTGAGAAAATTGCCCAACACGGAAAATCTTCCAGCTTAATTTTATACTATGTTTATTGAAATATCAAATATCCCGAATAAAATTAGGCATTTTTGTCACGTTGGTGGAGTGTGAGTTTGGCACGTACTGCTTCGTGTTCGTCCAACCATATGAAAACGTGGGGACTAAAGCGACAAATAAACGATATTATAAACGAGAGTATTATTTATAAATGCAATTTGATGTCTTTCTTATTTATTCATCCTTTATTTATTTCGATGATGAAATCAAACCAACAAAGTCTAACCGAAGTTGACTAGTAAGGAGGCATGCCATGGATAATTGGCTACATACTCGGCATGGACATTAGTGATTATACATGATAATCTAAATATTTATATAGTCTAATAATTATATGATTCAGATGATTACTTTCATTGCAATCAATCTAATTAATTATGCCTCCTTGTAGACAACATTGCAAAATAGATTCCTGATTTCTTTCTCCGTCGCATAGGCGGCATACTTATGTTTACATGAACCATGAAATATTCAAAATTTATATAATGTTGAATTAACCTTATACGGTTAAATAAAAGGAAACTTGATTTAATAACCATGAACCCATTTCTAGTTTGGTCAATGACTCAACAATGATCATAGATTCAGCAATATGATCTTAAAACTAAATGAATGACCACATGATAATGCCAACAAATAAAAGCATTTGTGGACGTCATTTTTAGGATTAAAACACAAATTGACGTAAAACATTTGTACCTGATTTCATGCAATTATAAATCATAAAAGCATACATGTCTTCATGCAATATGTGGGCTGCGCAGCTCGACAGATTACCAACGCGATCTCGACTGGTTTCGTGGGGCTGATGCTTATCTAAACCAACAGTTGTTTTCTTTGTTGTGTTTTTGAGGAAAAATAGGGATCACTTGTTTCTGTGGTACTGTGTGGCACGCGAATCAACTAGGACTAGGATCATGTCCACGAATCTTGGCCAGCTCTTGTGGCTTGTGTGAAACTTAAGTCGACAGCCTCAGAAAAATAGCAACTCAAACAGTTATATACAGCATTTGGCAAGAAAGTAACAACAGGTTTTTCAACTAGCCACCGATCTCAGCTTCCAAAATTATCAAAAATGTCTGATAGATTATTTCGGAACCGTATCACAGTTAGAAGACATGATCAAAGGCATTTCTAATGCCCTTTTGGCTTCATTGACTGTAGACTCTATTTGCTACCATGTTTTTTATTTTCTTTTTACCATGGTTACAACTTACAAGTACATGAGTCAAGCTGTTAAAGACCTTCTATATCTCAAATCGTTCATCTATATACTCCCTCCGTTCTACAGTCTAAGATTTTTTGAGTTTTTTTCTGTTTCAAAAATTGATTTTTTAGATTAATAAAGTCTCACTTTCCAAGAACAAAAGGTAAAAGCTTATTAAAAATATAAAAATGAAAACTAATTTGAATATCTATTTGATAACATCTTTAAAAAGTATTAAATTTAAGTATTAAATTACAATAAAAAGTATTCTAAAAAGTAGATAATAATATTTCTTAATATGTGTGAAAAACCCAAAAAAATTTTAGATTATGAAACGGAGAGAGTAATATTTATAGTTTTAGCAGACAAAATATCATAAATACAATTGTACTTCAAAATTGTATTTGGTCATCCACATATACATAAGTCATTCCTTAAGTTGCTACTTTCCTAATTTTAACTTGTTTTATGGTTATGAAATAAACCAATCCTTGAAGATATACATAATTTTTAAAAAAATGGAAGAACTGCTAAGGTTATTGATAAATTTAATGAATAATGATACATGCAATATTTAGAAAACTATATGTATTAACTTAGCTATGAAAAGAGGAATTAACATTCATACTAAGCTGCGTGCGCTGAGCACGAGCTCGTCACGTGTAATTTTGTGCTCTTCGCAATCCTATAAAATTATAAATCTAATCGAGTCACAATTAGTACGTATTTGCTTAAACAGTTAAACTCAAATACAAGACTAAAGTAAACGTTGCTGAGAGTTGACTAACAGAACTATATAGAACGCATGGGGTTGACTTCGACCTCTCGGGGCAAACGGCATGAATATTGCAGTTTTGGGATTCCCCACTTCGTTCAATGGATGTGATTCATTTTTATTTTTTTTTGCTAAAAAATAGATGTGATTTCAACTGCATTTCACTCAAAAACAAATCCAACGACAAAAAAAAAAAGATAGTTCCACAAAACTACACTACTTTATTCATAAAATTACAAGAACTTTTGTTAATTATAGCAAGTGACTAACATAGATCATGTTTTAAAAAAAAAGTGACTAACATAGATGCATATAGATATATTATGCTACACAAATATAATTCTTTTTAGAAATTAGAATAAATCTCATATAACTACACATGTTATCTATTTTGTCCACAAAAAAAACTACACATGTTATATTGCAATTCGTGTAGAAAATGAAACTACACATGTTATCTATTTTGTCCAAAAACATTTACATGTACAGTTTTATTATCTGTAAATATAATTCTCTAATAAACATGAAAAAAATTTACATTTATTAATATAAAAAATCTTGGTAAATGTATAGTATCTTGATCAATAATTCCTTCAAAGGATATACATATAATCGTAATAATCTATGTTAGTCACTTGCTATAGTTAGCAGTTTAAATCTGATATATTTTTAAACAGTTTCTTGGTAAGCTCTTCCTTTCGGAGTATTAATTAATTTGTTTTCTCATTCCGTCAACAGCAACAATTAATGGCATGAAATCATCCGGCACACATTACTATATAAACAGGCTCATCCAATAAGTTCAAAGACACATTAACATTTAACAATCCAAAACACAAAGCTCCAAAAGAAACACAAAAAGTAAAAACAAAAGAATGGCTTCAACTTCAACACTTCACATGAAAACAATCTTCCTCGTACTCATCTTTGTCACTTTTACAATCTCTCCGGCGACTTCAACGGCACCTGAAGATTGCGCAAGCGAATCAGCGAATCCGTGCGTCAACAAAGCTAAAGCTTTGCCTCTCAAAATCATTGCAATCGCCACAATCCTAGTCGCAAGCATGATTGGTGTTGGAGCTCCTCTCTTTAGCCGTTCCGTGCCGTTCCTTCAACCCGACGGGAACATTTTCACTATTGTTAAGTGTTTCGCCTCGGGGATTATCCTCGGAACTGGTTTTATGCACGTCTTGCCTGATTCTTTCGAGATGTTGTCATCACAATGTCTAGCTGAGAAACCGTGGCACAAATTTCCATTCTCCGGGTTTCTCGCTATGTTGGCTGCTCTAGTCACTCTAGTCATAGATTCCATGGCTACGAGCCTGTATACTAGCAAGAACGCCGTTGGGATCGTACCCCATGGTCATGGTCACGGCCCCGCAACCGTAAATGATGTTACCTTACCAACAAAAGATGATGATTCCGCGAATGCACAGCTCTTGCGATATCGAGTCATTGCTATGGTCAGTACACATATGGAAATAGTAGAATTACCGAATATTAATCGACGTTACCATATTAGACTATATATAACTAGATATAAATCTTATGAATAATATAGGTACTGGAACTTGGAATCATAGTTCACTCTGTGGTCATTGGACTATCTCTAGGAGCAACAAGTGACACTTGCACCATTAAAGGACTCATCGCAGCTCTTTGCTTCCATCAAATGTTCGAAGGCATGGGTCTTGGTGGTTGCATCCTCCAGGTATACATATATAGAACAATAAAATTTCATCTTTCGTCAAAAAATTGTATATAAATAAGCATCTAATTAATGTTTTGTGATATTTTCAGGCTGAGTATACGAACATGAAAAAGTTTGTTATGGCCTTCTTCTTCGCGGTAACAACGCCATTTGGAATAGCGTTAGGGATCGCTCTTTCGACCGTTTACAGAGACAACAGTCCCACTGCATTGGTCACCGTTGGATTACTCAACGCATGCTCCGCGGGATTGCTCATCTACATGGCGCTTGTGGACCTTTTAGCGGCCGAGTTCATGGGACCAAAGCTTCAAGGAAGCATCAAAATGCAACTCAAGTGTTTCGTTGCGGCTCTTCTCGGGTGCGGTGGAATGTCTATCATCGCCAAGTGGGCTTGACTAATCCCCCCGGATACGACTGCGGCATTAAGAGCATGTGGATTTCGTTTTCGAACTAAAAACCGTTTTAGGTTCAAGTCTCAATTCTCTACCGGTTTCTTTTGCTTCCTTACAAAATACTTACGTTGTACTATCTATCACATTTTTAAGTAACATGTCTTCTGGTAGATATGTAACAATGTGATTGGTCTCACGAGTCATAGTTTTTCTTTTTATTGTGTTGGGGCTATATAATTCTTGTTGTGTAATGTTCTATGTAATGTTCTATCGCATACCATATAAATAAACCAAACTTTTTTGTTTCTTTTTCAATATTAGCAATTCGACGAAAAGTAACTAATCGCTGTTGTGTAATCTAAACTCGGCAGAGCGGTCTATCCAAAAAAAATATTCGGCAGAGCTACAACCTGCAGACCAATAATGGGAACATTAATCACATATATAGTATATAGAATTAGGCCACTATATATATAGACTATAGAGAATGGGGTATGGCTTTTAGGTAAAATTACAAAACAAGATTAGCCTCTTTTAAATAATACAGATGTTTAACTTTCTTCGGTGTTGATTGTTGATAATCAAATTAATATTGAAAAATCACACTAAAAGCCCTCGATTATTTATTAGTAAAAATATTGAAATAATTTTTAAAAAATAACATAAAATAATAAAATCTTAATTGTTCTACTAAAAAAACTAACAAAATACTCCCTCCGTTTTTTATATATGATGTTTAAGGTTTTGCACAAGGATTAAGAAGTTATTTAATTTTTTCTTTTTCCAAAACAAAACATCAATTCCAAAACAATTCAACCAATAGAAAAATAATATATAGAATAAAACAATTATTTTTTTGTATTGATTTTTGAAAACATCATCTAATTATAAAAAAAAAAATTCTAAAACATCTTATAAAAAAACGGAAGGAGTATTATTTTTTTCCAACAAAATATTTTGGTCTGAGGACATTGATAATCTTGGATCGGCTCTGGCTCCATGTGCATGTTCTGAAAATATGTTTCGACTTGCTTAGGTTTTTTATACTTGTTGGATACCACTGAATTTGATTTTAGTATTTCACTAAAAACTACTGTAGTAATTAATAGGATATGTTTCTTGGAGTGAAAAAAAATATATTATGCCGAAGCAACAGATTAAAAAGCAAACCAAAGAAAGGACTTCAACAAATCACTGAATTTTTGTCTGCATGTTCTCCTCGCTGGAATCACGTCCACCTTCAAACCAACAGATGTCAGATGCACAGATCAAATCGGTTCTTGCTTCTTCTGGTTTACATTAAAAACCATGCCAAAGGGCGCAGAATTTTTCTATTGTCGAAGGCGGGTAAACTGATTTCGTTAGAAATTATTGAAAAATGCATTTCACTTCTTCAGTCTTATGATATAATTTAGATGTTTATAATTAAAAAAAAATGAATAGTATAAAATAAACCAATAAGTTAGTTGATAGCGACATGGTATCGTTTCACGCGGCCATCGTAATTCGCGAATTCACACGTCGTCTTTATGGTTTTAAATGAAAGTGGATGATGTAGCTCCAAATTTTATGGGGTTTTTGGTATCAATACATTCACATGCTATAATCCGAATTTGAAACACTTAATACACGACAACTATGTAAAACACTTAATACACGACAACTATAATGATATGTACTTGATATGTGACTGAAGCAATCGAACTCAGACTTATTTATTTTCTTTCATTATTTTTTTTAATTCGTATAAAGAAATACTCTGATTTTTTTTTTTTGTTATTACTATTTTCTGAGGATTGGAAACCCACTAAGATGCTTCTCTTTTCAAAGCCCTCATGGAGTTCGAAAAATAATTCGTGGGAATATTATCGGTATTACACAAGGCGCATCACAATTACTTGTATCACTTTACAAAAAGACATATGTGATACATAGAGTTTGTTTGCTTTCTCTTGTCTTTCTAGATTATTTATGGACCTGCCACATTAAATAGAACAAGTCTTTTTGGTAGATTTGTAATGCGATGCGATTGGTCCCACGAGCCAGAGTATTTTTATGTTTCTTTCTTTTCTCAAAGCAATCTTGTCGTGTAATGTTTTTGCATCTCTCCAGTCAATAAATTACACTTTTTTTTTTGTTGAAAATAAGTCAATAAATTACACTTTTGTTTAAAGAAAAATGGAAAGTTGATACTATTTTCTTGGGGGCAAACTAGTTTTGAGTCCTATCATCATCCCTTTGACAAAGCTGCAGGCCAGTAATTGGAATCAGAATAGCCCGCTTTAGAAGTCGGTGGCCCATCTACAGAATAACTTCTTCAGTTCTTCTTATTGTGAATCTCTCGTGTGTCGTGCGTTATCGGATCTTCTAATTTACGTTAGCCTTGGTAATGTGCTGTTATTATCTTCGTTTTGTGTTATGTGTTATTATTGGTGGTATATTTGTTATCATCCTAAAACAAACGATAATTATCTTTATGAATATATAGATAATTCATTTTAAACCACTATGATTGATTTTTTTAAACACAAAACTTTGGAAAAGGCTTTTATAGGTTTTTATAGTCCCCACTCCCTCACAATCAATAGCCACCATAACTTTTGTCCTGTTTCATGTTTTTCAAAACAACTACATATCTCAAGATTTTAGGGTTTTTGACATCAGAAAAAGTTATGTGTATATATATATAACCCAATTATATATATAATTATAAGTATACAACTGATGATTTGTAGAAGTAAACTTCATAGACGTAGTTCCAACTAAACACGAAACAATCACTAACTATATGTTTCTTTCTTAGAAGTTAGAACACTAAGAACAGTTACTAAAATGGGAGATTTATTGATTTTATTCCCTTGGTCAAACTGAGATTTAAAATTATGAATTTATTTAAAGTAGAAGAAATTATAGGGTTAGGTATATATAACATAAACTTTAGATGAGGGTAAGTATGTAGGGGCATGGCAAAAAAAAAAAGTAAGTATGAGCAACAGTGAAAGAGCGAAGACATGGAAATATGTGATTGAACGATCTCTCTCTTTAAATAATTTCTGTACGAACCCCTCTCAGAGTCGTACAATTTGCATTTTGTCTACTGTTTATGTACGTGACATTTTCATCCAACTTAATACATTTATTTCTTTAGAGTATTCCAAATTTGAAGAGAAAAAAATAAACTAAATTATTGGATAGAGACATGGTAACGTTTCTTGGACGCAATCATCGTAACTCGTGAATTCACACATCGTATTCATCGTTCTAATTTGGTTTATATATGTTTTCTTCTGTCAACAATTTGGTTTTATATATGTACTTAAATAAATAATTGTAAAACCCATTTTAGTGGGGTTTTGCTTTGTCTAGACATGTACTGCACATGATATGATCCGAATTTGAAATATTTATTACACGACAACTATAATGAGATGACTATGAACTGAAAATGTCGTTGAGAGCAATCGAATTCAGACTCTTTCTTTTACTAATTTTGTGGATATTTTATTTTAATCTTCGATAGCGAAATATGATTCTTCTTCTTTTATACATTTTGTGGGGGCTGGAACGATAAAATATACTGCCAAATTGCAATGGTGTTTATCTATAGACAACTTTTCTATATCGACATTATGAAAGTCCTTCAATATTAAGAGTTAGATATTCAAACTCATGTAATTGACTTTGAGAATAAAGTAACCAACCTACGGTGCAACTTGAAAAGAACTTTGAAATATTTTCATTTCAAACATTTAGGAATCTTTCTTTTAATCCATTTCAAAGAATTTCTTTTGTCCTATACAATTTTTGTGGTGGTTTTTTCTTAAACATAACGGGAATATTTTTTTTTTTTTCCTTTTTGTGATTTTTCAAACTCTCTTCAACTTGAATTATTTCATTCTTTTGCAACTCTCATTCTTGGAGTCCATGGAAATTCATAAGAAAATCAAGAATTTTCCAAAAAACTAATTTATAGGAGAAAAAATAAAAGAACTGTACGTACAAAATTAATATAATAATGAATAGGCCAAAGAAACTCCTATTTCTTCCGATTGTAATTCTTTAAACTAAATTTTACAATGAAACAAAATATAAATTTAATTGTACCAAAACTAAGAAAAAGAATTTGGTCAAGAAGACATGTTAACATGTACACTAGCGTTCATGACCGAATCGCAAACGGGACAGGTCCGTAACAAAGCCGAACCACAAACCGTACACAAACACAAATGACGACAAGGTAACACCAACACACTCGCTTCTCTCTCACCGCACCTCTTGCAACCGCCTCTAGCCGCCGTAATAGCGTCACCACCATTGCCACCGCCATCGCAGCAACTTCCACAGCTCGATTCAGCATCGTCTTCTACTACAGCCGGGGATGCGGTTGGGAACGTTTCGATCTGAGCGAGAACTTGGTCGAGGTTTGTTCGAAGATTGTTAGCGGTTGCTTCATTGGTTTGAGCGATATCGCGCCAGATTTGATTCTCGACGTAGAGACTCTTCACTCGCTCTTGTAAAACCCAGTTAAGGTTTCTCACCCGTACGATCTCGTCGTCTTTTTCTTTTAGTTTCTTGGCTATCGCGTTTTGAACCGCAGCCGCTAGCATCTGCGTTTGCGTTTGCTGACGAGCTTCGACCTCTATTCTAAGCTTCTCCGTTTGCTGAGCCACGAACCGGTCGATCTCCGATTGTTGCTGGTTGTGGATCTGTGATACTAATTCAGCGTTTATCAACGGCGATGATCCATACGCGACGGACCTCCGTTTAACCGCAGACGGAAACTGAGCGTCTGTGTCAATGAACTGAGACTCTCGCTGGCGTTTCGTAGAGGGAGGAAGAACAGAGGAGGAGTTGAAATTGTAAGTGAGACCGCTTTCTGATTTGTTGAAGCCAGCTTTCGCCGCCCCATTAGCAAAAGGATGGACGGCGAGAGATTCTCCGGTTATCAACGGAACTTCACCGGTGGCGAGATTAAACTCGCCGTGATTCATGTCTTGTTCGTATTTAACACAATCTCTGCAAATAACACGAAAAGAGATTAGAGAAAATTCATTGAATCATTTGTATAACTCAGAAATGAGAATGAAAAAAAAAACAGAGGAGAGATTTTTTTTCCGAGAAAAGAAAATGAAAATCAGTTTGGAGAACTTTTTTACCTGTTTGATATTAACTGCGGAGAGAAAATGTTCATGTGCCGAGCTTCAACAGCCATTGATACACGTTTGTTAAAAGCTCCGAGAGACTCTGGACAAAGAGAGAGGGAGAGAGAAAGAGAAGGAGAGGGAGAGTTGTGGCGACTGGTGAAGAAATCTATGGGGATTGGCTTTTATTTAAGGGAGAGAAAAAGTCAAAATTATTTATTTCCTGTAAATGAAATGTATTACATTTTTTATTTGTATATTCAGTTTCTTAGAAATAATTGTCAATTCTATAAGAAAATATTCCTTTGCATGGTTACAGTTACCATAATTGTTTAGCTTTGCTTTCAGGTTTTACTAGAATTATGTTAATAAAATCTAAATTCTGGAAAAATATAATTTATGAGCTTAAACAGAAAATTTGCTTAAATAAACACACATACATGGAGACAAAAATAATGTATATATAAGTATTTACTATCTTTCTTGAAATTCGCAATATTGGGTCTGTAAAAAGTAAGTTTTTGCAATATCTTTTTAATATTTCCTTCCTTCTTGATGCATTCATGTATCTTTCCTCAGCAACAGCCATACAAACGTATGTAACAACAGTATTGCTTGACTAGTCAAAGCACTATTATAATATTCATATCTTCTTTTGTATAATTTCTAAAACAAATAACTACCATATTAAGAATGTACAAAACTGTTTTCCAATGAAAACATAATAGTAACTCATTGTATATTGTGTCTATATTATTCCCAATTTAATCTCTGATTCAGTCAACCTATATCTATCTTATTAGTTTTCCCTTCCTGGTCATAACTGTAAATAAAAATCATATTAAAGAATAGTTAAATACGCCATAATCTTCATTTTTCAGTTTTACTGATTTAAAATTTTAAACCATTCGCAATTCTTAAAACCTTAGAATATACTTAACTCTCAAAAGTCATTTCAATAATTTTGTCTTGAATTACATAAGAAAAAGCTCTCAGAATGCGTACGTCGCATGGATATTAATGTTGTGAAGCTCCGTTTTACAATTTCCACGTCATGCAACTGCAATTACAATTTACAAAGACTCTACCGTGGCATATTTAAGACCCATGAAATTAAATATATTTTTCGATTGGTAACTTCATTGGATGCGATATTGCGATACATATATGCACCACTTTCATTGCAACCAATCGTAAATATATACTAAACGGTGTAGTAAAAAAATGAAGTTTTTATCATTAATTTTAACCTGTTTTAACTACATAACTGTTTATTATTGTTACTCTCATACTTCTACAATTTTATATCGTTTTAAATTATCAGTCATGTGTTTTCTATTTTTCGTAGCCAACTTTAAAATTTTGAATGATTTTATTCAATTATTTTCTTAAATTCTAAACAAAAACACACACAAAATATCTTCTTATCATTACTGTAAAAGCTTATCGAAAAACCCAAAACTTAATGGTACCTTGTTACACTATATGGATAGACCATTACAGTGTACAAGAGGCCTCTTTATATAAAATATGAATTTATTATTAAACCTAGAAGAACTGAATCTTTAATTAGAACAGAACTCATATTATTATTCAAAATGTCATGTCAGATACCACTAATTTGCTTAACAGATAACTGTATGTCAAATCAGTGACTGTTGGAAAATAAATCCATGATTTCTCTTGTACAGTATTTACTAAAAATTACTACTCCATTTAGGTAAAGTTGCACGTGCGAAACGTGTGGGTCCATGATGTGAAAACTGAGGCCACGTCTAAGTGGGACCAAGAGAACCTTTCTGTTTCATATCTTCGTGAATTACACTAAAAAAAAATTATTATAAACAAAATTATTGTTTCGGTACCACCATTTTGTTTGCTTCTTGACTTGTCGTCTCGCGTCGCTTTTTAAGTTTTTTAATTTTATTAATATGATAAATAAAAAAAAGTAGAAAGAGAAAATCGGAATCATTCGATAATGTTTTATAGTACGGACAAGTAGGTCTTGTCATAGTGAGTGATTTTTTTCGGTGTGGGACAGGTCGACCACAAGAAAAGAAAAGCCTATTGTTTTTTTCTTACAGTCATGCGTGTCTATCTCTATTTTAATTCATAAGATTTTCAAGCCACTCAACGTTTATTATCCTGATGCTCTTATGTATAAAGTTTTAATTTACAGCAACTTTTTCATCCATCTTTTATATACCTTCATTTTTATGTTAGGTTTTAAATTCAGATATCGAATTTGAATAACTCTAACATAATTCTATGAATACAACACATATATAAATGATTATGATGATGGTATGTATTACGAATTCTATATAGTTAAGCTGGGTTTCGGCTTCACCATATTGTAAGTTGTTTGATTTTAACAAACAAAGTATATGCATTAACAAACAAACAAACAAATAAATTATATGATAAATAGTTTTCGCATATATTTAAAATTTCTTATTTATAATTAAGACTAGAAGAAGAATAAAGTAAAACTGAACAATGTTAAGGAATATAAATTTGTGGTAAACCAAACTAATAGAAAAAGACATATTCGGTTGTCTCTTTTTTTGCTCTTCTTGGTTTGGATTTTTATTTTTATTTTGTCGACATATTCGTTTGTCTAATTCTCGATTTTGCTCCAATGTCAGACACTACGCCTAACATCATCACTATCTTAAAACTTGCTCAGAGCTTTTTATCAATTTAGAATAGACTTATTTTGTCCCATTATACGTTTTCATATTCCTTTTTAATTAACTTATCATCTTCTACATAGTAGGTTGATAATAAATATTGATTTCCTAAGTTAGACAAACGAACAAGATAGATGAAGACGTACGTGGCCGAGTTCATGCTTTAAAGAAAACGTGAGAAGATGAATAATTATATTGATATAACATAAGAACCAAAATATACAACAAGTGTGAACCGAATTTTAATCTTATGTGCTATACATAACTTATATTTTCCTCAAATGCATTTAATTTTTTTATACCATGATAAGAAAATTATAAATCTATTATCAGATTCCTTCACGTCGCGGATAAGTTGCACCTTAGAAAATTTCCAACCATTTTTTTTTTTTGGAACTATCAACCAATCTATTTTTTCTTTGATTATATAAATTGTCCTTATTACAGTTAAGCTTTTCATTTTTTTTGTCTTATATGCTATGTGTTACGTATGGTTGCATAACAGATAATGACATTTTTGTTTACAATCATATGATATAAAAAGAGAGGGAAAATGCGAGAAGAAAGTGGAAGAAAGAAATAAATATAAAGGTGTTGAAATATCAAATTGGTCCATCCTTATCAGCACCAACTACTAGTAGGTGTCAATCAGATTGATCCACACCGGCTCGGTCTACCTATCACGGGTCTAACGAATGGCAGATTAGGTCAACTCGATCTTGAGATTTACGACTTCACGGATCAACGTTCTAAAAATTTAAATCTGATAGTGTAATTAATCTGGTCGATTTCTGAGTTTTAACATTTATCTGTACTATTTTATTACATAAAAAGAATTTGAAAATAATCTATATAATAGATACATATAATTATAATATATATTTTTTTAGAAAATTGTGTATATTGAATGTGTCTTCACAAGTAAAAAATATCAACATATACATATATATATATATATAACACATTATCGCACGATCGAAAATGTTATTTTATTTAATTTGTGAATATACAGTTAATTTTTAACCAAGCGTTTCTGGCTTATTTGGTTGCATTGATTGATTTCTTAAAAGGAGATTGACATTTTACTTCGAGTTCAAATATCCGTTTTGGAACGGATAATTTAGACCTTAGTACGTATCATTACCATTGATACAGTTATCATATATATATATATGAACAAGTTGATCCTCACTCAATTATGTGTCTAAGACTTCCTAGCGTTAGGATAGATTACCTAAAGTCTTGCCAAAATCTCAAAGACTATGCTTTTTCTGTTTCAAAAAGTTAGATATCTTTTTATGATATACAAATATTAATAATTCGAAATTTATACTATATATATATATATTTGTCACTCTACTAGTAATATATATTTATATTTCCTCATTATTCTTATATATAGTGCAGTAGTTATAACTAAATTTAATAAATGTAGAGAGAAAATGTAAGAATTCATTTCTCTTTGCTACATCTCTTTGCTACATCTTAGTGCATTAATGAAAAAAAAAAACATTATTGATATTTACATTTACAATAAAGCCATATATTTGGTTGGAAGAAATCATCATTTCACAAAGGTAGGGTTGCTGGTGGTACGTATATTTGTTCGGTTTCTAATACTACTAGCTAGGAAAACATCGTTAGATTTTATCGTGTTCGTTTAAATGTTAGAAATTTCATTTGACAAACATATTTGTAAGAAAACAGAGTCCATAATTTGATTTGCAAAAGTGGTAGTCTTTCGGGGGAAGTTTGATTTGCAGAAAAGTCTACATACGAGTATTTATATGACTTTGTTTTGTGGACAACTTGGTATACGACATAAAATGAATTTGGGTTTTCTGAAGAGACATAAATATACATAGACGTAACGACCGGACTAAAGCAACGTGTAACTAAAGGAAAGATGAATATAGATAAAGGTGAGACTCCTAAATAAAATAAATGAATGTGTATATAGGAAGACCTTATGTACATATACTTAATATATTTTCAAAGTAAAAGCTTATGTTAAATATTATTATACTTAGGTGGTGATATAGACTTAGGATTTGATATAATATTAATCATCGTGTAGGAATTATGATAAGATATAATAAATTAAATAGTGCTTCTAAGTTGGAGAAGGGAGAGCATATTAGGTGAAGATTTTTGTGTACTTTCAGAAACACATGCAAAGCTTAAAAATATAATTAGTGGACTGATCAGAACCTACGGCTGATTTGTCTGTATTATGATTATGACAGTATATACTTTAATTAAACATGTAATCAAAAGTCATATAAATGCTAAATCATGTGACCAATTTGCTTTTTTTGGTAACGAAAATTAATGGTGCGAAGCATCGCAAAAAGGTT